CTTCTGTTTTCGCGATACTCTGAAGGCGAACCAGGTCGTCCTTCTCCTTTTGAAGCTCTTCGTGAGCTTGCTTCAGCTTCTCAGCGTAAGAGGCCTCCAGCTGATCGCGGATGGCGGAGCGCTCCTCGACCCACACCTACTCTTTAGCCGCCTCCACGTCGGCAGCCAACTTGCTCTGCAGGACGCCGAGCTCTTCCATCGCCTCGTTGGCTTTATTGGTTGCCACGTCAGCACGATTATTCGCCCCAACGACCTTCCCCTCCAGCTGGACGATCTTAGCCTCGTCGGCCTGTATCCTTGCGCGCTCCTTCTGAGCCCGGAAGGTCGCCGACAAACCCTACAACCACAGCGCTAAAAGACTTAGCAAAATATTGCATAAAAAAAACGAGATGAGACGCGATAACTTCGAACTCTGCGAGAACTCAACCCGATCTTACCACGAAGTGGATCTGAGCCAAGTCATGGAGGGGATCAGACTTCTCCACCCGCGGCGGAACACTCAGAACAGGCCCGAACGCCCGGAGCGCGGTATTCGCGGAGGCTAGATTGCAAGCCGCCGCGGTGTGGATCCGCACATCGCGGAAGTATTTGACAACAGCGGCGCCGGGAGCGGTAGTTGCGGGAGTCCCCCCAAAGCCAGCCATCTCGGGCAGCTTTTGCTGGACGGTGGCCCCCAACGAGCTGCCAGCCACCTCCCTCTCAGACCGAGAAGGGCTACTCACCGTCGCCTCCGGTTCCGAAAGCGCCAAAGATAGCTGCAGCGCGTCAGATAACTGCCGCTCTGCTTGTGGAGCCCGCGCCGCCCGCGCAGTTGGTTCTGCAACGCGAGCCGCCTTACCGGGCTTTTCAACCGCCAGCGGCTGCTCAATTTCTTTCCTCTTCGCGCCACTCGGCACCGCGCTCTCCTTCTTCTTCTTCTTCTTCTTCTTCTTGTCAGCGCGCGGCGCCTTCACAACGTCGTCAACCGACATCATGCTAACCAAGTTGGAGAAGTCAACACCTGCGCCAATAAGTCATAAGAGAGCGGTTAATATGATAGAATGCAAAAGAAAAGAAACTCAACTAACCATCGTTGAACAGCTCCTGCAAACAAGCCTCGCGCACTCCCCCCTCGTATAAATTGATCCTATGAGGCATGCACGCCTCATACTCATCGTTCAGCCCGTCATAGGCGCCGGTATCCGTCTCATACCCGAGCGTCCTGCCTTTCTTCCAGACAGTTTGCTCCTCCACAAACTCACTCGCCCACTCTCCGGGAACGGGCTTGACGTAGAAAAACTGCTCGAACCAAGTTTTCTTTAACTTGGAAGATCCATACACGAAGCCGTCGGGCATCTTGTCGCAACGCTTGATGGAAAGGCAGTCGCTTCTTGTTGTTGGCTCCTTGATTTTATAAATCTTTCGGAACAGCCCGTAAGTCGGCTCGATGTTAAGCCTTTTTCACGCGAGGCGAAGACAGCTCGCGTGCATAATCACAGACGGGGAGAGCCGCCCAACGGAGCAGTTAAGGCGCCTATACAAAGCGCATAAGAGCGGGTCGATGGGGAACTTAAACCCCATCACCCAATACTCTGTATACACGCCGAATCACCCCGCGGGGCAATTGCCCACCATGCTTCGCGTAGAAGGAGCGGCGTACTCCCAATGGGAGGGCAAGCCCAGTCCGCGGACTATCTCCTCCATGTCACCGACATCATAAATAGAGGCGTGTTCGGGCCCGCGCTTGAGATTGTCGTGCGGCGCCGGCTGATCGCCCCACATCTCTGCCCACTCTATAACAGTATACGCGGCGCCAACACCGCGTAACCCTAGTCGAGCATGGCTTCTGATACGCGCACAACGTGATGCGGCTCTGATTGTTCTTCGTGCGCTTCATCGTTGCCAACCACCGGCCTCCCATCACGATCACGCCGGATTATCAACACCCCATGAGCTCCTTGTCTCGCCTGCCCGCTCCCGGAGGCAATCATACCCACGTTGGGAGAACCGCCGAGGTCATCCTCCAACTCGATGTCGAACGACGGCGTCGCCGGAACCCCATCGTCACCGCCGTCACCCCCATCACCGGAACCGCCCAATTCCAGCGAACGATCAGTAGAAGTGTGCGAAAGAGGGGGAGAGATTACCTTCTTCGCCTTGCACGACCTCGGTCTCGTCGATGTTGATGCTAGCCATCATAATAACTCGAGTTTTAGCAACAGCAAAAAGAGAATCGAGGTTGTAGAAGAAGGAGAGGAATCTCATAGAAGAGATGAACGGAGAAACAGAACGAAGAAGCAAGAAGCAGAGTTGAAGGAGACAGAGGAGTCCCACTCCCACACAACCAGCCCATATTTATAGTCGGCCAGGGGAAAACGAAGAGTTAAAGTCACATAGGGATCCGTAACCATCAGATCCTACCAAATCTTTTCGAATTTCAAAAAATCCCCACCCAAGCAGCTCAATCATGCAGGGACACGTGGATACCTACCATCATAGGCACTAGTCGATGACGCCACAAGTGTCGTGCACCGCCTGGGGGGCATGACGCACCCACGAGGAAGAAAAAACACCCCAAACCCAACTTAAAAGTAGCGCGCACCAACCTCAATGTAACGCGCACAACGGGGGGGCATACCCGCGAGGAAGAAAAAGGCAACAGCGTCGCGCGTAGCTCAAAGCAACGCGCACCACAAGTGCCGAGCACCGCCTGGGGGGCATGACGCACCCACGAGGAAGAAAAAACACCCCAAGCCCAACTTCGAGCGACCCACCCTCAACTCAAAAGTAGCGCGCACACCAAGTAAAGAATTCCAACCTCAAGCGCAGGCGGAGATCAGCGCGTAGCTCAAAGTAGCGCACACAACGAATCAAGCGGAGATCAGTGCGATCGGTAACGAGCCCAGAAAACTTACCCTGCGGAAATCATGCAGACCCGAGTCAATCAAGCGGAAGCCTAAACAGGTGGTATTCACAGAACACCCCCTGATGGGGGGCAATTGTTGGGCATGTAACTCGGGCCTAGCCGCGCCAAAAGAACGCACCAAGACTACCCCAAATGCCGCCAAACCCTGCAAGATGCGGCGCGACCGAAGACCCCCGTCGCGGTCGAGCGCGAATGCCTCGAGCGCGACACTGTGAAGGCAGACTAGCGCGAAGATTTCGAGCGCGACACAGGTTATGCGCACGTGGAAGAATGAAGGCGTTGACCACACCAAGGAGCCGCAGAAGGCGTCGTCTCTCTTCCCGAGGAGTAGTCACATCAGGGTCCTAAGCACAGTCATAGGAAGGCCTCTGACATGTCCTAGGTATAAGCATGGCCTAAATCCCTGACATGTCAACGGTCATGTCATTGTACCCACTTGTAACTAACCCCTCACCCACCACCTTGTAGCCTATAAATATGGCATTTACCCTGCGGATTTTTCGGGTTCTATCTCTAAAATCATCAACTTCTCTCTCTAAAGATTTTCCCTCTCAACTCTAATCGCAATTTCCCCAGTTCTTCCATTAACGGTAATTCTCCCTTTGCTTGCTCTCCTTGACCCATTCTTCCCGAGTCTCACTCCTACACCCAGTTGGGCTCAAACACTTTGCAACCAATAAAAGATAAGTGAACTTTGATAAAAAGGTGTTATTTCAATTCTCCATGTAGGACATGGGGTAGGCAAATGTGATTCTATGTATTGAATCAAGCGGAACGACAAAGAAGAGTCCTTCTCTCAATTTTTCTGCATGAGAAGGTACTTGCATAAATTCCATAGTAGGAATTGTAGTGAGTTAAAGATCCCAATGAATCCAAGTATGAAACTTATGGTTAATACTGGAAATCAGTTTTACAACTGGAGATGTATGCATGACTTACATGATGCTAGATATCACATATGCGATAGAACAATTAAGTTGGTACGTGATGAATCCTAGTTCTCATCATTTGAATTGAAATGAGGCCTGTACTAGGATATGTCAAAGGTACATTGTATTGACTTATAGTGGCTTTCTATCGATTTTGGAAGGATTTGTTGATGTTAGTTGGATTTCTCATGTTAAAGGTGATACTTCAATATTGAGATGTGTCCTCTTGCTTGAGGGAGGTGCCATAATTTGGGCCTCTAGAAAGCAAACTTACATCACTAAGTTTCACTATGGAATCAAAGTTTGTGTGGCCTTGATTTCTCTTAGAGAAGAGACATAATTATTGAGAGGTTTGGTTTATGACATATATTTATGGCCTAAACCAATCTCACCTATTACTATCTTTTGTGATAGTAATGTTAATTTGGCTAAGGCATATAGTCAAGTGAAAATGATAAGTACGGTCATGTGGGAGTATGGCACGGTAAAACCTGTGAATTGATCATTCATAGTGTTGTGTCTAGACAGTATGACCAAACTCGAATTAATTTGGTTGATCATTTGACGAAGTGGTTAACTAGTGACTTGGTGATTAAGTCTGTGAAAGGGATGGATTAAAGTCCATATAACTACTGGTAATGGGACACCCAATTCCCCTCTAATACAACGTTAGAGGCTGAAATCAATGTGGAAAGCTTAGTATCAGAAATTGAAGCACAAAATTTGTCATCCCGAGGTATGTGCTTGTTATCCTGCATGAGAGAAGAGGATGAAGTTTAAAACTTCTTAATTGAATCTTTGAAAAAGTGTATTATGCGGTTACACGAATAGAGATTCAACCTACGTAAGCATGAAGTGTAGCCGTTTCAAGAAACCCGGACTTTGGTTTCGTGCGTTTATGAGAAGGATTGGACACATGGCGGATAATAGTGTCAAGGCACTTAGAAGTTTTGAAAACTTAAGTGTATATTATCTTCGAATATTCATATGAGTCAATGGGTTCAATCCAATGTTGTCAGAACCGAACCGGAGCATGACCCGGTAATGCGAACGGCTCGCACTTTAGTGGTCCAACCGGCATTAGACCGTTTAAAAATCGTTAGAGAATCGGTACCTAATAAACGTTATCAGTATAAATAATGGACATTTCGTAATCAGAGCTCATCTCTTTCCTTCAAAATTATGAAATGGAAATAAGGATTCAATTTGAGAGCCCGACGTTTTTGGTTTTTTTCAATTTTCTACAATTTTTTTAATTAAATTTAGTGGTTGAATGGCAAAAACCGGACGAGCGGCTCGATCGGCTCGAACGGCTAACCGTCTCGGCCGCTCGCCAACCGCTACATAAAACCGGAGCGGCTTTTAGACTGTTCCGAGCCGATTTTGTGGCCGGGTGGTGGTTTTACCGGTCGGGCCGAGCGGCTCGGCTCGGCTTTAATAACACTGGTTCAATCGTTACCGACACCCTTTGTATTCGAGTATTCGTCAAGTGCAATATACTAAGGTGCAAATTCAATCGTCGCGACATTTTCATTTATGCTTCAAGTTTTGTTGGAAGAATGTTGCAATTTTAGTGAATTCTAAGAATACACTAAAATGGGGGAGGAATGTTGGAAATTTTGTTGAACCGGACTAACCAAGTCAAACCGGTCTTTGGGTTGGACCGATCAACCGGTTTGGAATTAGACCGACCAAACCAATATTCTAATTTCATGAAGGGACACATCCCTTTGGGCTAGTGGAGGTTGCATTATTTTATGGATAAGGACAACATTATGGATAAAGGCAACCCTTCATATGGATAAATGCAACTTTTCATATGGATGAAACAAAGCATGGGTTCGACCCCTATAAATATATGGGTGGGGTGGATGGTGCCACATACCATCAAACATATTCTTCTTCTTTCTTCCAAAAATTTCTAAGTATGCTTTAGTGTTCTTGAGCCTAGAACCTAAAGTGGTTATAGTTTTACCTTCGGGAGAAATTTCCTGTAACCCAAGGCTTTGTAGAGGGTGAAAATATTCTTTTCGGAAAGTGAACTTTGTTCACGACTCTATCACAATCCTGGTCATCCGGTCTCGGGCTATCATACGTGTAGCCTCGTTTCTAAAAAGTCCCAACACAAACACCAATAGTACTCTTACTATCATCAACAAAAACTTCTTATTGATATTGTGCCAAAGATCATTGATCATCTGATATCTTTTTCAATCGCCAAAGTGGTCCGATGAAAGGCACCAAAAGCTTGCAGTCTCTATGTTGACTGAGATCTAATTTTGAGTATGTACTCCGCTAGCTGCTGTATTTATTCAATTATAGTTGCTCATTTTTTGTTTTTAAATATGATTCCATCCCAAGTAGGAATAGATATTTATGTTTGCCGTTGATATCATATGTGCAGTTAAAGTAATCAAAGGGGTTGACCAAGAGTACTGTTCGGCCGTTTCGAAATGATGGAATTTCATCCAAAGGGTTGTTATTTTTTGGATGCATAATTTCTAATAATTATAGGATATTTTCATTTGAGCTATTTTATTTTCATCAAGTCCTTGGTATATTATTAATATATGTCGTCTAGTTGTAAATAATAATTTTCTATTCGTGTTGACATTTTTATCAAGTACAGAAGATGTCGAAATCGGAGCGCTCAACTAGTACGATATTGTCTGCTTTGGGCAAAGCCCGCACGGTTTTACTATTTGGTGTCCTCCCCAAAAGGCCGACTCATACTAATTGGGCTAGGCGGACATTTATATACAAGGATTCATTCCCTTGTATTACCGATGTGGTACTTGGATTGTCCAATAACAATCCTCCACTCAAGACAAAGACCACGAACTTCGTGTCCTCACCTCAGCGATTATCTTGATCCGCCAGACACCTTGTATCGATGAGCTTCTCGGTACAAGGATTTTCCCAGACGCGGAACTCTCTTTGATCCGCCAAACCAGATGTAGCCCAAATGTGGATCTCTCGTGGATCCACCAAACCAGACACAGATCTCAAATCCCGAGGCCACCAAATGAGGGTCCCATCAAACTGATGTCAACCGACCCGGATGTAGCCCAAACGTGGATAATAGGGGGACTCATACCTAAGTAAGCCTTCTTAATCTGAATACAACCGTTACTTACTTTCTGTTTGCTTTCACTTTTGATAATCTTCACTCAACTTTTACTGTTAGATAATAGAAATTCACAGAGTAGACAGTACACCTAAGACTCAGGTTGGCAAGTAAAACTGAACCACTATACCACTATTCTTCATTTCTGAACTGCGATTATACTTAATTGTAATTTGGTGTTGTGTTTTAGCCATAGACCAGGAAACCGGATCGTACCGGCCGGTTCAACCGGAAATTGGACCAAAAGCGGTACGGTGGGCTGATTGTGTTGATTTTACCGTGCCGGCCAGTTTTTTCGGTTTGACCGGTTGAACCGGCCGGTACGATCCGGTTTCCTGGTCTATGATTCAACTTCATTTCTCCGTATTCTCGTCCAATATGTGGAAAATAATTAAAAAAGAATATTTATTTTGCTATTTTTCTATGTTGAAAATGGGTCACCGTGGTTGTATAATGCTCTATATGGTTCTTTTTTTGATGGATTATATTTTTTATACTATCGCATTTCATTTCTCTATCAATAGTGAAAAACGGTATTTACCGGTACAAAACGGTTGAACCACGGTCGTACCACAAAATACCAAACCAGAAAAGAATCCGGTATGATGTCCGGTACGGTTTCCTTTACCATGGTTTTAGCGAGTCAAAACTACTATAACAAAACCCACAAATAATCTCTTCCCTCCAAATATACAGTAGTGGTTTTACCTGCTGGACATGGACATGGACCAGCTTAAAGGAAAGCCCATAATGTTACTGCAATACGTGGAGGATAATGGCAGGTAGAAGATGCGCTTGAATGAAGGTGGCGGCCAAGAAGGGAATTCTGTGGGATGCCTTGGATCAAAAGGATACCATTTATTTAGCCTAGAACTAGAAGGAAGGAAGATCCAGTAAAATCATTTGTGGAGAAGGATTGTTAATTTTTAGATTTATCTTTATTTCTTAAGTGTTAATTGTCTTTCTTTCTTAGTTTTTGGTTTATGTTTTAAAGCCTATTTAAAGGATAGATTTTTCATTGTACTGCATCATCAAATTTTATATTAATCAATACAGTTTTCTCATGTTCAACAATTGAATGTTTTGTGAAAGCTTTATGTCAAGGAGCCTAGGAGGTTTCGCGTATCTCTTATCAACTAGAAAGTACATTTAGTTGAGCCGAGCTTCTACCAAATAGCGATTGTCCTCATTCACAAGTTGGAGATTGTTTGATTGGTTTAATATACCAATTGGCCCTTCTCATGAGTTGGAATATGCTTGATCGTGTTCCACCTTATCTTTTATTTTAGTTCGAGTTGAAGAAGATAGTGGAAATATCAAGAGATTGAATTAGCTGTGTACTTTGGTCATATCAAGTGGTATCAGACACCGGTTCAAACTCAGCGACAAAAGGAAGGTTCTTGGACGTGTTCTTGAAGATCTTGGACGTGTCTTGTGTTATGGATATGTTCACGTATGCCATGATTCTTACAACACAAGTCACATAAAGAAATCAAGACTCGTCAAACATGCATAAACAACTCCCGAGCTAATAGATTTCAGTACTCCTTCACAAATTTAGTTCATATCTACGGTACACAATGTTAATGGAACTATTCCTCCCAGGATAGAACAAACATAGCTTTTTTGGCGTACTGGCACTTGAAACCCCAGAAATAGACAAACTCAACGAACGGCGAGAAGTCACACGACTCCGTTTTCTTTTATGTGTTTGTAGAGAGGAAGAACGAAATGAAGAAGAAAAACTATTTTCTTTCTTTGAGAATCTCTTGGGAAAATTTTTCAAATGAAAACAAAGTGGGTTGGTGTTATTTATAGAAAATGAAGATGTGTGAGTGAAGGGATATTACCCTTCGGGTGGGTGGTTACACCCCAACAGACACATTGGTTCGTTTTAAAATTATGAACCACTGCATCGGTTAGGCCCATGGTAGTTTGACATGTTAGTTCACTCTAACTGCCAAATCGGTTCGATTCAAATTAGTTTGGTCTAGTTGGTTACACAAACCAATTTTACCAATTACCAAAAGATTTAATCAAGTCAATCGACCAATCCAAGGCCTCCATATAACCAATATGGTATTGCAAGAGGTTATGTAGACTCCTTCCCCTTTCATTACTATTCACACCATTAAAATTCCAACATCTGGAAGGTTCTTCGACGTGTCTTAAAGATCTTGGATGTATCGTGACATTCTTGGAAGTTTCTTGAGAATCTGGGAAGAAGCTTGTGGTTTCTTGTGCCGCAAGCCTGGAAGACGAGATTAGGAACTTAACAACACAAATTCAAGCATTACTTCAAGCCCAAACCATTAGTAATGCTCGAATGGTGGCTAACAGTGCGTGACTTGAGGCATTGGAAGGGAGATTGATTGCGCAAGCACTACCAATATCTCCCATTGTTGAAGAAAATCCAAACTCTAACCCTAAGCACGAGCGGGTTTGAAGGGAAGGAAGTGTACTGGCAAACTCTAACCCTAAAAGGGTTTTGGCAAACTGAATTATTTTTTGTTGGGAATTAAAAGGGTTTCAAAAATATATTAAATAGACAAACTAAAATATTATTTATTGGGATTGGAAAATGATGTGATCTAGTCGAGACTGGATCAAATCAATTCACCTTAGTAACTAGGATGAGGTGAAAGATATTGAGATTGAACTAAATAAGCAGTGGGAAGCGGAGGAATGTACTGGCAAAAAAAAATCTCGGGTCACATGGCTAAAGAAGGGGGGGAAGAGCACATGCTTCTTTCATACGGTCACTTGTGCTCGCAGAAAATAAAAATTTTGTAGCTGGTCTTCGGGAGGATAATGGGGATTGGGTTACCGAGGAGAGAGGAAAGACAGATATAGCTACTAATTTCTACCAAACCCTCTTCACCTCCGAGAACCAGGTGCTTAACATGGTCGATCGTGTGGCTAATCTCCCCATAGCCCACAGTGTGACTGTTGAAATGAATGATGACATTACAAGGGCAGTCCTTCGTTGTGAAGTTCGGCGAACCGTTTTCACCATGGGATCCACGCAAGTGGTCAAAAGGTTTCACTGGTAAATTCTTCAACGCTTTTTGGGACATTGTTGGCGAGTCTGTGGTTAATGTTGTATCATCCTTTTTTACCACCAGCAGAATGCTTAAAAGCTTTAATCACACCTGGTTATAGAGGTGAAAGGTTGACCTGGAAGACCCACTGACCGGTCCCGACCCGTCCCGTCCTTAAGGGTCAGGACGTGAAAGTTTGTCTACAGGGTCAGATTAGGGACGGGTCATTTGTTGACCCTGTAAGGGTCGGGAGACTCGGGACTGGTAGAGACAACTTAGGGACGGGTCACGCCCCTTGGCAACAACAAATATCTCACACCAGATTGGACCTTTTTGTAAAGTTTTAAAAGTTTAGGTACTAACTTGTAAAAATAAAAAAATTTGAGTACCAAAATGTAATTTTACTATCAAAATTTATGGACTTATTTGTAAAAAAATAAATTTTAGGTACTATTGTAAGAAAAAATAATTTTGGGTACCAAAACATAATTTGTAAAAAAATAGTCTGTTGATTAGGGTCGACCCACTGACTCGTCCCGACTTGTCCCAACCCTTGAGGGTCAGACAGGGTCAATAAGGAGACAGGGATGGGACGAGTCAGTTATAGATCTTGACCCTTCAGGAACGGGTCAGACAGGGTTAGGTAGGGGTGTACATGGGTCGGGTGGTCCGGGTTTAGGCATTTTAATCACCCGACCCATGCACTACGGTTTGGGAAATATTAAACCCAAACCCACCCAAAAAAATCTAAACCCTACGATTTGTTTCTAATTGGGTTGGGTCGGGTTGGCGATATTTTTAAGTAAAAACCCAACCCAACACAAAATATGTAATTATTCTACATCATAAAAATATTTTATAAAAAATTAAAAATTCAAACGAATAAACCGAGGTGAAAGGTATCAAAATTCACAAATATTGTTTGAATTTTAATAAAACTTGATTTACTTCAACTTATGTCTAGTTTTTTTCATGCCATTTGTTGAAATAGGCTAAAAAGGTTACAAATGAACGCATCCATAATATGATATTCTTTTAAAATTGTACACAAGAAAAAAAAAATACGTGAATCATAGCTATATTAAATATATGTCTAAACTTTAAGTCGAAGAATGCATTAGATTAGTGAGACTTTAATAGAAAAACATGGCGAAATATCTTAATTTTCTCATAAGTATGACTATATACGACATAAATATTTTTTTGGATACGAACTCATACCAATAATTGGAACACGGGTTGGGTCGGGTTCTACGGGTTGTGTAATCTAAAATCCAAACCCAACCCAAATGAGGCGGGTTGTACAAAAGAAAACCCTCACCCAACCCAAAACCTTCGATTTAGCGACAAATACGGGTGGGTTGGGTCGGGTTGGACGGGTGGGTCGGTTTGCGGGTGTGTTTGTTCACCCCTAGGGTTAGGGATGGGATAGGCAAATTTCAGCCCTACCTGGCTAACTCTGATCCGAAAAGTGGACAATGTAGAAAACATGAGACAACTCCGACCAATAAGCTTGTGCCAGTTTGTTTATAAAATTATAACTAAAATTATGTTGGAAAGACTGGAGTGCATCTTACCACAAATCATTTCTAATGGTCAAAATGCTTTCATAAAGGAACGACAAATTGTGAAAAATATCCTCCTAGGACATGAGTTAATGCATTATTTGAAAATCAAAACGTGAGGGAAGAAATGGTACATGGCTTTGAAGGTTGACATGGAAAAGGCCTATGTCAGAGTCGAATGACCATTTCTCCTCGCGGTTTTGGATAAGATGGGTTTCAATTCAACCTGGACATGCTGGATACATGAATGCCTCCGGTTGGCGTCATTCTCGGTCTTGATGAATGGTACCCCGGTGGGTTTTTCACTTCCTCAAGGGGTCTACGACAAGGTGTTCTGCTCTCCCCGCTCCTGTTTGTGATCTGTGCAGAGGGGTATGCGGCACTCCTTCGGAAAGCTATATCTGAAGGGATGTTACAAGTATATGTGTCAAAACAGAACCCGACCCGATTAACCCGCCCGATCAACCCGACCCGCAACCCGCCCGCAACCCGAATTGACTAAAAGTCAATAACCCGTATCCCGCCCGACCCGCAACCCGATTAACCCGCAACCCGACTGACCCGCAACCCGATTAACTCGAACCCGATTGACCCGCAACCCAATTAGACCCGAACCCGATTGACCCGAACCCGATTAACCCGTAACCCGAACGACTCAACTCGAACTTCACATAATCCACTTGAATAATTATTAAATTATACAATACATAGTTTTTCAAAATAACGTTATATATATATATAACTGTTTATGGGCTAGTAACTAAATTAACCATTAGTTACAACAATCATTTGTTAGTGAAATTCACTTAATTTGTCTACTTGTTTTCTATGCTTCTACATTTATTGCAACTTCAACACTACATGATCATTATTTTACAACACTTAGTAAAATTTTGGTGATCAATAAGAAAAGAAATTCGATGAAGATAAACCAAAAGTTGACATTTGAAACCGCAGTTCATTAATATGATTTTACAACAACTATTTTATTAATTATTGTATAATTATTTTAATAAAGTGTTAGTTATAATTTCACATTAATTAAGTGAAAGAAGGGGAAGATAATAATCATTAAAAGAAAAGGAGGGGACCTTCTGAAATTTTGGGTTTCTCGCCAAAATTGCAAACAGGTGCCAGGCTATTGAGCGGGAGAGAGAAGGAGAAAAGAGATCTCAAATTTTTAGGGGATTGACTATTGAGTGGAGAGAAGAATTATTGGACGGGAAAGTGGGAAAAAGAAAAATAGCTCTCAATTTTGGGAGGGTTTGCGGAGGAAGAGTGAAAATTGAACCCCGGACTGAATTTTCCAATTTTGAGACAAATTCCAAATTATAAATTTTGTTGAACATAAACCGACGCAAAATCAAGGAAAATTGAGTCGGTCAATTAATCGACATAAAAAGGAACATAAAACTATAAATGTGTCGGTTAAGTGAATCGACACAAAGTAATCGTCATAAAACCTCTATTTTCTTGTAGTGATAATAATATATTACGTGAATGAGATAGTATTGGCGTGAATGGTTATCAATTTGCATCAATAGAGGAAAATTGGCGTAAGAATAGAGATTTAGTTTTGGCGAGAAAGAGTATGACTATGCATGAACAAAAATGTTTTGGTGTGAGTGATAAGTCATTAGACGTGAATAGTTTAAAATTTATATAAATCAAGTTAGTTTTTGCGTGATTGCTGATCAATTTGCATGAGAACGTTTCATAGTTTGATGTGTATGTATTGTTGAACTTGTTTCCTAAAGCATTAGACTATTAGTTCAAGTATTATGAATCCTTATTACGTCAGTGGTTAGCTAAAATTTCTTGAAAATGATACTACCGGTCTTAACAAGTTTCATACGTTATTAAATTGATCGGTAGATGACGAAAGAGATTATTTGAAAAATTATGATACTCGTATCCGATAATTGTCATGTTGTTTGAATGATTGGATATTTACGTGAATAAGATAGTTTTGACGTGAATGATCGTGAATGATTATCAGTTTGCGTGAATAACAAAGGATTTGCGTGAAGACGTGAACAATATAGTTTTCATGGGTTTGTTCATTCAAGCCATTGTAGCTTTCAACAAAAGCATTTAGGGTAAAGACTATAGAGTCGTCGTATAAGTTATATGTTTAGGGTATAAGGTATTAATGGTTTAGCCATGATTAGTCAAAATCATAACTAATAAGGATCAAATTTTTTATTAACATATGTTCATGCACCATTAGGGGTTTAGAGTATAGACTATAGAGTCGGATTAGATTATATGTTAATGAGTAGAGTTACAATTAAAGTCACAACAATTTTGCTAAATTTTATAGTTTAGGGTAATCAACAAATCATACAAGTAATTAACTAGCTAAACCAACAATTTCTCTACAAAAAAAATTTATAAACAATTTCACTTGTTTTAAAATAATTAAAAAATCAGTATGAATTGAAAATTCACCCCAAAATATCAGTACACCACCAGTCATGATCTGCCCGCCTGCAAGTCTGCAACCTTCCCGACTGAAATTTCACCCAAAACTCAGTCGATGCGCTGAGCGAACAACCCATAACTCGACCCGTCTGACCCGAAACCCGATTTGCCCGCAACCCGATTGAACCAAAACCCGATAAACCCGTAACCCGACCAACCCGTAACCCAATTGAACCCAACCCGAACCCGCCCGATTGACACCTATAGTTCAAGGGATAAAAGTTGCCTCCAGGGCACCAAGAATTATGTCTTGTAGTCAGATTTATGAGTATCAATCACATAAGGTTCATAATGTTCATAATTACTATAGCGTCGCTTGTAGGAGTTACTAGGTAGTTTTATTTGTATAACTCTTTTTTTCTCTTGATATCACTGGGAAATAAAATAAAATAGAGTTATGACCATTGTTATAAGAACCGAACCGGATCAACGTCCATGCCAGTAGAACCGTTAAACCTGTTACGATAGCGGTCCGGTTCATTGCTTGAACGATTATTGATGGACCATACGATTTTCACAGTTGAATATAAAATCAGATAAACTAGCATGGTATAACTGGTCCACTGGTTCACTATTTTAACAAAAAAATGCTTTCACATAATAAAAAAAATTATAATTATCAATTTTATATATGCTTTCTCAACCTTATTTTTGACTTTACGTTGTCTACTACCGACTAGAATCGTAATTTTTAATTTAAATGAAATAAATGTGGTTTTTTTGTGAGATGGTTTGAATGATTTATTAGATATTTTGGTAATGATATGAATTTGAATTTGTTTATGGTCACTGATAATTTCATTCTTAAATAAGTGTAATATACAAGTTTTATATGTTATATATCATGAACGGTTCTATCAACGGTTCACCAACGATTTTATAACTGTTAACCGCTAAACCTAAATCACTAATTTTTTCGGTTCAGTATTCGGTCTGGTTCCCGAAAAAAGTTGTTGTGACACCAATTCGTAATCCCTGTCCCATTGTATATGTGACATAATTTTTGGGTATACAAAGTGAATCATTCAATAGATTCGACAAACCATGAAAGGATTCATGAACTTACTCAATGGTAATTAAACATTTAATCATCCCCATGAATGATCACCTTGCGTAAGCGAAACCATATTGAAGTGAAACAATATCGAATATCACTTTAGGTATACTAGGTGACAATGCCGCGTCATGTTGTGAGGCGGAGATGGCCTATAGGGAAATATTATGTGGCCAGTTGTGACGGTTTGTTAGTATTATTTGCCTAAAATTATTATTTGTTAGTAGATTTGTATGGTGGTCAACATCAAATTTAATTTTTTTTGAAAATTTTGGCTAGTAATTATATTTAACTAAACCCAAGTAGACCCGGTGATTATAGGTAGAGTATGTTTGACGTATATATGGGTTTGTATAGATGAGTTTGGGTAGGGTATGAATATTTACTTCCATAATCAAAATGTGTATGAGTTGGGTATGGATACCCATTTATTCGAGGCTTTTAATTATACATACAAAAATTAGACATGTTTTTAGAAATTCAAAAGTTAAAGTACCAAAATGTAATACAAAAAATTTTAGATACTAAAATATAAAGTTACATCAATATTTTGAGGACTTATATGCCAAAAAAATAAATTTAGGTTATAAATCTAAAGATCTATTAAGTTTAGGTCCAGAACCATCATTTGCGTAGTTGAGACTTAATTCCTTTTATGGTGATGTATTTAAGATGCTAATTATTTACTTTTATATAGAAAAATGAAGAATATTTATTTGATATGTGTATATAACTAGTCAAGCATTCCATGTCTAGTTGTTGAAAATTCTAGCCCGGTTTAAAAAGAAAAACTTTAGAGAGAAGCAACTCGCTTAAATGGTCACGCCTTGTCAATGGTCAATTATTAGTTCTCTAGACTGTTGGTAAGTCGTGTATCGACTCGTTCATACTTGTGATTAGAATACATAAAAATAGTATACTAATTAGTGTTAGACGAAGAATGCAAAGAAAGAAATAAATAAATGGTTATGGAAGGCGTGTGAAAAATGACACGAATAGGACGTGGATGATGGAAAGATTTTGACAATTTCTTTTAGTTGGCAATCACTAAAAAAGTCAACCCTTTTCACCATAGCAATTTATAGACACTTGCTTATGTAGATGTCGCATATTTTGTTACATGTAGTAAGTAGAAATTTGTTTAGTATCCTGTAATTGTACTAAATAAGTTTATAAATCCGCTCTTTCAATATTTTGGAGTCATCTCTCTTTTATAATTTATTTGATGTTTCACGTAAATAAGTTTATAGATACCAAAACATAAGTGTTGAATGATTTTAAATTAATATTAAATTAGGGGAATCAAAATATAAAATGTACATTATAGTTCCTAAGTTGTGATTTAATTATATTTTGGGTATCAAAATGTAACTTTTTATGCAACAGTAACCTTACTTCAGATTTTTGACAATTGTACGTAGGAAAATCTCATAAAATTTAGATACCAAAACATAATTGTTGAATGATTTTACATTAAAATTAAATTTGAGGTATCTAAATGTAAAATGTATATTATAATGACTAAGTTGTGATTTAATTAAATTTGGGGTATGAAAATGTAACTTTATGCAACAGTAACCTTACTTCAGATTTATATATATTAACTAAGTTGTATGTGCCACGCTTTGCTGTGGCAATTGGGTATGTGATTATTAGATTATTACTAACTTAGTAGTTTGAGACTCGCAATTAGCCATAAATAAATTTGAGACCAAAAGTACTATTTTCTTTAAAAGGAAATTTTCTCCATAAAGTTAGTGACCACTAATGCAATACAAACATTTATAATAATTGTTAAACAAATTAATAAATCGAGTATTCATGTGTAGGGATGACAATTATACACCTATGGATAATTTTACTCAAACCCACGTAAACCCTACGAGTATGTGTAGAGTTAGTATGAGTAAAATATATATGGGTTTGAGGTTTTGTATATGAGTTTGGGTAGGGTATGAATATTGTTTTCATACTCTGAATGGGTATGGATGTATGAATACTTAAATACCCATTTAGTTTATTTTGACTATACATACAAAAATTGGATCTATTTGTAAACCATAAAAATTTTAGGTCTGAAAATGTAATACACAATAAATTTATGTACTAAATGTAATTCCATTGATAATTTAAAGACTTGTATGAAAAAGGTACTAAATCTAAAGATCTATTAAGTTTATGTAATAAAATATAATTTTTCATATAGGTATGGGTACATGTACATACCCAAATTCAAGGATACCAAGTTACCATATATTTGGATTTCACTCAACTTAATTGGATTAGATAGTAAAATATTAATAGATTTGAGCAAAATTGTCATCCCTATCCATGTGTAGTAATCAATCATATTTAATAAAAACCTCACACAGTTGAAAAACTAAATTGATTGCAAAGTTTCTCTAAAATGGAGAAATTTGTTGGGAAGATAATCCAAAGACTCCCACGCAAGTTAATAAAACCCAACAAAAGAAGGAGAAAAAAAATTATAGGTTAATTATCTTATTGAGCTATATCGTTTCTATTTCTCACTCCATCATACATAATGATATAAATAGTTGGTAGAGCATGAACAAATGACAGTACTGTGAGATTAGTAGAACTCTTAACCATGACCAAGTGGCAAGTAACAAGACTGAATCACATTGACTACCATATATATATATATATATATTTTTATAAGGGTGGGAATTGCAATAAACTAAAAATGAACCCAAACAACAGTCTTGGATACAAAATCAATCAGAAAAAGGAAAAACAAATAAAAAGGGAAATAAGGAAATAAGAAGGGAATGGATCCAGCAGCACAAGAGGTGCACGTATCCAGGCGGAACGAAATGAGCCAATTCCACTGACAATCCCCTGCTACCCGAACAAAAAACAAAACCTACAAACACACACAGAGGCGCAAAACCTACAAACTTTGGTGTTGCTGCTGGTATCTGGAATTATCCGATTGTTTCTCTCTAACCAGAACTGCCAGCAGACAGCATGAAGAGCGCAAAAAGCAATCCACTCACTAAGACAATTGGGGATTTCGTGCTTCCATCTTTGAATGGTGCCAAGGATGTCCCCTTGAGGTGGGATCAAGGTGTTACAAACTTGTTTCTCCTTACGCGAAATCTCTTTTACGAACTAGCAGTCAATAAATAAGTGCTCTACCGTCTCCTCAGCTCTGGTGCACAAGCTGCATCTCCTTGCTAAGAACACTCCTCTCTTCTGCAGGTTTTCCATCGTCAGAATCCGTTAATGGGCGACTGTCCACATGAATGCATTCACTTTTGATGGGATGAAATCCCGCCAAACAGATTCACAAGGGAAGTCACCCACCCCGGGGAACTGGCCTGCAAGCAAAAAACTATACATAGAACGGACAGAGAACACCAAGTCTGGTTCATGCGGCCAAACCAAACAGCTTGGACCACACGATAGCCGATAAGAATCAACATAATTCATCAAATAAAGAAGACTCAATCTTTCCCTCTCATCCCCCCTCTCAACGGGAAATTCAGATCAATGTTTCGAACTAAACTCTCACCTGAATGATTGACCATATCGGAGATCCAAGCGTCGGGTGTGGCTGCGGCAGCGGCCACTATTGGGAAGGACTCACCGAGAATTGTATTAGGAATCCAGCAGTCATTCTAAAATGAAACCCATACACCCCCGCCCGGATCGATGTACTCTTTAGAAATGTTGGCCCACACCAAACCCCCAAATCCGTTCCTGCACTTCTTACTTTGCCAAAGCGAGTTACCAGAGTGGTACTTTATGTCAATTAATTCTCTCCACCAGCTACCTCTTTCAACTGCGAACTTCCACAACCATTTGGCCAACATGGATTTGTTAAAACACTTCAGGTCTCTAACACCCAATCCACCATTGTCTTTGCTAGCTTTGCACATATCCCATTGAACGAGAGGAATTTTGGTATAGTCCCCTGCACCACTCCAAATAAACCTTCGCTGCACGTTCTCAATTCTTTTCAAAATAGTTGCAGGAGCGCGAAGGAGAGAAAAGAAGTAGTTAGGCTGACCCGATAGAGTGGAGCAGTTCAGAACCAAACGGCCACCGAAAGAGAGATATTGGCCTTTCCAACCCTCCAACCGTTTTTCAACCTTGGCAATGATCGGCTCCCAAGTAGAAATAGCGTTGACCTTAGCTCCGAGAGGGAAGCCGAGGTACATGGACAGGTCACTACTCCAAAAATCTCAGCGTAGTACTCAGGAATAATGACATCGCCGACTGTAATCATAACCGATTTTTCTAAGTTGATTTGAAGGCCAGTAACCGCTTGGAAACAGACCAAGGCTGCAAGGATATTCAGAACTTGATCATGGGAGGCTTCGCAGAAAATCAAAGTATCGTCTGCAAACAACAGGTGAGTAACCTCTCCTTTCCCGCCTCTTTCATCCATATAGAACCCCAAAATCCACCTTCAGCCTTAAGTTTATCCAACATGAATGAGAGAATGTACATGATGAGAGTGAACAAGCCGGGTGAGAGGGAATTTCCTTGGCGCAAACCCTTTTGTGGTTTGAAAAACCTTTCCCCTCGCCATTGATAAGAGTAGAGACCATCGGGGAGCACATAGTCCCTCGGATCCAATCCTTCCACTTCTGCGGGAACCCAAGTGCATCCTGAACCTTGAAAAGGCAATCCCAACTCACATTGTCGAATTCTTTCTCGATATCTAACTTGAACATAAGGCCAGGCTTGCCGCTTTTCTTACAGCTATCCAGGAGCTCGAAAGCAATAAGACCTGCTTCCGAAATCTTCCTTCCTCTAACCGAAGCATGCTGGTTTTGCGAGACAAGCTTCGGGAGAACCTTGCTGATCCGGCGGGCAAGGATCTTGGTAATAATTTTGTTCAAGCTACCCATCAAACTAATAGGGCGAAGGTCTTTAACATCCTCAACCGTGTCTCTCTTCGACAGAAGGAAAATAAAGGAATGAGTAGCGATAAACACACAACTCAAATCAGTCTCGCATTACATTTATTTTGAAATAAACTTATTTGCCAACTTGACATAACATACTAGTTTTTGTTTATTGCATAGTTTTTTTATTAGATTAGCACTCATATCACAACTCTAAGAGGGTAAAACGTAGGAGCACACCAGCAATATGAAAAGTTAATCTTTATACACCGCAAAATGCGTGCAAAGCAGAAGGGGCTGCTTGGCCAACTTTAGTGTAGAAAAATGAAAGAAGCTCCTTATGATAGAAGGGCTTGAACAGCAAAGGGTGTTGTTCATCAACCAATTCTTCTGGGACTTTTATAAGGTAATCCGCTTTTGGGAATGAGAATAGACCCAAAGAATATCTCGCCTCATTTCCCGACATCATAACTCGATGATATGGTGAATGAAGTCGACCATTCAACCAAGCCTGCGAATAAACACTTATTAAGTTACATATGTATATGTATATAAATAAATGATATAAGATATAATTTTTAAATTCGATCTCACGGAAAATAAATTTATTTAGATGAACTGATTCTCGACGCCGTATTGTATGAAAAAAGAACGAAAGGGAGGCACAGTTATAACTTACACCAAGACAGTCAGCAATCATAACGATGAAAGAGTTTCGAGTAGAGGGTTGGAATTTGATCCATCTACCATCTTTGGTTTGCACTTCCAGCCCCTCAACTTGATTTTGATGCAATATGGTCAGTGAATTCTTATCTGTGTGTGAATTAACTCCAACTTCAGTATCAGTGGTGTTAGGACCCTTGTACTTCATGATCCGCAGCAAGTAACCTGTGGAGTTGATGTGTTCATCCACATATTTTTGAAGCCCAAAACTTTCAGCGATCATTTTTCTGACTGTCATGTCCAATGTTGAAAGTTGCTCCACCAAGGAGTGGGTTTGTTTGCTGCAAAGAAGTTTGAAAATCACATAAATTTGTTCAGCCTCCCTCGCATATAAAGAGACATTTTGACGTTCAGTCATACAAGAAAACAGATAAATCACAGACAGACTCCTCTTATATATGAGTTTTTTTTCCACCGATTCTATCTATATTTTGTTCTCCCAAGACAAGCTCCTCAATTTCAAACTTTTATTCCAAGTAACGATTTTTTTAGTTCGCTACCATGTTCAGTTAAAGTATGTGAAATTATAGAATTATCCCTTTCATTTCACTTATTTTTTTCCCACACGCCGCCCCCATAACTTCAGTGTTTTTCCATAACAAATGTTCTCCAATTTGATTTTCCTCTATATATGGTTCGATTTTTCGAACGGTTTTTCTAATTTAGAATTATGAAGTTGTGCCAGAATTTGTCTATAATCCGGGATATAAAAAACTTAATTTATATCCAGATATGCATAATCCTTCATCAACCAAATTCTTATCATTCATCTCCAATAATATCAACCATTCAACAACATATCTAAGGTCATTCAAGTGGGACTATAATTTTACATCCCGCTATTCTCTCTTATTTGAAAACTTTTTGACCAGTTTAAACCAATTGTTTTTAATATTTTATTTCCTTAATCGGGTCATATTTGAGTTGATATAACTCAAGTTAAAAAAAATTGTACAAAAAAACGCAGTATTATGCTTTGTTTTAAGAACCGGACCGGTCGTTGAACCGGAAAAATTAGTCGTTTAGGGTTTAATGGTTAACCGTTAAAAACCCATTGATAGAGCCGTTCATAATATATATAACATACAAGACTTGTATAATACACTTATTTAAGAATTAAGTTATCATGGATCATAAACGATTTCAAATTCATGACATTTGTAAAATATCTAACAAATTATTCAAACTATCACACAAAAGAAATAATAATTTTTAAATTCAAGATAAAGATTACGGTGCCAATCAGTGGTGAACCACGTAAAGTCAACAACAAAATTGGAAAATAAAAAGTTGAAGCATAAATCAATTTAATAATTTTGGTTTGATGATCTTAGTTTACGTTAAAGTATTTTTTGTACAAATTTTGTGGTTAGTGAACAAGTGGACTAGTTAAACCGTGGTGGTTCATATAATTTTATTTTGACCCGTGAAAAACCGTTTGGTCAATCAATAAGCCTCCAAGTAATGGACCAACCATTATCATAATTGGTTTGACGATTCTACTGGCAACCGTTGATCTGGTTTGGTTCTTATAGCAACGATATTATGTCATATATATATATATGGTGGCGTCTTCGGTGTACTCACTTTTTTGGGTGCATTAAGTGCACTCGCTTCATAACTGTTATTTTAAACATGCGATTTATGTCAAAATGATGACAATCATCACTTATGATGTGATGAACAATAACACACATGAATTTGCACAAAAACCATTAAATATTTACTTTAATTTGTAAGATTTAGAGTTTAGAGATTTAGGATTCGGGTTAGGGTTTACAATTTGGGTTTAGGGATAGAACTCAAAATTGGAGGTCTAGGGCTTAGGGTAATCCTCTAATTAGTTATTATCATATGTTATATCATCATATTACACTAACTCTACAAATTAAAATTCAAAATTCGACACCTTAAGACTAGTTTTTGAGTTGGGTGCATTGAACACACTCATTTTAGTGAGTGCACCGAAGTGGTCACCATATATATATATATATGGTAATAACTGGTGTACGTCAGACGTATAGTATACAGCAGGTGATCTAACCATTAGATGTACTTAGATGAGCTCCGACCGATCTCAACGGTCAATTTTTGTTTTTCATTAAATCAAACTTCGAGTTGGGGTTTAGAAAATCAGTGTATGAGGTTTATCCATTAGAGGTTGGGTATAGTATCATAACCAAAACTCGATTTAATTTATGATCTAGATAGAGATATCTCACTAGTTTTTGAGTTGCGTGCATTGAACACACTCATTTTTGTGACTCACCATATATATATATGGTGCCTTCTATGGTACCCCGGGTGAAATCCGGGGTACCGCATACCTTGGGTATGAAAACGCTATCTAAACCTTGAATTAGCAGGATTTTTGTGCATGATACTATACCCTAACCATTAATGAGTGAACCCTATGTCCTAATTATCCAAATCATAAACTATAAACCCTAAGATGGTGCATTGATTTTTTTGCCTGTATTTGGACGAATCATAGTCGTCGATTATTGTTTCTAATTAAATTGATCTTGGGGTATAAGATTTTGAGAATAAGACCTAGATGTTGATCTTTAAGGGTTAGATTATAGTATCATGTCCGAAAGATCAGTCAATTGATGTTCTGGATAGCGTTTTCTTACTCAAGATATATGGTACCCCGGATTTCACCGTGCCCCATATATATAAGTTGATATAACTGAAATCTCTTAACAACCACCTCAAAATTTGCACCACCTCACTCCCAAATTACAAAAAAGTTTAGCTGTCCAGGAATCCGTAATTTACCTCATTATCCCTATAATATGAATTTTGAAATCCTATTTTTTATCCTAAATAATCTATGAATCAAATTAAATTATGAAATTCTGTATATAGGAAGTAGGAACTCAAGCCTTTCTATAAACCAAATACTGAATTGTTTTTTTCCAAAACGCACTAATTATATCTAAAAATTGCAGCCAAAAGTTCAAGTTTGTAAAAATTAGAGCGATGTCAAACCAACCCCTTAATTTACCTGAAATTTGGGTTTCCTTGAGGCCACATCAAGTTGGCAAAAGCTTCAACCTTTTCAGTCACCGCGACATCATCTATCCCCAAGCTCTCGTACAGCCGAACACTAGGATGATTTCCTATGTAACCATGGTACGGCTTGTCGGACACATTCCGCAGCTTGGTCTCCAAAGGAAGCTCGAAAATCTCTTCCATGGATCCGAAGAAGGCGTTGCAAAGGTCGGAAGGTATCTTATCGTAAGACGCCTCGAAGCAGCCGTACTCCTCCAACGCCTCGCGAACTTGAGATTTCAAGGATTCCCACTCTGAACTTCCCACGCTGCTCAGTTCCAGCTTGGAGAAATCTAAGAAGGGCAGCTTGGGAGAAAATTCGCAACCCATTGTTATTGTTGTTTTGGCTAAAGCAAAGTGGTGTGTGTTTTGGGCCACCTTGAGTTCCTTCTACCTGCATTTATAGCTCCTGTGGAGGTTGTATCGCATATTCCTTTGATGAAATCATTGCGTAGAAATACCCTCATCAAGCGGCAAAAACAGAGGGAAAAGGAAAGGGGAAACATATAGTCATATAGATCAATCGAAGGGGACAAAGGGGAAAGAAACGAAAAAGGGTTAAACCCAAGGTTGGCTAGCTGTACAAGATCAAAGGACAGACGAAAAGCGCCAAGGTTAACAGAAGTTGGAGAAAGACATCCAAGCAGAACAGATAAAGCCGGCTAAGATGGGTTTGGGCAGAGTTTATACTTTAGGAAAAGGTTATAGGTATAATATGCCCTTCTACTATGTAGTTTTATCAAACATGTCCCTCTACTATTTTTTACATCAAATATGCCCTTATATTTTGTAAAAATGATCAAACATGCCCTTTGTTAAAATTTGCATCTAAAAACCATCAATCATGGTCGAAGCTTGGTTTGGGCGACACCTATGTATAAAATATTCCTAATAATTTCACTTTAGAATTCTTCTGTTTCTTTTGTATAGCCAAATACTTCTAATAATTTCATTTTAACTAGACCTGGAGAAATAAACGAGGAAGAAAAACTGACATTTCAACCCCAATTTTTCCGATGTCAGGTCGTGTGAATCTCGGTTCAAATGTGATTGACCATTTTTTAATGGAAATTTTTACATAAGGGCATGTTTGATAATTTTCCAAAGTATAGGGGCATGTTTGATGTAAAAGATAGTAGATGGGCATGTTTGATAAAACTGCATAGTATAGGGACATATTATACCTATAACCCTTAGGAAAAATGTTTCTTGTTAAAAAAAAATCACAATTCATTCACGCTAAGAATTATGATTAATTTTGTAAGTGTAATCTCAAACTATTTTATTTTATTTTTCCCTAATAATTTTACATTGACCATATTATATGGAAATAAAAATGGGTTGATTGCATAATATACACAATGACATCCGTTCTGAAATATTTTACAAATTTTAAAATAATTTTATAATAACGAGAATAAATTACAATATATATGCGTGAATAACTAAATTGTGTGAATACTCATTACGGGTTGTGAGACAATAGACTCGCTATTACTAAGTCGTTGGTAAATGTTTAAGATTAAAATCCAAAAACCAATTTCGTGCAGTAACATGTATTACAATCCACAAACCCTATTAGATCCCATATTGAGGAAGGAAAATTCCTTATTCTCATCATATGGTCGACCGAGGATCTTTATTTTTGGAGTACGAGTCGTCCAGGAGTTGATGCTCATTAATTTGATGGGTTGAAACATAAACACACGATGTGCTAGCTAATCCTCTCTTTCGCTCACACTTATCCAATGCCACAAAATGCCTTGACCGGGCATTTGGACCTGTAACCTTGATCCGTATGGAAGAAATGGAGGAGCCCAATGTGATCCAACGGCTTGTAAAGCAAAGGATGCTCCTCGTCAACAAGCTCTGCAGGCACTTGTATTATCCCTTTGCTGAAACCAAACAGCCCCATTGAGTATCTGTCCACTTTCCCATTCATAATCACTCTTTGTGTTGCAGACACTATCATGTCATTGCTCCACGCCTACATGTATGTCACACAAAAACAAATTACTTACACAATACAATGAATCGGGAGAAGAAAAAAAAAGAAGCTATCTGTAGTATGTAAAATATAACTCACCATTAAGGCATCACCGGCAACCACAACAAATGAAGTGGGAGTGAAGTGGGCGTTCATCTTCTCCCCGTCCTTGGTATCGATCTCCAAACCGTCGACTTGGTTCTGATGAAGAATCGTGGTGAAGCTATAGTCGGTGTGAGTGATGAATCCCAGGTGAGGCTCGTCTCCCACCGGAGCTCTGTTCTTCAGCAGCCGAAGCAGATACGTCGTCGACTCCACGTGACCATCGTGGTACTTCTCCACTCCGTAGCTCTCAAACAACATTCTCGTCACTGTCTTGTCTAACTCTCCTGTCAGCTTCGCGTACATGTGAACTTTCTCACTGAGGACAATCAAATCGAGCTGACGATTAATTAGCGAATTGGACATCTCCGATTCGGAGGTGGTGTTTTCCGGCGAGGAAAAACTTGTGTTTGAACTCAATAAATGCACCTTTGACTTCTTGAACAACGATTCTAAACACGGTTCACTCCTCTCCGAACAATGTTCGAATGAGGGTGTTTGATGTTTTTGATGGTTTTTTGGAAATAAGCTAAGTTAATTACACCTACTCCTATGGAGGTTTAGTGAGAGCTCCGAAAACTAAGGCTAGGGCTAATTTGCAGAGAAAAGATAAAAGTTTGACATAGTGTGTCAAATGGTTGGTTGTGGAACCCTTTTCCCGTCTTTGTTTCTCCGATTTATAGCCACTAGGAGTAACCGCCTTGGTAACTGCTAGCCGGCTTGTTGTTCCAACCACCTTAGGGACCCCTTTTCGTTGCCTTGGTTGCCAATTGGTAACCGTTTTCTTGGTCTTCACCTCCATTGCCTTGGAGCTCCTTGACCCGTCTTGTTGACTGGTTGGTATTTGATGCCCTCGACGCCCAACCGAATTGGTGTTGGTCTTGTCGCCTTGTCTTGACTGGATGAGGTTGAAGCCCTCAACCTTGCCTCCATGATGAAGTCTCGACCACACCCTTGACAGCTTGATGACTCCCCGCTCCTGAGTCCGCTACCACCTCATGACACCAAGTCCTTCTCATTAACTTGTTGGTTGTTACCAAGCCGTCTCATCGGCTTGATCCTTCCGGCATGCCACCAAGCCCATGTAATCAACTTGACACCCATTGCTACCAAGCCATTCCTGGTGGCTTGGTCTCCATACTTAGTTTTTGTAGCCTCGTCAAGTGGTAAGTTGCACTCTGCCGGTTTGGTACCCCGTGAAGGTGCTACCAAGCCCGTCTTTGGACTTTGTCTCCATATGGCTTCATAAGGGCCGAGCTCAGCATCCTGGTCGATCCATCCATAGTTGGGTGGCCACCTTAGCTAGTCACCATGCCTTAGTCGAATTTCTTGTCTTGTTGGCTTGATACCCTGATGTCTGGCTATCAAGTCCGTCTTGTTGGCTTGATATCCAGACTTAGTTTCTGGATGACTCTCTTAGTTGGTACCTGGCTTGGCCCCCTGTTGCCTGGCCACCAAGTCAGTCTTGCCGGCTTGATACCCCCTTGGGGTCATGGTACCTTGTCGCCTTGCTTAGCTGCCAAGCCTGTCATGCCGGCTTGGTACCTTGTAGGGGTCTTGGTACCGAGGTCGCCTTGCCCGCCTGGTATCCCCTTAGCTCCATACTTAGCCAATTTTTATATCTTTTGGTATCAAGCCTACCTTGTCAGCTTGATACACATTTTGCTTCATACTTAGCCAAATTATATGTCAAAGTACCAAGCCATGCTTTGCGGGCTTGATACCCCGTCGTTGACATCCGGTCATTTGGCACCCTGTTGTGTCACCTTGTTTCCACGACTTAGTTTTTGGATGACTTCCTATTTGGTACCCGGCTGTTTGGCACCCCGTTGTGTCGCCTTGTTTTCAAGACTTAGCTTTTGGATGGCCTCCTATTTGGTACCCGGCTTGGTACCCAGCCGTTTGGCACCCCGTTGTGTTGCCTTGTTTCCCATACTTAAACTTTTGGATGGCCTCCTATTTGGTATCCGGCTTGGTACCCGGCCGTTTGGCATCCCGTTGTGTCGCCTTGTTTTCCATACTTAGCCAAATTTCTTACTTGGGTATCAGGCCTGCCTTGTCGGCTTGATACCCTCTTGTTTGGCCCCATTATTAGGTACCAGGCTTGGTACCCGGTCGTTTGGCACCCCGTTGTGTCGCCTTGTTTCCAAGACTTAGTTTTTGTAGGCCAAATTTCATACTAAGGGGTGGAGGCATCGTACAGCTATGGAGGCCTCGGAGACGGGTCGGCCATCGTATAGAGGAGAAGGGGGTTGGCCACTTAGCCCCAAAAATCTAGCCCAACTTGGGCCCAGCTGGCTCTTTTAATCATTAATGTTGAGCTGGCCTTATAAATCCATTAATCCCCTTGTAATTAATCGATGTGGTACAAGCTAATTTTTTTATGGGTAAACAAATGCCCCCACAACTTAGTGTATAAGAATTATGCACTAAGTTGTTGAACTCAACTTGACCACCTAAAAATAATACTTATCTCGGCATCACCTTTCTTAGCCAAATTTTGGCTTTGATTACAAAGCCATGCACCCATAGTCTTTTATAGAATGCTAGGCCCCGACATAAGGAAGTAAAACTTAACTAGCTCAATTTCCTTTCCATGTCATGGCTAGCTACTCAAGCCATGCTTTATCACGAGGTATCATGCCATGTCTTAGGGTGTGGGAGGCTTGGCATGCCGACCACCATGGTGGCCGCCCAACATTGAACCCCTTGATACCTCACGTCCCAAAGAGAAGGGACATAAGGCTTGAGATACTTGCCATCGATTAATCGATCATGTAGCATCCCATCCTCTTACGATAAGAAGGCCTCCTTGGACCGGTGGCCTGGACAATAAAGGGTCTACACCGGCAGCGAATCACCTGCTCATGCCATGTAAATGGCATGGATCCAGCCACCACATGAGTGTGGCTTATCATTTATGACAAGGTTCTCGCATCACAAATCTAACTAAAACTTGACACTTCGACCTCGTATTTTTTAGCCATGATTGGCTTTTGATTTTTCGTTTCTCTTTTTATTATTAATATTTTTTTTATTTATTTATTTAAATGTAGAAGAGAGTGACAAACGTCACTAATATCCATGCCCTTTGGCACCCACCAACGTGCCAAAGGTGTACAGCCACTGCCAAGTCCATGGGTTAAACCAGACCAATGATCCATACACTACTTGTCTTCCCTCCGTTAGGGGAAACAACTCATTCGGTGTTGGTTTCAAATTTTCCAACTTAACAATGGATGGCACCCTCTCAACTTGCCCTGTCATAGTGAGCTTGCAAGGGGTCCCATGATCCACTGCCTTGGCCACCTTACTTGACATGTTGGGTTGATGTTTAACCCGATGTTTTTGTTTCGTCATGGGTGGTGCACTAGACATTTTCAACTCCTTCGACTCATCAAAGGGGCCAAGAGTTGTTATCTGTCTTAGTTTACCCCAACTTGACACATGATTACTCTTCCCATATGGTTGAGAAGACGGGTGTTTGGACTTACAGAGTTGACGACCACCCTTGTGGCCAACTTGACTCTTTCGAAAACCCATGTCTTCATGGTTTTTACACTTAACACATAACAACCCTTGATTCTTTATAGGACCATGATTGGTTGTGTGTGTCGAGATGTCTTATTCATACCTTCTTGTTTGCCATTCATGTTTGGCATGCAATGGGGGGCTTTGGGCATGGACTTGCTTCTAAGTTGATTTGAAGGCCAGTAAAAGCTTGGAAACAAACTAAGGTTGCAAGGATATTCAGAACTTGATCATGGGAGGCTTCGCAGAAAATAAAAGTATCGTCTGTAAACAACAGGTGAGTAACCTCTCCTTTCCCGCCTCTTTCATCCATACAGAACCCCAAAATCCTTCCTTCAGCCTTAAGTTTATCCAACATGAATGAGAGAATGTCCATGATGAGAGTGAACAAGCCGGGTGAGAGGGAATCCCCTTGGCGCAAACCCTTTTGTGGTTTGAAAAACCTTTCCCCTCGCCATTGATAAGAGTAGAGACCATCGGGGAGCACATAGTCCCTCGGATCCAATCCTTCCACTTCTGCGGGAACCCAAGTGCATCCAGAACCTTGAAAAGGAAATCCCAGCTCACATTGTCGAATGCTTTCTCGATATCTAACTTGAACATAAGGCCAGGCTTGCCGCTTTTCTTACGACTATCCAGGAGCTCGAAAGCAATAAGACCTGCTTACGAAATTTGCCTTCCTCTAACCGAAGCATGCTGGTTTTGCCAGACAAGCTTCGGGAGAACCTTGCTGATCCGGCGGGCAAGGATCTTGCTAATAATTTTGTTCAAGCTACCCATCAAACTAATAGGGCGAAGGTCTTTAACATCCTCAACCGTGTCTCTCTTCGGCAGAAGGCAAATAAAGGAATGAGTAGCGATGAACACACAATTCAAGGCAGTCTCGCATTACATTTATTTTGAAATAAACGTATTTGCCAACTTGACATAACATACTAGTTTTTGTTTATTGCATAGTTTTTTGTATTAGATTAGCACTCATATCACAATTCCGAAAGGGTAAAACGTAGGAGCACACCAGCAATATGAAAAGTTAATCTTTATACACCGCAAAATGCGTGCAAAGCAGAAGGGGCTGCTTGGCCAACTTCAGTGTAGAAAAATGAAAGAAGCTCCTTATGATAGAAGGGCTTGAACAGCAAGGGGTGTTGTTCATCAACCAATTCTTCTGGGACTTTTATAAGGTAATCCGCTTTTGGGTAAGAGAATAGACCCAAAGAATATCTCGCTTCATTTCCCGACATCATAACTCGATGATATGGTGAATGAAGTCGACCATTCAACCAAGCCTGCGAATACACACTTATTAAGTTACATATGTACACATGTATATAAATAAATGATATAAGATATAATTTTTAAATTCGATCTCACGGAAAATAAATTTGGTTACATGAACTGATTCTCGACGCCGTATTATGTGGAAAAAATAAAAGAAAGGGAGTCACAGTTATAACTTACACTAAGACTGTCAGCAACCATAATGATGAAAGAGTTTGGAGTAGAGGGTTGGAATTTGATCCAACTGCCATCTTTGGTTTGCACTTCCAGCCCCTCAACTTGATTTTGATGCAATATGGTCAGTGAATTCTTATCTGTGTGTGAATTAGCTCCAACTTCAGTATCAGTGGTGTTAGGACCATTGTACTTCATGATCCGCAGGAGGTAACCTGTGGAGTTGATGTGTTCGTCCATATATTTTTGAAGCCCAAAACTTTCAGCGATCATTTTTTTGACTGTCATGTCCAATGTTGAAAGTTGCTCCACCAAGGAGTGGGTTTGTTTGCTGCAAAGAAGTTTGACAATCACATAATAATTTGTTCAGCCTCCCTCGCATATAAAGAGACATTTTGACGTTCAGTCATACAAGAAAACAGATAAATCACAAACAGACTCCTCTTATATATGAGTTTTTTTTTTCCACCAATTCTATCTATATTTTTTTTCTCCCAAGACAAGCTCCTCAATTTCAAACTTTTATCACAAGTAACGATTTTTTTTTAGTTCGCTACCATGTTCTGTTAAAGTATGTGAAATTATAAAATTATCCCTTTCATTTCACTTATTTTTTTCCTACACGCCCCCTCAACTTCAGTGTTTTTCCATAACACATGTCCTCCAATTTGATTTTCCTCTATATATGGTTCGATTTTTGAACGGTTTTTCTAATTTAGAATTATGAAGTTGTGCCAGAATTTGTCTATAATCCGCGATATAAAAGACTTAATTTATATCCAGATATACATAACTCAAGTTAAAAAAAATATATACAAAAAGAACGCTGTATTATGCTATGTTGTAAGAATCGGACCGGTCGTTGAATCGGAAAAATTAGTCGTTTAGAGTTTAGTGGTTAACCGTTAAAAACCAGTTGATAGAGCCATTCATAATATATATAACATACAAGACTTGTATAATACACTTATTTAAGAATTAAGTTATCATTGATCATAAACAATTTCAAATTCATGACATTTGTAAAATATCTAACAAATTATTCAAACTGTCGCACAAAAGAAATAATAATTTTTAAATTCAAGATAAAAATTACGGTGCCAATCAGTGGTGAACCACGTAAAGTCAACAACAAAATTGGAAAATAAAAAGATGAAGCATAAATAAATTTAATAATTTTGATTTGATGATCTTACTTTAGGTTAAAGTATTTTTTGTACAAATTTTGTGGTTAATGAACAAGTGGACTAGTTAAACCGTGGTGGTTCATATGATTTTATTTTGACCCGTGAAAAACCGTTTGGTCAATCAATAAGCGTCCAAGTAATGGACCAACCATTATCATAACTGGTTTGACGATTCTACTCGCAACCGTTGATCTGGTTTGGTTCTTATAACAACGATATTATGTCATATACTCATATATTCCTATGGTAACTTGAAGTAAGGTAACTTGAGTTTTCTTACCTGCTATAGCACGTTTCACAGGTCGCATTACGTAAAATACAACATGCATTACGTAATAGAATGTGTCTTAACGTAATGAGTATTAACCTCGCGTTACGTAAAACGCTAAGTCATTACGAAAGCCTTACTTAACGCTACTAATTTAACTGTTACGTAAGAAATAATTGGGGTTCCGCAACCTTTACGTAATGAAATATCTTTTTAAGTAATGAGTATTAACCTCGCGTTATGTAAAGTGCAAAGTCATTACGGAAGACTTACGTAACGCTTCCGATTTAACTGTTACGTAAGAAATAACTATTGTTCCTTAACCTTTACGTAATGAATGTGCATTTTACGTAACAGTTGTAAAATGTCATTACGGAAGCCTTACATAATGGAAGGTATTTTTACGTAATGAGTATTAACGTCGTGTTACGTAAAGAGCTACTAAGCTATTACGGAAGGCTTACATAACGCTTCTAATTCAATAAGAATTAAAACAAGGAAAGAATAAAATAAGAAAAATCGACTAAATATGAAAAAAGAAAGAGAATATATAAGAAAGGTAAATTGTGAAGGTGTTGACCGCCAACCTGTTGCTATTAATTTTTTTTACTTATTTTTTATTTCTTTAATTAATGGTTTAAAATTAGTTTGATCGATTTTAACAATTTAGATCTATACAAGTTACCTAACTTGAAATTATACCCAAGTTATTGTAGGAGGTCCCTATATATATATATATGGTAATAACTGGTGTACGTCAGACGTATAGTATACAGGAGGTGATCTAACCGTTAGATGTACTTAGATGAGCTCCGACCGATCTCAACGGTCAATTTTTGTTTTTCATTAAATCAAACTTCGAGTTGGGGTTTAGAAAATTAATGTATGCGGTTTATCCATTAGAGGTTAGGTATAGAATCATGCCCAAAACTCGATTTAATTTATGATCTAAATAGAGATATCTCACTAGTTTTTGAATTGTGTGCATTGAACGCACTCATTTTTGTGTGCACTAATTTATGATCTATATATATGTTAGTTGATATAACTGAAGTCTCTTTAAGTCTTAACAACCACCTCAAAATCTGCAGGGCCGTCCCATGATATTTGGAGGCCCTGTTCGAAAATTTAAAATGTGGCCCTAATTTTTTTCCAATAAATTTATCAAAATTAAAAATTAGTAAATAATTGTAAAAAAATACTTAAGTTCAGAAAAAGATTACATCAAGAATAAACGATCTCGTTTCCAGTTTGACCAAGAAACCAAGACCGAATTCCCAGCACTAGTAGGGAGGAAAGTAAATCTGGAAGGAAGAGAAAATGGATATAGCGCAAAAATTGAATGGAGAAATGAAAATAGTCTAAATTGATCGAGAGGTGGGTGCAGGGTTGTCTACTAGATCATGGAGGCCCTATTTCAAAATCTATACATGGTCCAAATCGACCTTTAACTATAATAAAACTAAAATGATTATAATAACATTATTCAAAATGTAATATCTTTCTATATTGTTTAAATTAAAATTATCTATGATTTTTCAGATTTTCGTATTCTCCATGAGATCCTTTTCAATTGTTATTATAGCTAAAATTATCTATTAAACACATCATCATACTCATAATCAATCAATCATACACTAAAAATACAACCTACAATATACGATCGGTAACTAACGAATCTAAGTAGAGGCCCCTAATATTCTGAGGCCCTGTGCCGGAGGGCGGGCCAGCACACCCTCTTGGCCGGCCTGCACCATCTCACTCCCAAATTACAAAAAAGTTTAGCTGTCCAGGAATCCGTAATTTACCTCATTATCCCTATAATATGAATTTTAAATTGTATCCTATTTGTTTATCCTAAATAATCTATGAATAAAATTAAATTATGAAATTCTTATGTAATTATTGGTTATACATAGGAAGTAGGAACTCAAGCCTTTCTATAAACCAAATACTGAATTGTTTTTTTCCAAAACGCACTAATATCTAAAAATTGCAGGCAAAATTTCAAGTTTGTAAAAATTAGAGCGATGTCAAACCAACCCCTTAATTTACCTGAAATTTGGGTTTCCTTGAGGCCACATCAAGTTGGCAAAAGCTTCAACCTTTTCAGTCACCGCGACATCATCTATCCCCAAGCTCTCGTACAGCCGAAAACTAGGATGATTTCCGATGTAACCATGGTACGGCTTGTCGGACACATTCCGCAGCTTGGTCTCCAAAGGAAGCTCGAAAATTTCTTCCATGGATCCGAAGAAGGCGTTGCGAAGGTCGGAAGGAATCTTATCGTAAGACGCCTCGAAGCAGCCATACTCCTCCAACGCCTCGCGAACTTGAGATTTCAAGGATTCCCACTCTGAACTTCCCACGCTGCTCAGTTCGAGCTTGGAGAAATCTAAGAAGGGCAGCTTGGGAGAAGATTCGGAACCCATTGTTATTGTTGTGTTGGCTAAAGCAAAGTGGTGTGTGTTTTGGGCCACCTTGAGTTCCTTCTACCTGCATTTATAGCTCCTGTGGAGGTTGTATCGCATATTCCTTTGATGAAATCATTGCGTAGAAATTCCCCTATCATGCGGCAAAAACAGAGGGAAAAGGAAAAAAACATGGATAGCGGCAAAATCCTGGAGATGAAACATGTAGATCAATCCAAGGGGACGAAAGAAAGAAACGAAAAAAGGGTTGTTAAACCCATGGTTGGCTAGCTGTACAAGATCAAAGGACAAACGAAAAGCGCCAAGTTTAACAGAAGTTGGAGAAAGACATCCAAGCAGAACAGATAAAGCCGGCTAAGATGTGTTTGGGCAGAGTTTATGCTTTAGGAAAAAGGTTTGTTGTTTAAAAAAAAAATCACAATTCATTCACGCTAAGAATTATGATTAATTTTGTAAGTGTAATCTCAAACTATTTTATTTTATTTTTCCCTAATAATTTTACATTGGCCATATTATATGGAAATAAAAATGGGTTGATTGATCATAATATACACAATGACATCCGTTCTGATATATTTTACAAATTTTAAAATAATTTTATAATAACGAGAATAAATAACAATATATATGCGTGAATAACTAAAATTGTGTGAATACTCATTACGGATTGTGAGACAATAGACTCGCTATTACAAAGTCGTTGGTAAATGTTTAAGATTAAAATCCAAAAACCAATTTCGTGCAGTGACATGTTTTACAATCCACAAATCCTATTAGATCCCATATCTGTTGGAAATAAAATAATTATTTCCTTTCTCAACTTGGTTGGCACGTTTATGGGCTAAGAAAATGGAAAATGGAATTTGGAATATGATATGATGGCCACGTTTTTGTATAGAGAAAGAAAGCTTTTTGGGTTTTTTATAATTGAAGATTGGAAGAGGGATTTTGGATTGGCAGAGGAGTGGACAAGGAAATTCTTTCTTTATTGATACTTGCTTTTAACTCTCTTTTTGGCTCTGCTCTTTCTGACACATCCAACCAAGCCTATTTATAGGCTCCAAGTTACAAAATATCACCACTAACCGACTTAAGCTTATGGTTGCTATTTTTTCTTATTTTTTTTATTTTACAACTGCCACATTTATTTCACACTTAATTGGTTCTGGATATTTCTCCATCCAGCACAATCACGTAGCTTCTAGCAATTTTCAGATATTTTGATAATTTAAACTTTAATTTCAACACTCCCCCTTAAAGTTTAATTCGTCGTAACTCCGAGTAGCATCCTCATTTTGACGAACACATCTTGCTTCAGCGGCTTCGTGAAAATATCAGCAATCTGGTCTTCAGTTTTCACATACTTCAGCATCACCTCTTTCTACTCCACGCATTCTCTCAAGAAATGATATATTGTATCAATATGCTTACTGCGATCATGAAATACCGGGTTCTTTGCTAGCGCCAGGGCAGACTTGTTATCAACAAAAATTTCAGTTGACTCTTCCTGTGTCATGTTCAACTCCTTCAGCAACTTTCTCAACCATATCGCATGACACGCACACGATGTCGCAGCAACATACTCAGCTTCACAAGTTGACAGTGTCACGATAGCTTGCTTCTTTGAACTCCATGTGAAAGTTGTATCTCCCAGGAAAAATACAAATGCTGTAGTGCTCTTGCGATCATCGACGTCTCTTGCCCAATCACTATCGTAGTATCCAACCAATTTGAAATTTTCTGACTTAGTATAAAGTAGACCATAATCGATTGTACCTTTAATGTAGCGCAGTATCCTCTTTGCAGCATTCCAGTGTGACATAGTTGGTGCTTTCATGTTTCTGCTGACTAATCCAACTGCGTAGAGAATATCTGGTCTGGTACAAGTCAGGTATCTTAGACTTCCCACCAGGCTTCTAAACTCCTTTGAGTTGACCTTCTCTCCTTTGTCATCCTTGGATAATTTCAGTCCACACTCTGCTGGTGTGCTCACAGGATTACAGTTCTCCATCTTAAACTTCTTCAAGACCTCCTTTGCGAAGCCACTCTGTGAGATAAAAATTCCTTCCTCCTTTTGAGTTACTTCAATACCGAGATAATATGACTTTAATCCGATGTCTGTCATCTCGAACTCACAAACCATCGTCTTCTTGAACTCTTCAAACATTTGAGGATCATTGTTTGTGAAGACGAGATCATCTACATATAGGCAAACCATCAAGATTACTCCCCCTTGAACCTTGCAGTATAGTGCATGCTCATGTGGGCATTTGCTGAATCCATTCTGCTGAAAATACTTGTCAATCCTGCTATTCCAAGCCTCGGTGCTTGTTTAAGACCATACAGTGCTTTCTTTAGCTTTAGCACCTTGTCTTTTTGACCTTCAACGATATATCCAGGTGGTTTGCTCCACATAGATATCTTCCTCGAGATATCCATTGAGAAAAGCTTACTTCACATCCATTTGATGTATCTTCCATCCATTTTGAGCAGCGATAGATATCACCATCCTGATACTCTCCATTCTCGCCACGGGAGCAAAAACTTCATTATAGTCAATGCCTGGTCTCTGACTATATCCTTTCACCACCAATCTTGCTTTGTGTCTGACGACTTCTCCTTTAGCATTTTTCTTGGCCTTGAATACCCACTTCACACCGATTGACTTATGGTTCTTAGGAAGTGACACAAGCTCCCAAGTCTTGTTCTTCTCAATTGCTCCAATTTCTTCATCCATAGCTCTCTTCCATTTTTCATCCTTCATGGCTTCTTCGACATCAACTGGTTCCCTATCAATGAAATGACAGTAGAGTGTCAATTCATCACCTTCAATGATTGTTGATTCCTCGTAAATTTCTTCAAGTCTTCTATACTTCTGTGGCTTTTCTTGGGGACTTTCACTTGATTCTCCTTCTGGGCTGGCAGGCTCTTTGTGACTGGGTGGACTTGTCACAGGTGTAACTGTATCTGGTTCATCATCACTTTCATCCATAGTGAATGGATAAAAAGTGTAATTTTTCTTTGCTTCAGCAGTCCAATCCCATGTTGCTTCTTCATCAACTACCACGTCTCTGCTGATGATCAGCTTCTCTTCCACGGGATCAAACATTTTGTAACCTTTTGAGTGTTGTGAGTATCCCAGGAATATGTACTTCTTGCTTTTGTCATCCAACTTCTTCCTTTCTTGATCCGGTACGTGCACATATCCTACACTTCCGAAAACTCGGAGGTGAGAGATTGTGGGTTTCCTTCCGCTCCATGCTTCTTGGGGTGTTTGATTCCAAACACTCTTTGTTGGTGACCTGTTCAGCAGGTAGACTGCACAATCAACAGCTTCAGCCCATAGCTCCTTTGGCAGGTTATTGCTCTTCATCATGCTTCTCGCCATGTTGAGGACAGTTCTGTTCTTCCTCTCAACGACTCCATTCTGTTGTGGGGATCTTGGGACTGTGAGAAACCTGTGAATTCCTTGATATTCACAGAACCTTCTGAACTTCTTGAGCATAAATTCTCCACCTCTATCTGATCTCATTGCTTTGATGTAGCGGCCACTTTCATTCTCCACCATCATCTTGAACTTCTTGAAAGCTTCAAATGTGTCTGACTTCTGCTTTAAGAAGTATACCCATGTCTTTCTACTGTAATCATCAATGAACAATAAGAAGTATTTGTTCTTCCCGAACGATGTTGGGGTGATCGGTCCACAGAGATCTGCATGGACGAGCTCAAGTGGTGCTTTAGCTCGTGACAGGGACTCTTTCGGGAAACTTGCCCTGAATTGCTTCCCAACTAAGCATCCTTCACACAATTGGTCTGGATGATTGATTACTGGCAGACCATGCACCATCTTCTTCTGACCGAGCAATTTCAGACTTCCAAAATTTAGATGGCCATACCTCAGATGCCATAGCCATGTATTGTCCTTCACACACGCTTTCAAGCACTTCGCCATTTCTGTCTGAATGTTCAGTGTGAACATTCTGTTTTTCGACATTGGGACTCTGGCCAAAAACTGCCTCTTCTCATTTAGCAGCTCCAATTGACGATTCACCATGTGGACTTCATAATTCTTCTCCATCAATTGACCCAAACTCAGGATGTCACTAGTCATGTCTGGGACATAGTACACATCACTGATAAATTGTTGTGAGCCATTCTTCAACTGGATGAGTATAGTTCCTCTGCCTTTGATAGGAACCTTCGAGGAATCTCCAAATACGATATTTCCTTTCACTGATTCATCCATATCCACGAACATGTTTCTTTTTCCACACATGTGGTTGCTTGCTGCATTATCCAGATACCACATGTTGTCTCTCGGTTTTTCATCTCCTTGATGTGACAACATCAATGTGCCTTTGACTTCTTCTTTCACGTTGTTTGCTGTTTCCTCCACTTCTTTAGGCGGACTCCAACATTCTGATGCATAATGCCCGTACTTCGAGCAATTATGGCACTGAACGTTGGATTTATCACGACCTTCATTTGATCTCCAACTTCCTCTTCCACGTCAACGACCACGTCCACGACCTCTGCCTCTGGTGGATGTTTCATAATTGTTCGTGGTGAAATTTCCTCCGTCTCTGCTTTGATATGCTCCTCGGGCTCTTCCTCTGCCTCTGTAGTTGCCTCTGTCTCGACCTCTGTATTGAACTCCTCCTCGTGCTCCTTCTTTCTCCTCAATGGTAGCTTTTGTAGCTAACACTTGTTCTGACGATTCTTTATTTCTTTTATTTAATCTTTCTTCTCTGGCTTGTAATGAACCGATGACTTCATCAACCGTCATTTTTGACACGTCCTTAGCTTCTTCCATGGCTACCACCACATAATCAATCTTTGGTAATAATGACCGTAGAGTTTTCTCCACCCCTTTGGTCTCTTCAATTTTCTCCCCATACTGCTTCAGTTTGCTGACGACTGACTTCACACGGGCGGTGTAATCTGAAACAGATTCACCCTCCTTCATTTTAATGGCTTCAAAATCTCCCCTTAGTGTCTAAAGTCGAACCTTCTTTACTGGTTCCACTCCTTGCATTTCCTTTTGCAGAATCTCCCATGCTTCCTTTGCTGTGGTAGCATCTGCTATTTGATCGAACATCGATTCATCAAGACATTGATGAATTAGAGGGAGTGCCTTTTAATCACTCTTTCTATTTTTTCTCAATACCTCCTTTTCAGCAGGAGATAACCGAGAATCCTCCGCGGGAATCTCGTAACCTTTCTCAACAATATCCCAAGCATCTTGGGATCCCAACAAGACTTTTATACGAATACACCAATTTTTATAATTGGTTTTGGTAAGGTGGGGGAATTGAATGGGGAAAGTGGATTTTTCGGCCATGGGACAATCGTGATAACAATAGCACGAGAAATTCTTTTCTGATGTGGAAGTTCAGACTACGTCGCAACCACAGAGCATACTCGGAAATAACTCGGGCTCTGATACCATTCTCAACTTGATTGGCACGTTTATGGGCTAAGAAAATGGAAAATGGAAAGTGGAATTTGGAATATGATATGATGGCCACGTTTTTGTACAGAGAAAGAAAGCTTTTTGGGTTTTTTATAATTGAAGATTGGAAGAGGGATTTTGGATTGGCAGAGGAGTGGACAAGGAAATTCTTTCTTTATTGATACTTGCTTTTAACTCGCTTTTTGGCTCTGCTCTTTCTGACACATCCAACCAAGCCTATTTATAGGCTCCAAGTTACAAAATATCACCACTAACCGACTTAAGCTTATGGTTGCTATTTTTTCTTATTTTTTTTATTTTACAACTGCCACATTTATTTCACACCTAATTGGTTCTGGATATTTCTCCATCCAGCACAATCACGTAGCTTCTAGCAATTTTAAGATATTTTGATAATTTAAACTTTAATTTCAACAATATCGAGGGAGGAAAATTCCTTATTCACATGAAATGGCCGATCGAGGTTCTCTATTTTTCGAGCAAAAATGGTACAGGAGTTGATGCTCATTAATTTGATGTGTTGAAACGTAAACACACGATGTGCTAGCTAATCCTCTCTTGCGCTCACACTTATCCAATGCCACAAAATGCCTTGACCGGGCATTCGGACCTGTAACCTTGGTCCGTACGGAAGAAATGGAGGAGCCCAATGTGATCCAACGGCTTGTAAAGCAAAGGATGCTCCTCGTCAACAAGCTCTGCAGGCACTTGTATCATCCCTTTGCTGAAACCAAACAGCCCCATTGAGTATCTGTCCACTTTCCCATTCATAATCACTCTGTGTGTTGGAGACACTATCCTGTCATTGCTCCACGCCTACATGTATGTCACACAAAAACAAATTAGTTACCAAATACAATGAATCGGGAAGAAAGAAAAAAAAACAGAAGCTATCTGTAGTAAATAAAATATAACTCACCATTAAGGCATCACCGGCAACCACAACAAATGAAGTGGGAGTGAAGTGGACGTTCATCTTCTCCCCGTCCTTGGTATCGATCTCCAAACCGTCGACTTGGTTCTGATGAAGAATCGTGGTGAAGCTCTTGTCGGTGTGAGTGACGAATCCCAGGTGAGGCTCGTCTCCCACCGGAGCTCTGTTCTTCAGCAGCCGAAGCAGATACGTCGTCGCCTCAACGTAACCGTCGTGGTACTTCTCCACTCCGTAGCTCTCAAACAACATTCTCGTCACTGTCTTGTCTAACTCTCCTGTCAGCTTCGCGTACATGTGAACTTTCTCACTGTCGACAATCAAATCGAGCTGACGATTATTTAGCGAATTGGATATCTCCGATTAAAGGTGGCAAATGGATTATATTCATATGTTTGTGGATAGTTTCAATGTACTAAATAATGGATCAAGAGGATTGGTGGATTGGATCAAATGAATTGGTGGATTCGATCATCGATTCAAGCGGTATCTAAACATTGGATCAATATGTAAATTTTGAAAAGTTTATATATTAAAATGTCTTAATAAAGAATTTTAGATACCAAAATGAAATTTTTAGTGCTATATTATGTTAAAAAATAAACTTTGGGTACCAAATTGTAAAAGATAAAAAGGTACTAAACCATATTATTACCACCTGAAGCTAGACGTGGCGTATAGATTCGATTCATGGATTGGTATATTGTTGGATTTATGAATTTGAATCCAATGGATTGGTGGATAGCATTGATGGATCAAGTTCAAATGTAAGAAATTGATCATGGATCCAAGTGGTATCTAAACATTGGACTAGTACGTAAATTTTAAAAAATTTAGGTACAAAATTTTCATAATAAATAATTTAGTTACCAAAATTTTATTTTATAATATTATTTTTCATCTTAAAAACAAAAAAAAAAATTAGGCACTAAACCACAATTTTTCAACGATCCATGAATTCATCAATCCAATTGGATTTAGATAGCTGTAAAAAATAAAGAATTTGAATTAAAAAGATTGAATTTAAATAGATTTTATTAATTTGATATTTAACTAAATGGATTAGATTGGATACAAAATGTTCACATCTATATTGAATCATAGGTGATATATTGTTACCAATTGAAATTAGACGTGGCGAACATTCAATTCGTGGATTGGTGTATTGGTGGATTCTTAAATTTGAATCAAATGGATTGATGGATATCAGTAATGTATGCAGTTGACATCTAAATATTAATCAATATGTATATTTAGAAAAAATTGAGGGCGGTAATGGCATAATAAACAAAAAAATTTTATAATCGTGATGATAGCATAATAAACAAATTTAGTTACCAATAATATGTAATTTTTAAATGATATTCTAAGTTAAAAACTTAGAAATTTAGTATATCAAAATGTAAATGGTTAAAACGATGGATACTAAACTGTAAATTTGCAAATATGAATGAATCAAATCCATAAGGAAGCCACGTCAAACTATAGTGTCACCCTCTACCTGAAGTCGTGGTTTGGATGATGATGAGGCCACATGAGAGTAGTGAAATCTGCGACGGCGGCCGGGTCGACTGCGTCGTCGATGCCCATGCTCTCGTGGAGTGGAAGCTTTGCAATCTGTCCGACGTAGCCGCTCAAGGGTTTCTCGTACTTGTTCTTCATCTTCGTCTCCACCGGGAGATCGAAAAGCTCCTTGAGCGTACCGAAAGCTTCCCGGCAAACATCCGTCGAGATCTTGTCGTAGCCCTCCACAATGAAGCTCCCGTACTCTTCCATGGCTTGCCGCACAGCGTCGCGTGTTCTGCGCCACGCGGTGGATCCGGGTTTCAAGTTTTCGCTGGAGAAGTCTAGAACAGGCAGAGCTGGAGCGAGACCTTCACTGGAACCCATAGTGGATTGATTGATTGTTGTTTTCGAAAGTAAGTTCAGTTTTAGTTTTTCTTTGCCTTTGTTGGTATATGTTGTGGCAGCAGGGTTAAGGCTGGAACTCCATTATTGGTACTTGGCTTCTAATATGGACAAAATTAGCATCTCGAAGTGGAGACTCAATTAGTTGTATGAAATTTTCATATTCTACTTCTTCGTTAACCCACAGTGGTAACAGGTTTAGTTTATTCGTGCGTACTTTCTTACGTATGCATTATATATTCGTCCTTTTGCTCTGTATTCTATTAAGTATTAATTTAACCGTCCTTCGAGAAAAGTAGTGTTAATTTACGAAATTGTATGTAGTACGTACTTTTCATTCATTATTTATGTGTAACGTACATTACATACATATGTAATTGCGTAACTGGTGTTTGATTAAGGACGACGGTTTTGTCTGCTGCAGTGCGCCAGTGTTGCGTTGTTGAATGTCGGGTTCATAATTCAATTGGGATTCAGATATGATTCCGATTTGATGCCCTTTCCGACTTAGCTTGCTGAGCTGAGCTGTTTTACATCCTATGTATATTTAATGTAAATTTCAGACTTCTAAAATTTCTAATTTTGAATCTTATATATCATGCTGAATAAGAGGTGGTTAGATACTTACTAGCCTATTACCCAGCCCGTTGGCCGGATTACTGTATGTTACCCACTTGTGGAATAGGAGAGAAAGCAAGTGAGAGTGAAGGGATTGAGATTCCACTTGATTAGGACCGCCCACTAATCCGATTCTTCCAGACCCGCCCCAACCTAAAGGGTCAGAAAGAGTCAATAAGAAAATACAAACGGAGAGGATTAGTCATATACATGGTTGTCACGCCGGCCGGCGTGCCACTGGTTGAACCTGGTTCAACCTGTACCGGTCATAAAACCGGTATGACCGACATGATCGATATACGAATCTCTAAGTAAAATGATCTTATATTAGTGAATTTATTTGATAAAAAGTAATTTATTATTTATTTTATGTGTTAAAAAGTTAAATGTTGATGTTATTTGTTAGATTCAAGTACAAATATTTAGGTATTGACGTTAAATGTCGTGCTTAAATATGAGTATTTGTAAATTATTTGTAATATTAACCGGCATGAACCGACACAAACCAGTATGTACCACCTGTCGAACCATTCCACTTGCTAAACTGACACACTGACACAAACCGGATTGACAACCTTGGTCATATATCTTGACTCTTCAGAAGTGGGTCAAACAGGATCAAGGTTGGATGAGGGAAATTTTTAGCGCTAAGCAGAGTTCTGGGTTGAATAACTTTACTTAGGCCTAGAAATTGGTGCTGATGCAGACTGCAGTTTTTATTATACCATCATCAATCATCATTGAATTAGTCCTGGGCATCCCTCCCCATTGCCGGTCTGAATTCTAATGATGGCTTCATTCCTTGCACCAGCCATATCAGCAAGTTGTCATCTCGAGCATGATTTGCCTATGTACAAATGATACAATTAGAGTATGAAACTGAATTCAAAGAAAAGGAAAAGAGAATTCTATCACATGCCAATAAATACACACATAATAGTTGAAGCTAAGTGAAAGTCATTACTCGCACATCAATTCTCAAAAATTACAGACTAAACAATGGCTAGAATGGCACTGAAACTACCAAGAATCATGGATGAAACAACTTGTCAAATTAAATAATCCTTATACTGAAACTACCTTCTAACTTGAAATAAGACATGATCACAAATCATAGCTCTCTTCTCACTATGAATTGGTTGCAGCTCGTCCTTATCACTGCCTCTCAAGCTCAATTCAAACAGAATAGAGACCGTTATGTAAGATAACCATATCCTTACTGATCATAATTCCTTTCTTCACTCCATTTTTGTCAGAGAAAAGAGTTACCCCCCTCTCCTGCATTTCCCTTTCCCCCTCTCTTCTCCCTCTTCTTCACAAACCGATCCCTAAACCAGCAACAACAACACAAAAATAGCCTTCGCCGCTGCAATCTCCATCTACTGAACGCGTTGGTGGCAAGACAGGACTGCAGAAGCAAAATTTTCTAAAATCAAACTAAATTTTTCTAAGGAGACTCAACCACAAAAAAATAGTAAAGCAACAATGCTAATAGTTCTGATGGTTGGTTTTGATGTTATACATTGCTTTTGTTCTGGTCTCCAGTATATCAACTGCAATAGAGATGTTTCCTCCAATCATCTTTAGTGCACGATTTAGAAGCAAGTCCTCCTGTTTGTGTCAAACGGAAACCTTCATGGGTTCTTAACTCCCCTGTTAGTATAAAAGCAGCAGCAGCAAAGAAGTTTGACAACTGACAACACAGCAAGCACCCAGGCAAAATGATACAATGCAGTAGGTGATATGTGTCTCGAAGGTTTTGAGTTACTAAAGTTCATGTTAAAAATAAACATGAATTAAAATGAATTATTCTATTAAGCAAACATCCCCTCTAATCATACAAAGATCAGATATCCAATTCACAAACAATTAAGCCATAAAAAATCATCAAACATCCACCACTTTTGATTGCCTAAATTTGGTTTTTTGCAAAGTTATGGACTCTTAAGGGTAACGTTCATGGGTAGTTTGTTTCATAACTCTAGAAAGCACATTAAGCAGCCACCGGCCAGACACAGTGCGGTAGGCGAATATGATTATTAATTCACAATTTCTCACCGCCGGAAGTAAGAACAGACCAACATGCTGCAACCACCAGAATTGGTATCACAACTCATAGGGAAAATCAAAAGATTTACTATCAAATTAAGCAGTTACAACATCGAGCAATTGTCAAGCACATACACCATCACAAAAGTCACGGAACTTGATTCACAAAGCATTCAAACATTTGAGGACATTTCTGCAAAGGTACAACTTATATGTCTTTTTTCCAAGCCATTTCCATCAACATGCTAATAAATTCGCAATGCATAAAACAAACGGGCCAAAACTTGAAATTCAGCTTGTTTGGCCGACCCATGCCAAATTCTAATTATTCTTTACTTTTAAACTTTCTATTTGAAAATAAAAAATAGTGAAAGAAAAGAGCCGACTACAATTCGCCATTTGCACATCACTTATTCGGGAATAAAACCATAGAAATTCTAAAGGAACTGAAAATGTTTAGGATCGTTATAATGTTTAAAATAACCAAATAGATCTTTATGTTTAGTTTTTTACTAACAAATACCAAACGATTCCCTATTAGATACCAGTTTGCCCATTAGATACCATGCATTAGTTTATTGTTAAATTTTTTATTTTTAACAATAAAAAGGAGTATTATTTTTGCCTTTTCGTATATATTTTATCACCACGGAGAAATAAAAGGGCTTAAAGAAAAAAAAATGACACTCCTGGACCCGTTTAAATTCACATGTGTACTGTAAGTTGGCCCGTTCCACAGAGGAAGGAGAAAAAAATTGACACTCCCTATTCTACCATTCCTACAAACGCTCATGGAGAAGGGAATTTGAAATGGGGGAAGGGTTTTTTCCTCCCTGCTATTATATGATTTTAATTTGAAAAGATGCAACAAATGTGCTTAGTGTGATTGGTTATTATCCTTGCTTTTCTTTAAAATGGTCATGGTTCGAATCCCAGTACGTGACTTTTTAATGAATAAAAAAAAGTAATTGTGAAGACCAAAATGTCCTTCCTACTTTCACTCTTGTTGCAGGAAATTTGAAATGGAGCTCCCGTTTTTCCCTTCGGCGTATTATAAGTACTAGCTTGTAACCCGACCCGTTGGTCGGAGGAGCTGAGCCGAATATTGAATTATTGGGATAACCCGTAGATTCAACCATTAAGCTAAATTGGTCTAATGGTGAGTATCGCCTAGCATATCCCTAATAATCATACCAAAGTGAATATATTGGAACATAAACAGTACATCAAAAGTTGGTACAACCATGAAGTTAGACCATTAAAAACATACCAATGAAATTGAACAGCATCGAAAAACTTCAACTTCATTATATAATTACATGACATCAGAAAGAGAACACCATTAATTTGATTTATAAAACTTTCATCTTGTCGTCATTGTGCTTTCTGGTTTTTGTCAGGCCATGATAAAATCTAAGGAATCCCAGTACGTGACTTTTTAATGAATAAAAAAAAGTAATTGTGAAGACCAAAATGTCCTTCCTACTTTCACTCTTGTTGCAGGAAATTTGAAATGGAGCTCCCGTTTTTCCCTTCGGCGTATTATAAGTACTAGCTTGTAACTCGACCCGTTGGTCGGAGGAGCTGAGCCGAATATTGAATTATTGGGATAACCCGTAGATTCAACCATTAAGCTAAATTGGTCTAATGGTGAGTATCGCCTAGCATATCCCTAATAATCATACCAAAGTGAATATATTGGAACATAAACAGTACATCAAAAGTTGGTACAACCATGAAGTTAGACCATTAAAAACATACCAATGAAATTGAACAGCATCGAAAAACTTCAACTTCATTATATAATTACATGACATCAGAAAGAGAACACCATTAATTTGATTTATAAAACTTTCATCTTGTCGTCATTGTGCTTTCTGGTTTTTGTCAGGCCATGATAAAATCTAAGGAAATCAAGAACGAACAACACGATTTGGGATAGGAACCGCCGTTGTCGTATTCCTAGAGAATGGTGGTAAACACGGACTCACCTGCCAAACTGGTTTGGATTGAGATTTTTATCGGGTATCAGGGAACCATGTGATTATAAATTAGACTTGATCAAAACGGGCCAAAACTCAAATTCAGCCTGTTTGACCGACCATGCAAAATTCTAATTATTCGTTACTTTTAAACTTTCTATTTGAAAATAAAAAATAGTGAAAGAAAATAGATGACTGCAATTCGCCATTTGCACATCACTTATTCGGGAATAAAACTATAGAAATTCAAAAGAAACTGAAAATGTTTAGGATCATTTTAATGTTTAAAATAACCAAATAGATCTTTCTGTTTAGTTTTTTACTAACAAATACCAAGCGATTCCCTATAAAATACACTATAATTTTATCATTATGATATCAAATAATTATATAATATATATTTGAAATGATAAAAATTGGACTAATTGGGTTGGTCGAGGTTGAACCATTGAATAACTTTAAACTACATTATATTTTAGCCACTAAGATATAAAATAATATAATAATATATATTATGCTAGAGAAAATAGCTTGTTTTAGAATGTCAAACCAATGATGTTCATTTGTTTTACTTGATGGCCAAATCTGGTGTAGGTCCATTCTACTCTTTTATTTTATGGTTAGCGGTTAGCCCATTAGATACCATGTATTAGTTTATTGTTAAATTTTTTTATTTTTAGCATAAAAAGAAGTATTGTTTTTGCTTTTTCATATATATTTTATCACCACGGAGAAATACAAGGGCTTAAAGAAAACAATTGACACTCCTGAACCCGTTTAAATCCGCATGTGTACGGTAAGTTGGCCCGTTCCACAGAGGAAAGAGAAAAAAATTAACACTACCTATTCTACCCTTCCTACAAACGCTCATGGAACAGGGAATTTGAAATGGGGGAAGGGGTTTTTCCTCCCTGCTATTATATGTTTTTGATTTAAAAAGATACAACAAATGTACTTAGTGTGATTGGTTATGTTCCTTGCTTTTCTTTAAAATGGACATGATTCGAATCCCAGTATGTATCTTTTTAATGAATAAAAAAAAGTAATTGTGAAGACCAAAATGTCCTTCCTACTTTCACTCTCGTTGCAGGAAATTTGAAATGGGGCTCCCGTTTTTTCCTTCGGTGTATTATATTATGTGTAGATAGTAGAGATAGATCAGAAGTGATAAAATAAGATGTTTTGTAGGTTTTCAAATTTGAAAGTAATTGTGAAGACCAAAATGTCCTTCCTACTTTCACTCTTGTTGCAGGAAATTTGAAATGGAGCTCCTGTTTTTCCCTTTGACGTATTATAAGTATAGTAGAGATTCGTATATCGATCATGTCGGTCATACCGGTTTTATGACCGGTACAGGTTGAACCAGGTTCAACCAGTGGCACGCCGGCCGGCGTGACAACCATGTATATGACTAATCCTCTCCGTTTGTATTTTCTTATTGACTCTTTCTGACCCTTTAGGTTGGGGCGGGTCGGGAAGAATCAGATTAGTGGGCGGTCCTAATCAAGTGGAATCTCAATCCCTTCCCTCTCACTTGCTTTCTCTCCTATTCCACAAGTGGGTAACATACAGTAATCCGGCCAACGGGCCGGGTAATAGGCTAGTTCTAAGTATAGTAGAGATAGATCAGAAGTGATAAAATAAGAGATTTTGTAGGTTTTCAAATTTGAACTTTACATCGATATTTCGATATTCAACGTTTATGTACATTTACCTTACTGATATATATAATTGAAAGTCAAATGGGACGAAACTTGATGCATAATGGAAGTTTTGGTTTGTTGTGGTACATTTCACATGTTCGAGTGTTTTTTATGGATCTTAAAATATTACGATTTATACACTTTTTTATTTTTGATAAAATTCCAACTTCGACTACATTGGCTAGTTGAACCCATAAAGCATATTATTTATGGATGAATAGAAATTTTGTTTGTAGATTTTGTTTATTTTTTTTAAACAATTTAAATTAATTTACATTTTATAATGTATATGATGAGGGCGGATCCCATGACTAGGGGGGTCCTTAGTCACTTGACTAAACCCTCATAGCCATTAGATTTGGACATATCAATCCAACGGTTAAAAAGTGGGAATGGATTTTTCATTAGTGGCAGGGGTAATTTGGATATTATGAAAATTTACGAAGTATACAAACCAGAATTACAAACAATACAAACATTACAAACTAAAACGACAAAACATACAAACAAATTTACAAACAATACAAAACTTACGAACTGTACATACAATACAAACTAGACAGGCAAACAATACAAACTATAAAAAATGAAAAAAAACAATCGGGTTGACTTTGGAGGCTCCATTCCTATATAGAGGGGCTTCGTCTCAAAGTCAACTTGGTTGTTTTTTAGATATAAAAAACATTGCAAACATGGTTGACAAAAACAAAAAACATGGTGCACAAAAATAAAAAATCTTATAAACATTACAAAAGAAACCAACAAACATTACAAAGCATACTAACAGTACAAAATAACACTACTTACAATACAAATCCGCAGTGGCGGGTCAAGAAATTTTACGTAGGGGTGTCCTCTTCTAAAAATTTAATTTAACTAATAATTAAATATAAAAATATATTCTCACAAAAAAAGCTTGCTTGTACGAAATACAACAAAAGGATATGATGTGTTTCGTATTATGGAAACATTGTAAAATACAATCGGTGACTAACAATGCAAATCTCTCTCGATATATTCTACTAGGCAAGGGGAGTCCGTAATTGGGTTTAATCGTTAGCTTTTGAAGCTAATTGGGGATAAGGAATAGCTTTTTACTAGTATATTTGGATTTAAAATATAAGAACAAATGAGTTGTGCTCTAATGAAAAATATGTTTTCTAATAATAGCAGCGACCCAAATTCAAATCACATAAGCTATCACTTAAACGTTTTTATTTGCATATACACAAACTACTATTGGGGGTTGGATAATCATTTTTCCAAATTTTAAGAGCGTCTCACTATCACTTAAATATTTCCCCCCATATGAAAACTACTATCGGGAGTTAAATAATCGTGTTCCCAAATATTAGGGCTGTCCCGGAACACCCCCAAAAATGTCATGTACCCGCTACTGCAAATCTGTAAAATTGTATTACAAATCAATGAATACAAAGTATACTAATTATAACATAAAAGTATACAAACAAGAGTAATAAATATTATAAATAAAAATATATAAAAATTAGTCATATAAACTTTACAAATACAATTAAAAAAAACAAAATAAACATTACAAAATAAAGGACTTATAAACATTAAAAAAAAATTCGCCAAACAACATGAATCCAGCTCCTCGCTGAAAAATCCGCCTCGGCCTCTGTTCGCCAGAAATCCGCCGCCTTTTTCTCTCCGGTGGGGAAAATAAATGTCCCATGCGAGAAAGCGCCGGGAAAGAATAATCTCCAGGCAAAGCGCTCTCTCTCTCTCACCGGTGGGGCATATAAATGTCCCAGGGAAAAGCGCTGGGGAAAAAATGTCCCAAGAAATTAAAGCTCCGGTGAAGAATAATCTCCAGGCAAAGCGCCGGTGAGCCACGACGAGGAGTTCCCGGAAAAGCGTCGGGGGATGATGACGTGTAGGCTCATCTGTTTTATTTTTTAATTGATAAATAAATAAATCATATAATTACTTTACTATCCTTCATTGTAATTAGATTTAAATCGATTTTAATGATTGAGATTGATTTAGTAATATGACTAAGTGACCCCTTTTAGTCACCTAATCTTAACTATGTATAAGTGTATATGATGTAGATCCACCGGAAGTACTTAATCGCCCACTATCTGCACTCATCCAATCCAACCCTCTCACATATACATATTGACTAGATGTTGTTCATATTCTCCTTCAATTGGGTTTTACAGATCTATATATAACAATTAACTGCTCATCTCTAATTGTTGTTTGGGTTATAATTAGTATAAACAGTTACATTCCATTAATGATGAAACCCTGGAACAAGTGTATATTGGTAAAAAAAATTGTAGACTCCGGTTTGGATAAGGATTATAATGAACAAGTACAAAAGCATGAACCTGATCAGTAAAGAAGCAGAAAACTTTGGAAATTGGATTGGTAAAGCTGTTTCCACCAGACTATTGGGCCACCAGACTATTGGGCCAAAACAACTTACAAGGGCCAGCTTATACATATAAGAAGAAGCCTTATACCCATGGGCTGTAACTTGGAGCCCAGAAATCAGGAGGCAGAACCAGATATTTTTCAAGGAAACTTGGCCAGCCCGAATCATAGCCCATTTAAACTTGGATGCTCCCGTAGGGACACACCAAAGAGAGGCATATATTTTCTGGTTTGTACTTTTAGTAACCAGGCTGACACAGTTTCTTGCTCGCCTTCTATCTTTCTGTACTTTGCTCATATTTTGTTTTGTCCTCAACTGGAACTATATTATCAAACACCGCAACTTCTCTGTTTTCTTTATTTGGAAGTCCACATTTTCTAACTCATATGAATATAAGTACAGAACAGGGTATACAGCAATTCGACAGCGGCAGGAACTTAATTTGCATGCATTCCCACCTAGCTAGCTAGCTACAAGACCTCACAAAATTACATATATAAATCGTTACGGATTATTCATATGTCGATCATTCTCAAACACGTTAGAAATATACAACTCGCCGGAAAACATATAGAGATCTTCTCCGATTGTAACAATCATAAAGCACCACATGGACGCCGGCAGCTTGACGCTTGGCTTACTCATTCTCCTACTTCAAGGGTTAACTGTCTTCACAGGGACGACCACCGCGGCCGGTGGTTCCTCGGCCGTAATCGATGGCTTCCCCGGTGCTGATTTCCTAGGAGGTATTTGATTCTTTTGTTAAGAATTCAACTTGTAACCAGTACTTCTAATATAAACTTTACTCGTATAATGTATTTTTTTCTTCTTCTTCTTCACGTTATCGTACCATATTTTACTAACTATGTTTGGAGCGAGGAGCAGATTTGGTGTGCCAATTCGTAAAGTGCGGGTACGGGAAGTGTCAAGCGACGAGCGACGTTGGTGGTTACGAATGTGTGTGCGACCCTGGTTGGAAGACGCATAAGGCTCCTCCTTACACTACCGCTGCTTGCATTCTCCCTAACTGTAAGCTGAAACAAAAATTTGCACATCAAAATTCAGAAATCAAAGTCGATACAGAAAAAACTGCTTTCCTGATAGAAATTTTTATTTCCGTTGATGGCAGGCACCGTCGATCTTAAATGTGACAAAACGTCGACGTTGACATTAGCTTCGGCCCCTACAACACTGCATTCATCTGATGTCACGAACGGTACTATACACTCTCTTAACTGCTTTCAGTGGCGGAGCCACAACCAACTAAGGGAGGTCGGCTGCACTCCCTTGGATTGGCAAGCCCACACAAAGAAATACTAATAATAATTAACCATGGATTGAACAGTTGACCTTGCTTGCATTACACTGCAATTCCACCATCACAATATAAGCTAGCGGTTAAGTTTAATTATACATTAAAAATATTTATTTAAAAGAAGCTATCAGATATGTTGTCTGTACAATCTCTGGTACAATTTTTCGATCCTTGATTTTGACCCACATTATCAATATTTCTAGTTACGCCACTGACTGCTTCAATCATAACTGGATTTTGAACTTCTATCTAATTATGTACAAACTCTTATACTAGTTTAAGTGCTTAAGTGACTTCTTTTTAATTTCTTCTTCTTTTTGTTGATGTTGCAGCAACACACAGCCCGGATTGCAACAACAAGCCTTCAGCACCGCAGCCTTCTCCTTCTCCATCAGATGGTGGTACGTGAAAATCGATCAGAAATCAAATCGGAATCTTTAATTTCATTCTATTCAATTTTTTGGTAGAGAAAGATTATATTAACCAACAGAACGGTTACGTAATTACCACTGTCAGCATGCAAAATGGTATGGTGCGGGGAAGGGAAGTGCGTAGAGCAGGAAAATGGAACAGGATACCATTGCCAGTGCCATCACGGAGCCAGCAATTTGTTCAATAACACTTCTTGGGCTTGCTACAAACCATGTATCGATCATCTTCTCACACCACAAATATAACAAGTCGAAACGCGCGGTCTTTCGCAGTTTCACAGTCTGAATTAGTCGTCGTCGAGCACTAATACGTGTTCACATATATGGGTACAGGTTCACTTGGATCGAATTGTTACAGTCTCTCAACTTGTCCCCATAACCTCCAACCTCCTTCTCCTCCACCTTTGGCTCCTCCTCCAAACGGTAACTCATGTTACTACACAATCTCTTCCATGCATCCTTAGTTCTAGCTAACTGTAAGTAACATGGATTTGTGTTTTTTATTTTTATTTTTTATGTGTGGATGTAAATAAAGGGGCTTCGACACCAATATTAGACCTTGCTTCTTCGATTCTTCGGCTACTGTGGATCGTGTTGCTGGGTGTCGTTCTGCATGCGTGGATGTAGGGCGTACTCCAAATGCATGCCAAGTCAAGAAGGACATGATTAGCAAGGCATCCACCTCAAACACGATTTTGTGTGTCGTCCATTTTTAGACACTATTTGTCATCTTAATTACTGTAACATCCGAATTTTTTTTATTTTTAAAATACTATCCATTTTGGGTATAGTCCCATGGTAATTTTTTTTGTTTTGTATTATGGTGATTTCTCAAGAAGTGTCACTTATATTTTTGTACTGTTCCATTCTAAACTAAACACTAAGAAGTCTTCAATTTCAACTAAAAACACGTCTTATTAGTTAATACTAGTTAATTGGTCCGCGCTCTACTGCGGGTAACTATAGGCATCAGTCGATTTGGTCTGAAACTTAATGGAATTGAGAAAGACCAGACCAAAAAATATATTTGGTGTATTTTGTTCGAGTCGGTCTGGTCAAATTCAATTTCGATCCTTCATAATTAAAATAATTTGTGAAATCGAAACATAATTAAAATGTATTCAGTTCGTTTCACATATAAATTTAGTTAAAAATTTGGTAGACCGAATCGTTACCCACACCTATCGACATGAACTTAACTTTAAAAATCCAATATTCAACATAATCTCAGTCATGAGTAAGTATTTTTTTCTTAATTTTTTTATATGAGCTCCTTTAGTTTAATGACTTTCTAACATGAGTTTTGTTGTATCCTATCAAATGTCATGGATTATATTGGTTCTCGATATATCATACTTTGAATTCTGCTATTGAATTCCAGCTTGTATTTTTTGCTTATGTGGTGACCTCGCAAATATCTCCAAGCAAAAATTATTTTTATAATGAAAAACCTTCGAAGGATACTTTCTTAATGTCACAAACATTTGAAGTACTGAAGCAAATGAGCGTCAAAAAAATGTTCAAATAAAATAAAAAGACGTCGAAAACATGAGTTCTGAGTGTAATATAAGAAGAAGCTTTAAACTACCAAGCCATGAAGATCGAAAACAACCACTACTTGTATAAGCTAATAATTAATGGACTCCTCGAGCAAAAATATCCATCTTTGACCAAAATACAAATAAGACAACCTGGAGACGAGCCACACTTGGTCGTGTTCTGCTTCTTTAATTGGAGAAGTTTTTCAAATTTTGAATACGCCAAAAGAGAATAAGGTACTACTAGCATCTTATCATATGGGGGGAGATGCCAACCAATGGTGGCAATGGGTGGACTGTACCTACATTACGACGGGGATGTTGATGACATGAGCCCTATTTCGTGAGGAGTTATAAGCATAGACCAGTAACCGGATCGTACCGGCCGGTTCAACCGGTTCAACCGGAAATTGGACCAAAAGCGGTACGGTGGGCTGATTGTGCTGATTTTACCGTGCCGGTCGGTTTTTTCGGTTTGACCGGTTGAACCGGCCGGTACGAACCGGTTTCCTGGTCTATGATTCAGCTTCATTTCTACGTATTCTCGTCCAATATGTGGAAAATAATTAAAAAAGAATATTATTTTGCTATTTTTCTATGTTGAAAATGGGTCACCGTGGTTGTATAATGCTCTATTTGGTTCTTTTTTTGATGGATTATATTTTTTATACTATCGCATTTCATTTCTCTATCAATAGTGAAAAACGATATTTTCCAGTACAAAACGGTTGAACCACGGTCGTACCACAAAATACCATACCAGAAAGGAATCCGGTATGATGTCCGGTACGGTTTCCTTTACCATGGTTATAAGCTAGATTTGGTCTGTCAGAGAGGACATCGAGACGAGAAGCTCTCCCCAAGATCAAATAAACCAGATACTTAAGCGATTATCTCTTAGCTTTCGAGAGATTAGGCAATCAATGTTGATGGACGGAGGAGTCGTTAGTGGGCTCATTCAGTGGTGTGCATGTTCAAGCCAGATACGGTGAGAGAGGCGATACTACTCGCCAAAGTGAAGAGCGAGAAACTAGGGAAGCATTGCAGAGCGCAGCGGATTTCACCAAGGGCAATGATGGAGACCACAGCCGAAGGAGCACTTGAACAACCTCCTGCACCACCATCATGCAACCCTAGTGCACGAAGGATATCACCAAAGGAGGTAGCACGCACCGGGCGGAAGAACTCTGCTTCCATTATGATGAGCGTTTCAGGATTGGCCATCGTTGTGCCAATAAGAACGTGCTACTCGTGATTGGGTCATGAAGTTTTAGATACAATGAGTTATATACGTTGTAGAGTGCGGGCCAAAAAAATAGTGATATTTATTTGTTAAATAATACTTTAAGAAATATGTGACGTAAAGATTTCGTAATGATTGTATACCTTATGTGATTTTGTGTTAAATTCATTATGTACAAACACCATATATTATGCAATATTACGTAATTCAATACTATAACCATTACGAACAATAAACCTACTAGTCAAAGTTTTAAGTCACAATAATTACAACGACTTGAAAGGCACTAAAATGGGGGAGGAATATGCAATAAATGTTGTGATTTTAGTGAACTATATGAATACACTAAAATGGGGGAGAAATGTTGGAAATTTGGTAGAACCTGACTAACCAAGTTAAACCGATTTTGGGTTGGATCGACAAACTGGTGTGTGATTAAACCGACCGAACCAATATTGTAAATCCATGAAGGGACACATCCATTTGGTCTAGTGACGGTTTCATTTTCTTATGGATAATGATGACCTAATTGATAAAGACGATCTTTCATATGAATAAGGACAACACTTCATATGGATAAAGGAAACCTTTTTGTATGGATAAAGACAACTTTTCGTATGAATAATGCAACCTTTCATGAAACAATGCATGGATTCGGCCCCTATAAATATATGTGTGGAGTGCATGATGTCATATATCATCAACCATATTCTCCTTCTTTCTTCCAAAAATTTCTAACTTCTAAGTATGTTTTAGCGTTCTTAGTCCAGAACCTAAAGTGATTATAATTTTATCCTCAAGAGAAATTCCTGTAACCCAAAGCTTTTATATGGAGGGTGAAAATTAAATATTATTTTCGGAAAGTGTACATAATTCACTACTCTATCATAATTTTAGTTCTAATTGTAAAAAAAAAAAAAAAACATAATTCTAGCTAGTAACCTTGTATCGGGCTATCGTACATGTACCCTCCTCCCAAAAGTCCCAACAAATGACTCGAATCATGGTGTTTCCTCTATCTCACCCTGGACTGTTCTCCAATCTCATCATCCTACAATTTTCTTCTTCAAAAAGCAATTTTTCCTTCAGTTTTATATCAAGTCTCTCTGCTTCGTTCTTTTGAAGTCCTCAAAGCCGAGTAGCCATTAGGCTGGGAATTGGGTTCGTGTTTTTGGTTTAAACCGATATCAAACCAATAAGAATCATACTTTTTTCCCGAGTCAGTTTGTATTTTAATTTTTTTTATTTAAATATTAGTTAAAATAATCAATTACTTCTTTAAGACATACAACAATCGTCAAAATTTTGATACCTTTACTGGGAACATAGACTGCTAATTGAAAATATCTACTACCCAGTGCTTCACTCTACCTTCTATACCAGTTACATCAATAATAACCCACAGACTATTCGTACTAGAGCAGAGGGTGGGTGGACAATTTATTTATCGAGCCATCTTTTTCTACATCAGTGGCGTGATGTGTGTTCTGACTTTCTCCACATGACTATTGCTTATCAATGATAAACTGATCAAAACGGGCCACTTCCGTCAGGCTTTCTGTTTGCTTATAAAACAAAAAATCCCACCTGACTCCTTTTTTATTTCATCAAATGAAAACTTACAATATCCTTGTTGTATTTATATATATGTATACATCTACAAAGTTCTATTAAAACAAACAAATAAACAAATATTACAAATTAGGCCTATAACTTTACATTCATTACAAATCAGTCCTCGGATTTATCTTCCTCGGACAACTCCCCCCCGCAAGCTGGCGCGTATATGTCCAAACGTCCCAGTTTATTCTGCAAAAACTGAAACACAGCAACTGGAAGGGATTTGGTGAACATATCTGCCAATTGATTGGCTGAAGAAACATGTAGATCCTTAATAACACCATTCAATATTTGATCTCTAATGACGTGACAGTCTATTTCTATGTGCTTAGTACGTTCATGATTAATAGGGTTGTCCGCCAATTTAATAGCAGACATACTGTCACAGAAAACAGGAGTGGCAGCTGATAAATCAACATGCAAATCATGAAGAATATATCGCAAGCATATCAATTCACAAGTTAGACTAGCCATAGATCTATACTCGGCTTCTGGAGAAGAACGAGAAACAGTCTTTTGCTTTTTTGAACGCCAACCAATAAGTGAATTACCAAGCAAAACGCAGAATACAGTTGTTGATCTACGAGTGTCTGGGCAACCAGCCCAGTCACTATCGCAAAAAGCTTGCAAAAACACTTTAGAATCACTAGAGAAAAGTAATCCTTGACCAACAGTTCCCTTTAAGTAACGAAGAATACGTTCTGCTGCTTGCATATGTACATAAGTAGGAGAATTGTGAACTGACTTAACTGATGTACTGCATATGCAAGGTCTGGACGTGTATTACATAGGTATAAAAGTCGACCTATTAATCTCTTGTAAGAAGAAGGACCAGGAAGGAGATTACCCGATTTGGCAGACAACTTAGGACCAGGAACAGTAGGTGAATCAGCCTGTTCTGCACTAAAAAAACAGTGTCTGTTAAGAGATCCAATGCAAATTTCCGTTGACACAGCATAATACCTTTAGAAGATCTAGCAATCTCAATACCAAGGAAGTACTTTAATTCACCTAAGTCCTTAATAGTAAAATTCTGATCAAGTTTGAGTTTAATATCAGAAATAGCATTCAAGTCATTTCCACCTAAAATAATGTCATCGACATACACTAATGCAACAGTGAATGAAGAATCTACACTTCTAACAAACAGAGAATAATCTGCTTTGGATTGTTTGTAACCAGTAGAAGTAAGAAAGGAGGTTAATTTGATATTCCATTGACGACTAGCCTGTTTTAAACCATAAAGAGATTTATTAAGACGACAAACATGATTTTTAAAATGAGAAGGAACAACCAAACCTGGTGGGATTTTCATGTATACTTCTTCACCTAAATCTCCATGAAGAAAAGCTGTATTAACATCTAATTGGTGCAAGAACCAACCATTAATAGCAGCTAATGAAAGAACACACGTACTATAGTATGTGATAGACCATTGATTGCACATGTTTTAACCCATATTCTTGAGTCGTTCGAGATGTTGATTCTCGTGTTTTAAGCCGATTTCACTCTAGGTTGTGCGTTTATGTCATATTTCAGGGCTTAGCGTGGGCATCGAGGCGAAGAAACGAGGTTCGGGTTGAAAGGAGCACGTTTGGGTTGAAGTGTGCTGGAGAAGCAAAATACCTGGCCATGAGCAAAAATACACGGCCGGGTATTACTAGGAGCAGACCGGGGAATTTATGTTTCGGGCGTCTGAGAAGCAGAAGGGGGCTCGGGGAATGAGCAGAAATACCCGGTCGGGTATTCTTGGCCTTGACCGGGGATTTTCCCCTGTTCCCCGATGGTGCGTTTTGATAATACCGGTCGCCGCCTAAAATACCCGACATGGGTATTCAGGCCGAGGATCACGACTGACAGCCTCTTAAGGGAAAAGAAGGGCAAAAGAGAAAGGGTTCCGAGTTTTAGCGAGAAAAAGCGATACCTAGAGAGAAAGTGACGAACCTGATTCTGCAAGTGTCCTTGATCGATCTGTATCACCATTGGAGCACGGCTTGAGTTTGGAGAAGAGCTGATTGAGTGCCAGAAGCAGATTCTCATCCTTCACAGTATGGTTTCCGAATCTGAGCTAGATTTCCCATCTCTCTCTATGGAGTAACTTTCTTATTCACCTGGGTATGAAGAACCCTAGATTTTTATGTTAGGTCTGATTGTATGAACCCAAGTACAGATTCGGTGGTATGATTATGTTCAATTGTGGTTTGATTTGTTGAATGGCATGAATCCTGATCAAATTCCTGTTGTTTCTGGTTTAACCTAGAAAGAGAATATATGCCTAGGTTGATAGAGCACCCTTGATTGAAGGTAGTGAATTGGAGACTTTAGTCGAGAAGTCAATTAACTATTATGTACCGAATTCACTTCGGTAGTGGAGGTTTGGTTCGTTAGGGCCTCAATCTGTTTACTCCGGTGGAGATTAGTCGCCCGCTGGAGACTCAGATTGAGAGGGTCTGGAGACCTTCAGTTGAGAGTGCAGACTATTTAAGAACCTCCCGCAGTATAACTATCATTAAAATTGAACTTGGTAAATTACAATTCGGCTTAACTGCAGTCTAGGGGGAACCATATCCGGGTGACCTCTTTCGACTTGAAAACAACGTTTTTACTTGCTTTGCTTATTTGCTTGTTTGTACCTTCATCTAAAGTTTCACTGCTAAATAATAAGAACTCACGGAGTAGTCATCACATCTACGACCCAGGTTGACATTAAAACCCAAACCCGCTAAACTACGCTTTAGGAGGTGGTTACACTTGGCCATTTTCTAGAGTGACGGTAGTAGCGAGTCAAGTTTTTGGCGTCGTTGCTGGGGACGACTAGGTTGTTGAAGAAACGTGGTTTCTGTTAATTTAGCTTTTCTTTTTAGCATTGTTTGCTTTGTCACACTTGTGCCTTACGGGTTTGCTGCTTGACTGTGTGCAGGTAGTGCATGACCCGTAGCCGGTTTACTGCCGTTGGATCTGGAGCTTGAACGCACCTGTCGCCAACTTAGGAGACAACAGCGAGCTAGACTGGCTATGGAGGAGCGCATAGACGGCCATTTGAGCAGCGATTCCGAGGAAGAGTACGAGATGGAAGGAGAACATAACCCGCCCCAGGGGATACCTCTCCAGGTTCCCCTGGTGAATCAGATGTTGGGGAACAACCCCATACCCTAGGTAGATGGGGTTCAGCCTCAACCACCACCGCCGCCGGGCCCCATCCTGGAGTATTACTACACTCCACGGGTCGCCTATATCCGCCCTGTCATCCTCTATCCACCCATCCCAGCGAACAACTTCGAGATCAAGCCATGCTGGATTCAACTCATTACATCCTCTATCCAGTTTCATGGCTTGAAGGATGAAGAGGCAAGGGTGCATCTTTCCCGTTTCCTGCAGCTGACGAACGGGTTCAAGATGAATGGTGTACCTGATGATGCGATCTGCCTGCACCTCTTCCCCCATTCTCTGGCGGGGCATGCAGAGGTGGTTGGAGACCCAGCCCCCATTGTCCATTACTTCTTGGGACGATCTGGCCAACAAGTTCGTACACAGGTACTATCCGACATCGAATACCACAGAGATCCAGCGGGAGATCACTCACTTCCGCCAAGAGCCAGATGAGTCACTTCGTGATGCATGGGAGCGGTACTCGTGATTTTTCTGGCAGTGTCCCCGTCACGGCTTCAGCGATGCATTCACCGTGGGGAACTTCTATAGTGCTCTCTCTCTGGAAAGCCAGAGGGTGATTGAGTCTTTATGCCCAGCAGGGGATATTCTCACTAGGACTCCACCCGAATTGAACCAGATGATCAGTACCTTGGCTGCCAGAGATCATTCCTGGGGCCGGAGCACTAGAGGAAGGAATTCCTAGGATCGTGGTGTGCACGCCATGGAGGCCAGGTCCGGGCTAGAGCGGGAGGTGGCCGAGCTAGTGCGGCTATTGAAGCAGTCCAACAGTCTTATTCCCGGCAGAGGTTTGGCTGTACCTCAAGTAGCTCAATGTCAGTGGTGTGAGAGCTCGAACCATCTGGTGGAAGACTGCCGGGCTATGCAAGAGTCTTCTACTCCTCAAGAGCAGTTGGACTTCATCGCCAATGCTCGGCCCTTTGACTCATACTGCAATACATACAATGAGGGGTGGCGCCAGCATCCCAACTTCGCTTGGAATAGAAACACCACTAAACCACCTAGTTTTCGAGCACCAGCTAGTGGTTTTCAGCAGACGCAACCTTTTTAGGCCAGACAGGGGCTCGTTCCACAGCAGCAGCCTTACCAGCCTAGGCAGGGGCAACCATTTCAGCAGCCCCAACGTCAGTATGTCGAGCCAGCAGCAGCTCCAGCTCCCGATAATCAGATGAACGAGCTGAAGAACATATTGGCGGCATTCATGACTACCAGCTAGGCTAATGTTACCAATATAGACCAAAGCATCGCCTCGCTGGAGGCAGGTCAGAGGAACCAAGGTGCCATACTGCAGGACCTCCAGCATCAGCTTGGAGGAATAGCTCGTCAGAACAATACCCGGGCACTGGGAACTCTACCTGCCACTGCCATCCCCAATCCACGGGAGCCGCACCAGCAGCTGAATGCCATCACTACCAAGAGTGGTAAGACGACAGCTGCTGCCCCCGCCCAGGCTAGGGAGGAAGAGCCACTTCCTGCTTCAACACTTCCAGCTGACGATGTAGAAGTGGGGATGGAAAAGGAAGCACAGGTTCCCAAACCACAACACATGGTTAAGGAGCATGTACCCAGATTCCCTTCCCCACTCGACTACACAAAGATAAGCTGGAGACTGAGTTTGCCAAGTTCATGGCAATGTTGAAGGAGCTCAACATCAACATACCATTCATGGAGGCACTGTCGAAGATGCCCAAGTACGCCAAGTTAATGAAGGATCTCCTCACCAACAAGAAGAAACTTGGGGATCTCTTGACAGTGATGCTGAGCAAGGAGTGTTCTGCCATCCTGCAGAACAAGCTGCCCGAGAAGCGCAAAGATCCAGGGAGTTTTACTATCCCTCTTGTTAATGGCAGCATGCATGTAGGAAAGTCCTTGGTGAACCTAGGCACTAGCATAAATGTCATGCCCTACAAATTGTTTAAAAAGCAAGACCTAGGTGAACCTAGAGCTACTAGGATGAGCATTCAGTTAGCTGATCGGTCCATTGTGCATCCTAGGGGTATCATAGAGGATCTGCTTGTTAATGTAGGTGCATTCACATATCCTGTTGACTTTGTTATTCTGGATATAAATGAGGATGTGGATGTGCCTTTGATTTTGGGTAGACCATTTCTCGCCACCGCCAAGGCACTTATTGATGTGCATAGTGGTAAACTGATCTCTGCGTGCTGGGAATGAACATGCTACTTTTTCTGTGTCTGAATTAGATCATTGTGATATGCCTGTTGTCGCAACTATGCATGCTATTTCTCATCAGGTATACGAGCCTGTCGTGTATCCCTCTGTGCCTCTCGTTTTGCAGGATCACCCTCTCACACCTTCGCTATCGCTCCCGTCAACGTCACCGCCAAACAAAAAGATCAAAGTGGAGTGGCGGCCGAATCCACAGGTGGCTAAGCTTGCTCGGAAGAAAGGTGGCGACCACTATGAGCTGGTCCTACCTCCTACACCACGACCACCCTGGCCATCCAAGTACTCACTCGCTTGCATCTTGCCGGATGGCCAGGTCGAGCTGACAAATGCTGGTGGTTGCACTCGTCGGGTGCATGGCCACCATCTGAAGTTGTACATCAAGAGCGATGTGGATCCGCTCTTGGAGGCACCTGTTCCTGCACTCCTTTGAGTATCCACCATGGGCGTCCAGCTAAAAGACGGTAAAGAAGCGCTTGTGGGGAGGCAACCCGACCACGGTTTGCATTTATTTCTTTTTTTTTTTGGGTCGGATTGGAAACTGGTTTGGTTTTGGTTTGTTTTCTTTTGTTTTGGATGATGTACTATTGGGCTTTCAACTGGACCTAACGTATGGTGGCTGAGCTTTTGTTTTCCCTTTAGCTGTGCCTTTGTTCCTGATTGGTCCCCTCTCCAGTCCTCTTCACTTAGACTGGTCCCCCTTCCAGTCTCATGCATCCGTGCACACCGGTAACCTCGTTCCCCTTATCCTTCCCTCTTCTCCATTGAGGGCAATGTCGAACTTAAGTGTGGGGGGGATGTTTCTCTATTGACTGCATTAGATCTATTTGTGTGCATGGAGCCTAGTCCACTGTCCAAATTTCGATTTGAGGGCTCCAAGTACGTGTCTCGTTGCAAATTGCCTGCTCAGTATGCTTTGAATTGACAGTCTCTATAGTAATGTGCAACCAAGGGAGGTAGTGTAGCACTATGGAGAATGTTGAAGTATAAGATTTTTCCTATCTAGCTCTCTGCCGTGCCAGTTGATTTTATGAATTAGTGGAGCTAAGACCGTTGAATTCATGTGGTAATGGTGACTCTGTTTGGATTGTGTTATGGACTCATGTATCGAACAAGGTGCTCATGTGAAAAATGAAAAGCAGTTGGTCCTCCATGTCGAAATCATTAAATCTTAAACGTGGGGTAAGCCCAACGTGTGTGGCACCATTCATTGCACAAAATCGGGTTTTGGAAGAGATTTTAGTGATCCTTAGGGCCTGTTTACTTTCATTTATGTTTCCTGTTTTTGAGAAAACAGATGTTGAAAACAAGTGAAAACAACATTTTGTCGTTTCCGAAAACAGCAGGAAGTTGCCACTTTCTGTTTTCATAGTTGGAAACGAATAGAAAACAGAACGAAAAGTAAACAAGTTTTCTCATTTTGGTTGCCAAATTTATCTCATGAAAACAGAAAACAGGAAACGAAAATGGAAGTGAACAGGGCCTTAGTGGGGTACTCCTCCAAGGTGAAGCTAAGTTGTCGCTAGTACAAGTAAAACTTCCACCCGTTGAACAGTTTGCCTACTTGAGGATGTGTTTTTAAGGGCACAGATAGAGCTTCCGACCCCCCTTAATTTAATTGACCCTCCACACGAGTTGAGGACTAATAAGGGTTGACCGTGCAAAAGGGGGCACAAGCAATGAGCAGAAATACCCGGTCGGACATTCTTGGCCTTGACCAGGGATTTTCCCCTGTTCCCCGACGATGCGTTTTGATAATATCCGGTCGCCACCTAAAATACCCGACTGGGTATTCAGGCCGGGGATCGCGACAGACAGCCTCTTAAGGGAAAAGAAGGGCAAAAGAGAAAGGGTTCCGAGTTTTAGAGAGAAAAAGCGATACCTAGAGAGAGAAAGTGACGAACCTGATTCTACAAGTGTCCTTGATTGATCTCCATCACCATTGGAGCACGACTTGAGCTTGGAAAAGAGCTGATTGAGTGTCAGAAGCAGATTCTCATCCTTCACAGTATGGTTTCCGCATCTGAGCTAGATTTCTCATCTCTCTCTATGGAGTAACTTTCTTATTCACCTGGGTATGAAGAACCCTAGATTTGTATGTTAGGTCTGATTGTATGAACCCAAGTACAGATTCAGTTGTATGATTATGTTCAATTGAGGTTTGATTAGTTGAATGGCATGAATCCTGATCAAATTCCTGTTGTTTCTGCTTTAACCTAGAAAGAGAATATCTTCCTAGGTTGATAGAGCACCCTTGATTGAAGGTAGTGAATTGGAGACTTTAATCGAGAAGTCAATTCACTATTCTGTCCCGAATTCACTTCGGTAGTGGAGGTTTGGTTTGTTAGGGCCTCAATCTGTTTACTCCGGTGGAGGTTAGTCGCCCATTGGAGACTCAGATTGAGAGGATCTGGAGACCTTTAGTCGAGACTGCAAACTGTTTAAGAACATCCCGCAGTATAACTATCATTGAAATTGAACTTGGTAAATTACAATCCGGCTTAACTGCAGTCTAGGGGAAACCATATCCGGGTGACCTTTCTCGACTTGAAAACAACCTTTTTACTTGCTTTGCTTGTTTGCTTGTTTGGACCTTCACTAAAGTTTCACTACTAAATAATAAAACTCACGGAGTAGTCATCACATCTAGGACCCGGGTTGACATTAAAACCCAAACCCGCTACACTACGCTTTAGGAGGTGGTTACACTTGACCATTTTCTAGAGTGACGATAGTAGCGTGTCAGTATGTTTCACAACCGGAGCAAAAGTGTCTAAGTAATCTAAACCTGGTGTTTGAGTATAACCCTTAGCCACTAGGCGAGATCTAAAACGTTCGATGGCACCTGAAGCAATAAATTTTATTTTGAACACCCACATGTTGCCAACAGTAATTTTTCCAGCAGGAAGTTCAACTACAGTCCAAGTTTTGGTTCTGTCTAGAGCTGCCAGTTCTGTATTACAAGCCTCAACCCAACGAGGATCTTGTATGGCCTCTTTATAAGTGCGTGGTTCAACAATTTCAGATGTGGCAAGTATGTACTTTTGATAATCAGCACTTAAATTATCAAAACACGTCACTTTCGAAATTGGATAAGAAACAGAAACAGATGGGAAATCACACACAAAATTCTTAAGTTTCTGAGGTCGTACCTTGAGTCTAGAGGGACGAATATTAGGAGGCGGTTCAACCGTTTGAATAATATCTATAATGTTAGTTTCAGGCTCCTCAGGAGGTACAAGAGAAGGAGGATCAATAGAATTAGTTTGTGTGGTTGGAATATAAACAGAATCTGGAACTTGAATGTTAGGAAAACAAACATCAAAGCCCAGTTTATCATTTATGTTAAAAAATGGAAAAACGTGTTCATGAAAAACAGTATCTCGTGAGTAGAAAATCTGATGGGTATTTAGATTGTATAACCTAGACCCTTTGACAGAAGGATGATATCCTAGAAACACAGAGGGACCAGCCTTTGGTGCAAATTTAGATCTGTTGTGCTAAAGAGTTTAAGCAAATACAAGACGCCCAAAAACCTTAATGTCTAAGTAAGAAGGTTTTGAATTGTATAGAATTTCAAAAGGTGACCTATTCTGTAAGATTGGATAAGGTAATCTGTTAATGAGAAAAACAGAGTGCAGTACAGCAAAACCCCAAAATGAGATAGGAAGTGAAGCTTGAAACATAAGAGAACGTGCAACGGCTAAGATATGTTGATGTTTGCGTTCCACTCTACCATTCTGTTGTGAAGTGGCAACACAAGTAGTTTGGTGAATTATACCAAAAGTTTCATAAAAAGAGGGAACGTTAAACTCTTGGCCATTATCAGTTCGTATTATCTTAATTTGGGAGGAAAACTGAGTACTAATGAATGCTGGAAAATTTAGAAGAACACATCTTACTTCACTTTTGGTCTTAAGTACATAAATCCATGTATGTCTAGAATGATCATCGACACAAGTGAGAAAATACTTGTAACCATCAACAGTAGGAGTTTGAAAAGGACCCCAGATGTCAAGATGCATGAGTTCAAACAATGTAGAAGAATGAGAATGACTAATAGGAAATGGTAGTCGTTTCTATTTGGCCAATGGACAAACCATACAAGGATTTTTATTAGAACTAATAGAAGATTTCACAGTAGTGTCTAACAAATCTGATATAGGAAGGGCAGTATGCCCAAGTCTGTAATGCTAGATATCAAAAGGAGTAAGGGATGAATTGAAACAGGCATTACAAGATGGAGGAGCTGATTTTTGAAATTCCGTGGAGGGAATATGAAGATGGCAGAGTCCTCATTGGAGTTTAGCAGTACCAATCCGCTTTTGGGACGAAAGATCCTGTATAAAACAGGAATCAACAGAAAAAGAAACAACACAATTTGATTTCTGAACTAATTTAGAAACAGAAATCAAATTGAATGTAAAGGAAGGTATGTAGAGCACATCATATAGAGTCAAAGTTGGTGTACTTTTGATGTTTCCCATATGTGTGACTTTAACCTTAATCCTATTCGGAAGTGCAACACTCATGTGATCAATTGCTTTAAAGGAATCAAATAAATGTGATACTGATACTACATGATCAGTAGCACCACTGTCAACTATCCACATCATCGAAGTTAAGGGAGTAAAGGAAGAGGATAGAACAAAACTTGTGTCTTCCGAGGCAATAACTGGAGTAGTCAGATGATCAGGAAGAGATCCCGAACCAGAAGCGCCTGAGGAGAATATAAGGGTAGTCTGGGTAGCAGTAACCAAATTTGCTACTGGTGTGGAAGCCTGCTGAATCCGTGGCTGAGTCTGGTTGAGCAAGGTTTGATATTGTGCCCTTGAAATGGTCACATATTCATCACCAGCAGGGATGTCACTAGCAGGAGAGGCAGACTCGGTGATGACGACATGAGCTGAACGACAACTCTTGTAACCAGGGGGATACCCATGGACCTTGTAGCACCGGTCAATGGTATGGCCATAGATGCCACAATGTGTACACAATGGTCGTTTACGACCTCCACCATGACTCTGAGCTGCATTAGCTTGATTAGGAACAACACTCCCTTATTATTAGCAGCTGATCCTTGAGTAACGAGAGCAACAGGAGGCAGAGAAAGAGTATTCCGCCGTTCTTGTTGAACCAGTCCAGGAAAGACCCTATTGATAGAGGGAAGAGGATCCATTAACAGAAACTGAGATCGCACACCGGAGAAATTCTCATTCAATCCTTTGAGAAAACATGTATTGCATGAGCATGAAGGAAGAGGCCTCAAGATTAACAGTTCTTCCCAAAGAACGCGAAAGCGAGTAAAATATGCAGTAACAGTCTGAGAACCTTGCTTGAGTGCCGCTATCTCATCATAGAGGTCAGAAATACGAACCTCATTTCCTTCACTGAACCTCTCCCGCAAATCCTCCCAAGCCTCTACACGTGGGCGATTTCTTGAGAAACTGATCTTTGCAGCCAACCAAGCAACAACATGTTCTCCTGATCCCAGGCCATCCACAACGAATCATCTGGTAACGGAATCGACGCGCGGGGATCAATCAAACGAAGCTTGTTTCTCATACCATGTTTGCTTATAAAACAGAAAACCCCACCTGGTTCTTTTTATTTCATCAAATGAAAATTTACAATATCCTTGCTGTATTTACATATATATATATATATACACCTACAAAGTTCTATTAAAACAAACAAATAAACAAATATTACAAATTAGTCCTATAACTATGCATTCATTACAAATCAGTCCTTGGATTTAACTTCCTCGGACAACTCTTTCAGCTGTGACTTTAACTTTCACTTCTTCATTCATTCAGTAATAATTATTAGGCTGTTGGCATAGCATTGGGGTTTCGGCCACGAAAGCCAATATTCCCCTTTCACAATGTGAGAGTTATTAGTCGGTGCATGTTCGAGGTGTAGTTGGAAGTGGATCTTTTGAAAGGTGTTGGAATAATGGTAATGTATTTATATTCAAGCGAGTAGATATGGGATAATGGTAATGCATACGATTTTTTATTTAATTTTTATCTTTGAGTTATAAAAAATTGAAAACTAATTACCGATATTTTTTGAAAATTGTATTATTTCTATACAAAAATGTTGATATGACTTGAATCCTACTATTTGATTACTACTGGAAGTAACGGGCAGAAGAGAGCCAATAGTGATTACTATATTTCGAGCAGATACAGATTATAGAGGGATACGAGCCTATAGTCCAATTCAAGCCGTATCAACATTTAAGTTTTTATCTCTTAAATGCCCCATCAAATGAAAACTAATCTTTTGGAATTTTACAGTTTGCAAAAGTTCAAACGAAATATTAGGCCAACACTCGTCTTGCCCGCAGAACATCAACTTCCAGTGCACCAACGCATCTAATGAAAGAATCTCTGTGGCGACAGAGAGGGGGTTGTTGGCACTCCGATGGCGGCGACAGAAGTAGAATACGAGAATGTCAGAGATGACTATCATGGTTGGGAAGGAAGGAAAGATAAAGAGTGCTGAGCTTGTGGGAGTAGGAAGAAGGGGATTGTGGGAAGATCAATGAGTAGATGTTGGCCCGGGAGCTTGCTGCATTTGTGCGGGAATGAGAATCCGTGCTTGGTGATGGAAGAGGGAAGGTTATACACGGTTACTATTTTTTTTTCGTTCAATTTAATATTTCATTACTATTGGGTGAGGTGAAAAAGGGAGATCTAATTAAAGACCCCATCCGTCCGATCAATAGCAGATATGATGACAGACTTTAAATCAGAACAATAAATGAAGGGGACTGGTAATTCTGCCACACCTGGATTTTTTTTTGCTGACACTTTAATACCGATCCAGAGGAAAGAGAAAATATTTTTCGTAATTTTCTATTTTTCTTAACCAGATCCTAGAGAAATAATTTAAACTCTAAATTTGCAAATTTTTTTATTGATGAAGGTGATGAACTATATTAAGAAGAGCAAAACAAAAGTCCAAAGCTTCACGAGGAGTAAAAGCGAACACGCCAAAGGAAGGAAAAAGAGAAAGAAAAGAAGCGATATCTAGAAGAGAAACTAACAGAAACAAAGAAGGCCAAACAAAGCCAGCAAAAAAATGCCCTACCTAGGTCCCGCCCAAAAAACCAAGCCAGCGGAACCTGAGGAAGGACCCCAGCAAACCCGAAAAGTCCAAAATTGCAAATTATACATTGATAAAGCGCATTAATTATGATCTACACATTGTTATGCATTTCTTCTATATTTTGAGAAAAGAGGAAAAACTTTTCAAAACACATGTTGGTTGTAGTATAACACTAATATATCAATTATACATAGTGATAACTTTTAAATGAAATGATATTAATAGATATGTACTTTATATGATATTGATATAAACTGTTATGATCTTGATATAAATGATATGATCTTCCTATGAATGATATAGACTGATACGAACTTGATGTGAATGACATGAACTTGATATGTGCTTATATGATATTGAAATGAGCCTATATGAACTCATATGACTCGATATGAAAATAATGTGAACTAATATGATCTTGTTACGAATGCTATGAACTGATATGTTCTTGATATGAATAGTATATTACTTATACGATCTTGATATGAACTGATATTATCTTGATATGAATGACATAGAACTAATATAAAATGATATGAATGTCACGAAGGTGATATGAGCTAATATAATATGATATTCTACGCAAAAGTTTTTTTTACAATTGATGTAAAACAAATGCGCTATGGTTCGTTAAATTTTCATTGGAAATTTGAAAAAAGGTCTGAACAGGAGTCTCAAAATCTGCCGGGTCAGCCCTAAAATCCGTTCAGTCTCTCCCTCTCTCCTACTTTCCCTGCTTGATTCTTTATGATATGGACTATTGAATCTTGCTTTCCCAAATTAGGGCATTTGGATTGGGTTTTGTAGTATTACAAAGTTTTGTACAATAGCCTAGGCCGATGAAAAACAAAAATAACGTCATCTATTTTTTTTTGTATTGTTTTTAAAATTGTCACGCCAACAATTTAATGGTCAAAGTTGATTGCCACCTAGAATCAATTTAATGGAATTGAATGGTGGGTGCCCTAAAAAAAATTTGATCGGCAAACATGAAACAATTTGATAAATCAAGTGACCAATCATGCAATTCAATGATATTGATTGATGACATACAGTTTTATATATTTTGGAAGGAAAAAAATTGAGACATATATTATCGATCTATATTATGGTGATATGCTTGATAGTACATAAGATTGTACCATGGTGGTATGAAAGTATAAAATAATGGTACGGATATAATATAATCTAAACTAACTGTACAGATGATAGTAGTAATATACTAACCACAATTTATTAGATAATTCATGTGTGCAATGTAAGATTGATGATTTGGTACTTTGAGCCCATGAGGCCATTTTATTTAATAATTAAATGTCGGGTAATACTTAGCTGCAATCTAGATAGCAGCCAGCTCCTGCTACCCGTCCGCATGTTATTTCCTCATTGGCCCATTTTCTTTTCATTTTTCATTTTTTCGAAAGTTAAAAAAAATCATTTCGTTTCCATTTTGTTGACTGTGTGAATCCAACTCGTCGAACTCTAGGTCAATGTATGAGCTCCAGAGGCGTTGCCATCTCTTGGGAGAGCTATAGTATCTGAGGCTTATTGGCAGAGAGGTATATGAACTCCATGTCCGAATACCATGTGTTTAAGGTATATGTCCTACCCATCCCATTTCCATCACTAGCACCAAAGGATCTAGATTTAGTTGAGCACTTTTCCATAACCATTAGTCATCCATCGACGTTATTATAATTGAGTTCACAATTCTGAGCTCTATTTGGAAGGTTTAATGGTTGGAAAACGAATAGCCCCAATGGCCAATAGTTACATAGCATTATTCACAAGATGTGTAAAACTCCCCCATAATTATTTTCATTATTTATTGCTCCATCATGGCATAACATAACCCGAAGGTACTAAGGAGGAAATAACAAAACCACGAAATGGTGTGAAACTAAACGAGCAAACGCAACAACGCCTCGCTAGTAAACAAGGATAGATTGATACAGCAGTAGTAATGCTGTATGCATGCACTTGTACGTTACAGAGATTATTAAGGGTACGAATCACAAATGGTTGGTTATGGGGGGGAATTACGATGAGTTGATCACTTTTTGGTGTGGTGATCATCGATATCTTTGCTGAGATGCACAGCAAATTTCATAAGGGAGAAGGGCTCGGGGACATCCTCGTTCAGCTTCTCGTACTCCATAGTCCAGTGGATGAGACTAGTGTTCTCCGATTCGGGAGTTGCCTTGACAACAATCTTGAACTCCTTGTACTCCTTCATAAGATCGCCTTCGACCACCTTGAAAGTGGTCGAAAAATTCGCATCATCGATGTCTTCGACTAGTTCCTTGGCCACCTTGTGAACCTCATCTGACCACATATATAAGTTTTGAGTAGTTATTACAAATCGTACATCAGCTTATAAATGAGATGATTTTTTGGTGAATGACAATATATGTACGCACCATGAACATAGTCCCAGATAACTATGGAGCCCTTTTTGCCGAAGTCGCCTTCGTGGAGAGCACAGTTCTTGATCTTGGTCGGAGCCATGTTGCAGACGTGGTGAGGCCTGCCGCTGAAGATGTCGTGGTGCTGACTCGCCGGGAGGCAGATCCCAAAACATGCCTCCAGCTTCCCGCAGAGCAGAGTACTCATCTTCTTTACTCGGTTGCTTTGTTTCTCGTTAGCTGTTGTTGCGTTTAGTGGTAGTGTGGAAGGAAGTGAAGCAATCAACATTGAATTTATAGGACGCGAGGCTAGTGGACTAATATAATGGGATCTAGGTACTATATTAACATAGGACTGCAAAGTTTTATAAACACGTTTTATGGCTTTTCATATACACAGCTGTGCGATGTGGGTCGGACCATGCATGCAATTATGGACAATGAAAAAAGGGTTCGGTCGGTCGGTGGGGAACAAATTATTGACTATTGGTGTAACTCAGAGACCTGAGCCTTGCCCTTTAATAATACCAACCACATTTTTTGATACATTAAACACGTTGGGTTCTACCTGGTGCAAAATAGACTCTGGTAATTCTGGAACCACCTTCACCCTCAATTCACTATTCACTGCCTCATTTGGCTCTACGATTGAAAGTCCTTAGTAACCTCTTTTGGACTTTACCGTAGCTCCGCCCTGTCCTATTAACGAGGAATTTGGACAATCTTATATCCACACTTTCAACCACAAGCACTCATGACTCAACTAAATAAGAGAAAGAGACGCTAGCTGTAGGCTAAAATCTCTTGATTCAACTCACGAATACTAATTGTACAACCCTGTCAAAATCGTCTTGTTATTTTCACGTTCAAATTTCATCTCATTAAATTCCAATCGACTACTATTTCATTAGTCGTTGCTTCTGTTAGCTGATGATGTAAATTGGGTTATGTAATTAGCTGTATAATTATGAGGCCCAGTAGTTAATTAGCCCAATACGTAAGTCCATGAAACCCATGCATGGCGCCAGATCGTGTGTTAGTAAATATATGTGTTGGAGTACTTGATCTGGTTGTATTTGTTAGTTTGTTTGCTGGGTTCTCTTTATTAATAAATTATCACCACCATTATAAAAAAAACGATATATGATTCACGATTGAACATTTTTCAACAACTCGAGTTATTGGGACTAACTAGTTATTGACATGGTATCAAAGCCTCATGTGACCAAAAGTTCTTCTGTTCGAATCCCGATGACCCCTATCTGCTTTTTTTTGTAAGCAAATAGTGTCCGGACCTGTGCAAATTTCAAGTCCATATGTGGTGGCTTTCGTTTGATGCGGTATGTTAGTAAACGATATAGGGTTCTGTAGCAAGGGTTTCAAACCCCTGGCTAATCGATTTGTAATTTATTGTAGCTACGGTTTGTTTTAAGGGTATGTGAACCCTTGCTATAAAATTTAATAAATCACACCTCTATTCCATTTCTCCCTCTGCAAACTAAAAATCCCTAATTTTCCTTGTACGTTCTTTTTGATGATTTTGACGCCTGCTCGCGAGAGGTGTGAAGAGAAATCTCTAATTCCGTTACAGAGCGAGAGAGAAATCTCGCCGCCGGAGTAAGAGATTGCAGAATCGTCAGAGCGCGAGAGAGGTCAAAGAATCACTAGACAAGTGACCTGGATCTTCTTTTCTTCTCGATCGGCTCCGATAACATATCCGGCATTACGACTATCGTCGACGTTAGTCCGCTGCCTTCATCCTTCCTCGTGGTTTCCGGTGAAAAAGGTTGTCGTCTTGTTCTCTCTCTCTCTCTCTCTCTCTCTCTCTCGCGCACGGGCTCGCTGATTCTACTGCTGCTTTGAAGAACGAATTGGCATCTCAGAAGCAAAAAGACGAGAAGAGTTGCTAATCTGATTGAGGATCAAGGTAATTTACGTAACAAATCAGTTCGTTTAGGCTATGACTGAGCACAATCGTTTAAGAATACAGAATGTAATGTATGTATGTTTATAGCATGATGATTTCTTAGAGCAAAGGTTGTAATCGATTATTATGTTTCTTAGAGAAGGGTGATTCTTCTTCCTTTATGTAGTATTCGATTGACTTGATTGAGCACACAGGAGGTACTCCTTCCTGTATACTAGTAATTGTCAACAGCAAATTGTTTGTTTATACTGTTCTAAACTTCTTTTCCTGTTTGTTTTCACTACTGATTATAGTTTTGAGTTCAAGAAATTTGAGAATTGTGACCGAATCCGATGTGCAAGAGGGTTTTCAGCATGGACATTCATAGTCTTGACACGGGGAGTGATTTGCAGACAGTAGGTACTTTTCTAGCATCTTATTATATAAATGTGCATTTTGTGCAAAATCTCTGTAGTTAGATTGCATGTCAATGAACTGTGACCTCCTTCAGCAACCTTGGTAGTTTAGTTCTTTTCTTGTGCGGAAATGAGATCGGTGAGCTTAGTAATTTGATCCCATTTGCGAATTATACTATCTGGTTGTTACTGTTAGGGGTGGCTATAAGGTCCGGTCCGGTTAAATTGATCCAAATAAATCCGGTTCAGTCCGGTCTTTTTGAAAATATAAGGACCAAAGATTGAATTGGATACAGTCCGGTTTTGATCCTGTCCGGTCTTGACCCCGTCCGGTCCCAATTCGGTCTTGATTTTATATTGAGCTCGTGGGGATTGGAGTGTCCTAAGGCCTGAAAGGGTGAGGAGTTGGTTAAGTTTTGTACTAATTGCAAAGGTTAGTGACCGTTTATGAAAATTACCCTTAAGTTTTGGGTGTTGAGCTCTCTTATCCGGTCTTTATCCAGTTTTCGATCCGGTCAGGAACGGTTTTTTTACCTCAAATCTAAGACCAAAGATTGGATTGGATTGTTTCCTATCCGGTCCCGATCTGGTCTCGGTCCAGGTTATACGGTCCGATTTCGGGTAAAACAAAAAAACCTGGACCAAATAGCCAGCCCTAGTTAATGTGATTCATTTTGGTAATGGTTATACTATCTAGTTATTAGTTCGTTCTCTACAAATCTATGGATCGTATTCTTAAGATGATTTAATAAATTTGAAATATTCTGTGGCATCTCAACAATAGCTTTTCAGATAGATTGGGGGATCTGTAAACTTATTATGTGGCGTATCAGTAAAAGGTAGGCTGCTATGATTTTGCTTCATAATTTGTTTCTTATACCTTTTCCCTAACAACCGCTACCATGCCTGAGTAGTTTAGGTATAAGGAGTACCACAACTTATATGGGGTGCTAATGAAGAGAGGAAATCCTAATACACTGACATGGAAAAGTGTGAATCTAATGGGCTACGTAGCATATGATATTCTTGTTCTAAAGAAGTTAATTGTTTATTACATCATTACTTGGCTTCCAGGTTGATAGATATTATGACCTTGCAACTAGCATTTATGAGTTTAACAAGGGAGAATCTTTCCAGTTTGCTCACAGGTGAAGTTTTTTCTTCCTGTATTTCCTTCCCCAAGACTGAAAATCATCCCCCTCTCCCTAGTATATCAGATTCAATGGTGGATCTCTTCCAAAGATCATCAAATTACAGGAGCACTTCCTCGACCTGCAACTTGTCTAGAAACCCAAATAAAAGGTAATTGGTACCCTACCGTTTCTTTTTGAACTATGCAAGGAACGTAGAATATCCAATTTCTTTCATTTAATTGGTCATGGATGTTTGTGTTTTCCTCTTTATACTTCTGCATGATTAACGTGGAATAGAGTTTGATTTAGTTTACCCTGACTCTTCAATGTTGGAGGGAGGGTGTTATATGGTTTTGGTGCAATTTTTTTGCAAAGCTTAGTTCATTGACAGGGTTGAATGATAATGAATATCATATATCAAGAGGAAAGGTGAATACAGACTCTTATTTCTACTCTGTTCCAAGCAACATAATTAGTTTACTAGAATGTCTATCGACAACTTCAACATTGTTCTACCCTGGTTTGTCTTAATAAGTGGGAATTAATCTTTTGGTCCTGCCATTTAGGAATTAAATCTTATTGCATGAGTGGACAAGAGCAAGACATTGATTAAATTATGTTATTATTTCCTTCTTTACCTGCCCTCTTTATATATATATATATATATATATATATATATATAAAATATTTCTGACCAAGAATCCTAATGTCCGCATACAGGCTGACTTCACGAAAATGGAAATTCGAGACAACAGCTACGACTCCATGTATGCAATTGAATCCACCTTCCATACACTTGATACGGTATGCACAACATGAAACAATCACATCAGGGATATTCAACTAGCTGAAATAGCATTTTTATTCCTTCTGTTTTGTTATATTCATCTCTTCCATCCTCCACGTTGCTATGATACTAAATTTGTTGGGGATTAACGGAAGTAATGATAATTTTGGACCAAGATAAAGGAAACATTTGGTGTTTAATCACTCATTTTTAGAAAACACTCAAACAAACAATGCCTTACACTTTTGGCTATTGTTTTAATTACACTAGAGTAAAGAACTTGCATACACGCACACACTTAGTGCTTTCTTTCTTTCTTTCTTTCTTTCTTTTGTTTCTGTTACACACTCTACACAACCCATACTTACAACACATATATATAATTGTAAATGCAAGAACCAATCACCCATCACATACTCTTCAATTCTCCAGCAACGTGAATGACAAATTAACATGGTCTTTCATATATATGGATGTCCCATGCATTACTTCTCTTGTCTCCTATGCATTTGTTGTACGTGATAATTGAATCCTATTATTTGGTTGCTGGAGCTTCATATCACCTCATCTATTTGTGAACACCTCATGTTCCATAGGTCATTCACATTTATCATAAGAGACAATAATAATTAATCCATTGTTGATAATGTTGAGGTCTGCCATGTATAGTGTTTAGTTGGGGATTAGCGGAAGTAATGGTAATTTTGGACCAAGACAAAGGAAACATTTAGTGTTTAATCAACCTATCACTAAACACTATACATGGTAGGCCTCAACATTATCAACAATGGATTAATTATTATTGTCTCTTATGATAAATGTGAATGACCTATGGAACATGAGGTGTACACAAATAGATGAGGTGATATGAAGCTCCAGCAACCAAATAATAGGATTCAATCATCACGTACAACAAATGCAAAGGAGACAAGAGAAGTAATGCATGGGACATACATATATTAAAGACCATGTTAGTTTGTTATTCACGTTGCTGGAGAATTGAAGATTATGTGATGGGTGATTGGTTCTTGCATTTACAATTAATTTTTTATATATATATATATATATATATATATGTTGTAAGTATGGGTTGTGTTGAGTGTGTAACAGAAACAAAAGAATGAGAGAAAGCACAAAGTGTGTGCGTGTATGCAAGTTCTTTACTCTAGTGTAATTAAAACAATAGCCAAAAGTGTAAGGCATTGTTTGTTTGAGTGTTTTCTAAAAATGAGTGATTAAACACCAAATGTTTCCTTTGTCTTTGTCCAAAATTATCATTACTTCCGCTAATCCCCAACAGTTTTTAGCAGTATAGATTTTACAGGGGGGTTCACAGAGCAAATTTTTTTGAAACTTGGACAGTATTTTGCCGCTTATGACGGTGCATGATAGATGCTAATATTCTCGAAAACAAAGAACACAACCGAATTAAGGTTAGATATTTACTCATCCTCTAATGCTAACCCCAACTGCAGAACTCTTGCATATCATCATCCATCTGTGTGTTCCAACAACATAACTCTCATGGGATTTTGTTTACTACCATTGTTAAGCCTACATTTCGATTGGATTAGAGATCTTTTGCTTGAGGTTTGAAGAATTGGGATAGATTACTTTTTTCATTGAGTAGGGATAATGCTCTACTTGGTTAATAATAATGAAATGTTATTTTCTATTTACAATATCATTTTAGTTCATGGCTAAACTAAGTTAACGCTTTTATAATGTACTTTGATGTATGTTTATAATATCTTAACAATTGTTTTCCTTTGTGAATAGGGTTGTCACTAGTAATCCAACTCCATCTTTGGGTCCCCAAGTTTCTTGAAATGATACCGTGAAGCTCTTATTTGAAGAATTTGGGATCGTGATCTACTCATGTTGCTTTGAATTGTATTCTTTTTTGTGATTGAAACATAATAATCATACGTGTTTCTTTGCATTGTAGCATTTAGGCATCTAAACAACACTATTTTGGTATGAATCACAGAAGTATTGAAGGGTATATTGCATAATATGAATTTGGCTATAGTGACAAGGGTATACACAACCAGATCTAATGCTTCTATTAGTAACAAACTTTTAGTGACGAATGGGTTCGTCGCAAATGTTAGTTTGATCACAAAGTATGCAAGGGGTTTATAGTGACCAAACTTTAGTAACGGCTTGGTTCGACACAAAATGTTTTTACTTTTGTCACAAATTATGCAAGGGAATTAACATTCGCAATTATTGCTATATTGTCCTATAGCAAGGGTTAAAACCCTTGCTAGGTGTAGCAAGGGTGGTTAACCCTTGTTACTGAAATCTCTTTGCTGAATTTTACCAAGACGTGTAGCAAGGGTTTTAACCCTTGCAATAATCTTTGCAGGGTACTTCCACCAAGGGTCGCTTATAATCTTTGGTACACATAGCAAGGGCAGCTTTGCCAAGGGTTCGTCCAAGGGTTGGCAGAACCTTTGCTACAACTTGTAGCAAGGGGTTAAAACCCTTGATATGACTGAAAATAACCCTTGGCATAGGGCCTCTTTTTTTGTAGTGTACGGTCCGGTCTGGTTAAATTGGCCCGAATTGATCCGGTCCCAGTCCGGTATTTTTGGAAATATAGGGACAAAAACTTGGATTGGATACGGTCCGGTTTTGACCCGGTCTGGTCCCAATCCGATTTTGATATGTTTTGACCCGTTTTAACCATGTTGCAGAAAATTCAGCAGCATATACCCATTTTCCTGAATTGTAGACAACCTATTTGTAGCAAAAATCAACCCAAACATGGTCCAATACAAAATCACAAACATCATTGATGTCTATTACAAACTCAAAGTCCAATTCAAACTTCAAAATAAAAATAACATCATTGAGTTGCTGGCTGGCTACATCCCGTCGTGGAGCGGATCGGAGGTGGGAACGATGAGACATAGTGGAGGGCGTCGGCTAGCTGGGTCTCAACGGGATGGGACTGAGGCTGGTTAGGTTGCGACATGACGGGAAGGAGGCTGCTGGCTGGGTAGCGACGTCGTGTCGCGGAGAGGAGGTGGGAGCAAACAGCGACGCCGCAGATGGCGACCGGCGACGAGAGGAGGTGGGTCGCCGTCAGTAGCGGGAAGCGGGTTGGTGGAGCATCGGCGACGCGATGGAATGGGAGGGAGAGGGATTCATGTTGAGTGTTGACTTGGTTGGCGGTTGATGCAAATTGGAAAGTGAAAATGGAACCAGCCAATAGGAATCATACACTGTTCGCCTGGGTCGGGGAGGGTGGAGTGGGCCGAGTGACCATGGGCTTGGCCTGTCCCTGGGCTTATTTTGAGCTTCTAAGTCTATTTTGTAATTATCCGGTTTTCCGGTTTTAACCCAGACTCTTGAGACCAAAGACGAGATTGGACTGTTTTAAATCCGGTCCTGGTCTTAAATGGTCCGGTTTCTGGTTTTACATCTGGTCCCGGATCAAATAGCCAGCCCTAAATATATGATCAACAATTGAACCTCCCCAACAACTCGAGTTATTGGAACTAATGAAATTATTTGAATCTTCTTTGAATATTCCGCAAATTTGAAGAAGGAAAATAATCCTACAGATTATATGGTGGACACGAGCCCAATAGGAGCGCCGAGCACGCAGCCCATGCAGAAGAAGACGTCGGCAATGACCCCATGACCAATAGTCATTATTTCGGTTATTGATGTGATTTCCTGTTATATTTTGGATTATCTTGTGAACCTATTTATAAGTTATAACCTTGTGATGGAACCAAAGGACTATCAATTTTCCCAAAACAAACCCTAAAGGCTTCCTGCTGCGCCTAGCTAGTATGAGAAGCACTTTTAGCTCGTGAGTTACGAGCTCTTCAACTGGTATAAGAGCTATGGTTCTCAAAGTAGATGCCTAATGCACCTCGGCACAAAGCATTACATCGGCAATGTTTTGACATGATGAGAGAACTCAAGGCTTGGAGACGGTAGTTGAATGAGTGGTTACACGAACCTGAACGCGGAACAATGAGCAACGGGACACAGAGCGACGACAACATAGCAGTTTTTATGCCAATGAAACAACGAAAACAATTACGGTAGCGTTATTTTTATCCATTTCGACAGGGATCACGTGTTCGAAAGCCCTAAGATTCCAAGCGCGGGTGAATGGGTGGGGTGATTTTGTTGGTTGGTAGCACGTCGATCCACAATTTTGTATCCGAATGAAAAGTAGAAGAGTAAAAACCTGCATATTGAGCCCGTAAACCCCTTTTGTGGTTCGAGTAGATAAATTTAAAGCCGACTCCTAATCCGAGTGACCACCGAGCCACAACATTGACCACCGCATCAAAGTGAGAAACGGGGCAATGCGGTGAATGTCCGACTATATAGATACGTTTCATCAAAAACAAAAGGTAGAAATCAAAAAAGCAAGTGAAAGATATGCTAATATCGGGCGGCATGCGCCACAGTTTGAGCCATTTTTCATACCCGATACTATTCTAAAGAAGAAGGACGGAACCTGGCAATTTTGCAACGACTATAGGACTCTCAATGGGTCGCAATTAAAGATCGAGACTCGATTCCCATAGTGGAAGATATGTTGGTCGAGCTCTATGGGGCACGATAATTTACCAAGCTGGACTTCCGGGCTGGGTTTCATTAGTTATGCATTGATATTGTTTGTAGTGTACAAACCAAATTTACTTGGCCCGAAGCCAATGATCGTATTTCCCTAGGGTCTCTTGCAGAACCGTTACTATGGTGACAGGGTATGCTTCTATTTGAGTGTAAAACAATGTAGTAGGTTGAGGTGCATCTGATTTTATAAAACAAAAGTAAAAACCAAACTACGAGTGCAGAAAAGTAAATGTAGACTAGTTTGGATGGACGAGAGAGCATAGAAGGAAGGGGTTGCATTGTTCATAAGTAAGAAACCTTAGGAAAATCCAACATCAACAAAGCACGGGAGAGATCCATAGTTCATAGGTAAGAAACTGACCTTAATTGGCAAGACGCATTTTGGGGTGAAATGGAGGAGTTCTTGTGAGATTTCTAAGGTTAAACGTGTTCAGTGTGGAGTACTATAAGGATGGGTGACCTTATGGGAAGTTATCTTGAACGGCACCCCAAGGCAAAAATCGTGAGGGTCTATGCCCAAAGTGGATAATGACTTCGTCGAGAAAAGGTTCGGGATGTTACATTCTCCTAGTCATGTATCCATTGATATCTTGCAACATTTAAGGTGTCGATTTCTTATTTTGTTTGATCCCACCTTGTGTCGAATCATTTTACCTGAACTAATAGTCGACAAGCACCCTACGGATTTCTCCCTTGAGGCGTCACCTAGTTTGACTCGCTACCACTACTAAGCCCAATTATAGGCCAAATAAAACCTGTAACCGGATGTAAGATAGGATAAGTATTTCAAATATCAACCTGGGTGACCTTTATATCCTTATTTCAACCCTCTAAAAATTCTCGATCGATGGAATTGTTGTTAAACCTAAAGAACTAAACAAGCAAACAGTTAAAATTATGTTTGAATTTAATCGAGAAAAGTTCAGTAAATGTTATTCCCCCTAATCTCGTGCTTAGGTTGCCAATGCGATACTCAAGTGCGATAGGAAAACATTCATATACCGTTAGAAGATCTAAAATAGCTAGGACCTCTCTATTCGAGTGTATCCTAGCCCGCTTAATCGATATAATCGGAGGGTCGTACCACACAACTGCAAAAGACGATTAAGGTAACCTATTCCACTCCCTCGAGAATTAACCCGGAATGACGAAGAGTCACCAATCACAACAATTCATGGCAATCTATGTTGATTGAGAAGTGACCTAAATTGCTTTAACAGAATTTTGTCCCTCGTAGGTCAATTGCCCCAAAATTGAGGGATTTGATCAAGAACATTCAATTTGCATGAAAATACATCAATCAATATATAAAACACAATACCCATCAACACAAGAGTTCACAAACTACAATCTAACACATCCTAGACTAGGGTTCTTAAAATCGAAGTGAATAAGAGATCTACTCAATCTCTATAAGAGAAACAATAACTAGAATAGAAGAAAAACCTATGGGTAAGTGAATCTTCTTCTTCCTATCTGTCTGGGTGAATGCTTGGAGATGAAATTTGCCTCCCAATTGCCTTGGTTAGGTCAAAATCACCTTCAATCTCCTTTGCTGGTAGTTCTCTCTCTCTCTCTCTCTCTCTCTAACCTTCAAGATAATTCTCATTCTCTCTCTACAACTTTTTCTCTTCAAATTCAGCTAACTCTCCTTTATATAGCTTGTGAGTGCACAGATCATGGTCTCTCTTCACGCCCGTGAAGTATGCAATGAAACATTTGTTTTGTATTTATTTCTCTTTGCTTTTTTCTTGATTCAGTTTGTCTTTCGATTTCGAACCAATAACTCAACCTTTGTTAGCTTGTGGCAATTTCATGTGCATGTTACCCTTTAGAATTAGCAAATCATCCTCTCTCGTTCATCATCCTTCACACCTGATCATGCCAGTTTGTTTTATCCTCTTTATCTTTCCTCTATTGAGGACAATGTCGTGTTTAAGTGCGCGTGCGTGTGTGCTGGGGGGGGGGGGGGGTGTTCCATTATGATATGATCCCAAATTGCTTGCAATTCAAGTCTCCATTCATTTTTAGATGACCAAGTTCAATTGAAAGGAAGCAACTTGAAAATTGTCTAAGTATTTTGGTTGTTTCAGTGAGGCTACTTTGAAAGCTTGGTCCTCACAATTGGCGCGATGAAAATTGGAGGTTAAGAGCTTGTTTCGCATTCACGAACACTTCCTAAGCACACCTAAGCGATAGGCATATGTTAGACAACTCACCTTAGCCATAAACAGTGGATAAGGCGTCTTGAGCTCGTTGTGGCCTCAACAGTGCCTAATAAGCAATGGGTTGCGCCTCAAAACAACGTCACCTGTCTCTTTTATACCTTTGGATATGCTACTTGGTTATTGAGAAATCAAGACCAACTTCCATTTCCCTATTCCTTCTTCTCTCTCATCCGCTATGCTATTTTCCAGTTTCTTCTTCCTTACAAATTTCTCCACACTATGTTTTATACTTTACCATGTGTTGTTTATGATGGTTTAGAAATGAGATGTAGACACAATGATATTGATTCATAAACTTGTAATTCTAGAGAACTGCGAGATATTATACTACGTTTACATCCAACATTAGACATGCCAAGGCAACACCTAAGCATGCTATGCTCTAGGCAAAGGCTCAACGCTCACCTTATGCCTAGCACGTTTTTTATCCTTGCTTATGATATTTTCTATAGTATCACCAACGGATACAAAATATAGGGTTATAAGTATAATATGCCCCTCTACTATGGCGTTTTATCTAACATGCTCCTCTACTATTTTTTACATCAAACATGCCTTTGTACTTTGGAAAAATGATTAAACATGCTCTTCTGTTAAAATTTTTATCCAAAAACTGTTAACCACGACCAAACATTGGTATGGGCGAACAAATATCTAAATATCCATAATAATTTTACTTTATAATTTTTTTTGGTTCTTTTGTATAGCCAAATAATTATAATAGTTTCACTTTGACAAGACACTGAGAAATAAAACACGGGACAAAATAGACATTTTCACTCTCATTTGCCGATGTCGGGTTGTGTAAATCTCTGTTCACCCATAATTAACAATTTTTTTAATAAAAATTTTAACATAAGGGCATGTTTGATAATTTTTCCAAAGTCCAGGGGGCATGTTTGATGTAAAAAATAGTAGAGGAGCATGTTTGATAAACCGACATAGTAGAGTGATGAGGGACATATTATACCTATAACTCAAATAGTATGGATATTATACCTATAAGCTATAACTCAAATATACAATACGTTAATGATAATTGATAGGTTGGTTACGTTAGGTGGATACTGAGTAAGGTTGATGAGGTTTATGAGTATAATTATCAATAATTTTCTAATTAATTATTATTTTATTGTTCGATTCATTTTCTAAGTATTGAATTTTCTTTTAAACAGATGTAAGGTAGTTCACTATCCACATCTTGAAGTTCAGAGTTTGAAACCCGCAGCAAACAAAGTTTCTTCCCTTTCATATGTCTTTTTTTCCAGAAAGCATAAATAAATATGCGATTATACCACCTCGAGTCTAGTTAGCTTGGTGATATATAGTTTTCTTTTATTATAGTGGCGACTCTTTTCTTTTTTTCACAAAAATATATTTGTTTGGTTCTTGTCAAATCTTAGTGAAGAATTATATTAGTCTGCAGATTATTCTGATAAAAATTCATTTTTGCTTATCATATTATTTTGTTATGCTATACATGCTTCAGTATTTTTTTTTTTATTGTAGTTCATTTCATACTATTATTGATACCACGATCAATGATTTTATGCCTTGATGAAATATTCCACATGAAGATTCATCTAATTTTAAAAATAGTGTTCGAGTTCGATTTTCAAACAATGAAATAAAAGTGTTGAGGTTTCGGTGCATATTCTTCTCTAATTACAATTGATACGATTCTCTAGGGCTAAAGTTTAGGATGTTTCAATATCCTACAAATTCAAAGTACTATATCTCATTCGTTTCAACTATGATCTTAAAATTTATTGTTGTTTTTGTGCGTCCTATAAGGTGTGTATTTGCGTTAGCAGGTGTATACTAAAAATATTTTTCTTATAATGGTGAATACCTATGAAAGGACGTAATTATACAACAACATGAAAGACAACAGTTAGGTGACAAACGTCTATGGTTCAACTCATTTTAACTTGAAATTCATTCATTCATTCGAAACAAAACAAAAAAAATTCGTACCCGGAAAAATATAAAGTCTACGACCAAATAGTGTATCTCAATTGGTTCCATTTTGCAGATTTAGGATTCAGCTCCAAGTTTTCGACAAAATAGTAGAATCTGAATTTATTTTTTTACGCGAGGGAGCTAGGTTTTTTCTTATAATGGTGACGAAATGCATTAATAAAAAAATGAAGTGAAACTAAAGTTCGGAAAAGATGACAGTTCGGAAGAGTCAAACTACTCATCACAACACACACAATTGAAGAAATAGTGATAGAATGAGAGGGACTTTCACCTCCTCGTTTCCTACAAACTCGGGGATGAACTAATTTTCATATCAAGCTCAACAATTATAACATCACTAACCTCATAAGTGAGTAAACAATTTTGAAGATAAAGAATGATGATGAAGAGTGGTCTCATACAAATTTAAGAATTTGACAAGATAAATTTAACTTCTTCAAAATGGTGTTTCATTATTAGAAAAATGTTTTACCATTAAACTTTTACTTTTAGTAAAATGCAGTAGAAGAAGAAATAGTAGCATGGTATGTAATGACGAGGTAATGAGCGAATAGTGGATAATATTTATGATTTGGATGAGGTAAATTATACTAATGTGAAAAATGATATTTCTCATTTCTATACATTTTAATGAAATATATGAGTAGAAGTAAGAGATTATTCACGGCGAATATAAAAGTTTAATTGCTGAAGATGGAGTCGCATGGAGATGAGGATGAATTTGATGGCAAAAAAATCCAGAAAGAAGTCCAAAATAAAATTCGTAGTAATTTATGACAGCAAAGAGTAAACTGAAGTGCCCTTTGATTAAATTTTTTAGTAATTGATTCTCTTGAATTAGTTGTGTTTTTTTAATATTTTATAAGGACTATTTTCCATGGATATCAAGATGTCAATAAAATATAATGTATGTTCTTTTGATATTTTCAGTAAATGAATAATTTAAATTCTTTATGGTATCAAATGATGACTTGGTCCGTACAAATTACTATTATTATTTATTGTATCAAATCTAGTAGCACAATTCACAACATTGGAAATTTCTCATAATCATTATTATTATCATGATTTATTACTGTATATCATCAGCATCATGACATGACATAACATAACAAACCCAAGAAATGATGAAACTGAAAGAACAACCGTAGCTACGCCTTGCTAGTAAACAAAGGTAGATCGATGCAGCAGTACTACTGTCTGCATGAACTTTTACGTTACAAATATTAAGGGTACAAATCACATATATATGCTGCTTATGGTGGGGAATCACGTCGATCCAGATAACTGATGTGATCACTTTTTGGTGTGGTGATCATCGATATCTTTGCTCAGATGAACCAAAAACTTCAAAACGGAGAAGGGCTCGGGGACGTCCTCGTTCAGCTTCTCATACTCCATAGTCCAGTGGATGAGACTAGTGTTCTCTGATTTGGGAGTTGCCTTGACAACAATCTTGAACTCCTTGTACTCCTTCAGAAGATTGCCTTCGATCACCTTGAAAGTGGTCGAAAAATTCGCATCATCGATGTCTTCGACTAGTTCCTTAGCCACCTTGTGAACCTCATCTGACCACATATAAGTTTTGAGTAGTTATTACAAATCGTACATCAGCTTATAAATGAAGATGATTTTTTGGTGAATGATAATATATGTACGCACCATGAACATAGTCCCAGATAACAATGGAGCCCTTTTTGCCAAAGTCGCCTTCATGGAGAGCACAGTTCTTGATTTTCGTCGGAGCCATGCTGGAGACGTGGTGAGGCCTGCCGCTGAAGATGTCGTGGTGCTGACTCGCCGGGAGTCTGATCGCAAAACATGCCTCCAGCTTCCCGCATAGCAGATTGCTCATCTTCCTAACTTGGTTGCTTTCCTTAACTGTTGTTGCGTTGGTGGTAGTGTGCGGAGGAAGTGAAGTAATCAACATTGAAATTATAGGACACGAGGCTGGTGGGCTAATATAATGGGATCTAGGTACTATATTGACATAGGACTATACAAACGTGTTATGAATTTTCCATACACAACTGTGCGATGGGGATGGGACGATGGTCGTCGGACCTCCATGCAATTATTGACAATTAAAAATGGGTTAGGTGGGGAAAAAAAATATTATGACAAACCTTTTTTTATAATTTAAAATTAGCAATCGTTAAATATTCTGGCAATTCGTGATGAAATTGCATTTTTCATTATTCATTCTGAAGCTTCATGATTGCTCTATAGGGAGAATTCACAATGGATCATGTGACATGATGATTTTATGTATTTACTGGGTAATAAAATTTGCAGCACCTTTGGCTTGCCTCTGCCCTGCCTGCCCCTCCCCTCCGCGTTCTCTCCTGCCTCCCCTACGTTTCTGTCGACGAATTCAATCTCGCCCGAGTTCACAAGCGGTTTGTTCTTCGGACTCGTTGATCGGTGGGTTTTGCTGCATGTCTTCTTTCTGTGTCCGTTCAGATCTCAGTTTTTGGATATTGATTGTCCATCTTGTTTGGAGGAGGGCTAGCATTTTGTTTCATCGAATTGAGAGGAGGGATAGGGTTTTGTTGCGTCGTAGTAGTGTTTTCCAACTCTAGAATTCGAGATTTTGGGTCCGCTTTTCTCATCTGCTGCTTTGGTTTCATAGAAATTATATTGACATGGGTAGGGTTTCACCAGGGTAGTAGTTTTATAACGAGAGCTTGATGTCATGATTCATAATTTATTGATTTGATGTGGTAGGAATTTTATGGGCACTACCACACTAGTAGGTTTTACGGTAGTTGGGCTTCCCAATGAATTATAATGTTGTGCTCTTCATTTTAACTTTGTTCATTCCATTCCGCAGTATGTTTCATCTATGAGTGCTTTGAAAAGTTGGTAGTGTTTTGTTAGTATTTTAAGCTTATCGTTTTTTCCAGCTTTGTTGGTTTTACAATTGAATGGGTATGGACTATGGAGGTTACTTTTTTGTGTGTAGCGATTTGCGGAGATGCATGCAATTAAATCTGGGGAATTCTACAGTGCCGCACTTGAATTACCTGCTATCCCCGGTAATTAATTACCTGCTAGTGTCAGGTCTTTTCCTTTTAAAAAGTGCGCACAATATTATTAAATGATTTGCTTTACGGATTTTTTTATGCATTTCAATTTTTTCTCAAATGCATTTCATTTTTATTTATGTATTGCAATACACTTAGTTGTTTATAAGGGTAACGGATATGCAATCCGTACATAATCCGTCTCGTTGTCATCCCTATTAATGTGTAACCATCCAATTAAAAATAATTTTGCACCCCTTTTCCGATAATATGTTATCATATTATGACATGATAGTAATGTGATTATATCAATTTATGTATCAAATATAAGATTTCGTACTATCTTACCACTATCATATCAACATCATACGACTTCATACTATCTTATTACTATCATAACAAATCATACCACTGTGGTAAAATTTCATAATGCAATTTCAGTACTGTCATACCATCATCTTACCGCTATGGTAGAGATAACACCATAATACAACCAAGGTGATAATATCATGATGCCATGACAGTGGTAAGATGATTTGAAACACCAAGAAAATCAAAATGAATACAATCTGTTAGAAACAAAAAAAAACTGATTTTTCTGGTAAAAAACGTCAAAATCAATTGATAAATCGTTGTATGACTGTAAAATCATCAAAAACTAACTGACATAGTGTTCCCCTTACTTTAAGAATATAGTTTATCCCTTACTATTCATACCATGTTGGTTTTGGTCACCCTATTGATATCTTTTATCAATCCGCTACGATTTCTCCATCCATACCATAAACACAACCTATACGGAGAAAAAAATTAAGATTTATTGGGAAAAATACTTGATGTTGTTATGAAATTATTTGAAAATAAATAACATTAATATTATCTAAAATTGACAACACTAATCTACCTAAAGGAATTCGGATTTTAGCATCCACGATTCTCCATGGATAATAATTTCTATTTGTAGTTTCAACCAACATGTTGACATTCACGTGTATGATCGCATTGTATAAGTGAAAAAGTGCGACAATAAATCACTAGAATGAAAAAAATTAATTAAAAAAACACGATTTCATGAAAAATTATATTTGTATGCTAATATAAAATATGTTGAGAAAAATAATAATTATTTCTAAATAATGTATATGTGTATAATCGGTCGAGTTCGGGTTGATAGTGAGAAAACCATTTCCACCCATTACTCGCAATATTCGAGTTCGGAGTTTACCCGTATCCGCTAAAATTTATTCGAATTCGAGTTTTATTCTACCTGATTAAATTGGATACAAAGTTACAAACGAATATCCACGGTTCCAAATATTTTTATCATCCTACACATTAATGTTTTGTAGGATTTTGTAGAATATAGTTTTGTACCGATTAGCTGCCTTATAATGTACACACAAACAATGAAACCAATAAAAAAAAAATTAAGATGCAGAATAATTGGGGGAAAAATAAAGCAAAGGAAACGTGTTTCCCATGAAAACTCCAACTGTTATATATATACGTAAACGGTTTATCTCACTTACCCAACCTGCAGTAGCCGGTTACTAATAGCGGCACCAGTACAGTGGCGGCACTATAGAATTTCCCAATTAATCTTAATAGATGTTTTTTTTTTTTTTGTTCTTTTGTTTCAGTGCTAGGCTCGTGAACTGGTAATGTGCAGGGGAGGAGATAAGGAAGTTTTGGGATGCAGCAGTTATTTTTTAGTAGTAGCGATTGCCTATTTGTAGTAGTGGTTGTCAATTTTTGGGTAGTGTTTTTCTTTTCTTATGGTAGTGTTTTTAGAGTTTGTGTAACAGAATAGTATGTTTACTATGTAGTAGTAATAAATTCGATTCGATTTGTGTTGAAAAGTAGCAGTGATTTTTTTTAGTAGTAGCAATTTGTCTGTTTGTAGTAGTGGTTCTCTTTTTTTGTGTAGTGTTTCCAATTTCTATGTTAATTTTTTTTAAGTATCTGTACTCTGTAGCAGAATAATATGTTTTTTATGTAGTAGTAATAAATTCTATTCTCTATTGGTTTAACTTTACGTACAAAGCAGCAGCAAATCAACTTCTTTGCAAAAACAACTACAATTGTGAAGAAACACTATCATTGGATGGACTATAATTCTTCTAAGATACACTACTATCTTGAAAACTAGGGCTGGCAGTTCGGTTTCCGGTTAGCGGATAACGCCGGTTACAACCGAACCAACCAGTTTTCGGCTAACCAAAAACCGAGACTAAGATTACTTCGGTCGGTGCACGGAGGAGAATAAAAAGTTTCGGATAACCGAGTAACCGACGATTATTAACCGCGGTTATCTGAAAAAACCGACTCAAACCGACCAACCCTCATATATTGCCCTCCTTGCAAAAAAAGACATCTACCCTTAACCCCACTCTGAAACCCTATAATCCCCTCATCAGACCCTCACCCTCACGAGTCACGGCCGCCGCCGAGCTCCCTTCCTCGTCGCCTCACAGCCGCCGCCTTCCTCTGTTCCTCGCCGCCATGCAGATCCTTCCTCGTCGCGTCGCACCCGTCCAGATCCCTTCCTCGCCGCTGCCCAGATCCCGTCCTCATCGCGTCGCCTCACGCCGCCACCTCCATCCTTCCTCTTTCCCGTCCATCCGTCGTCGTCGTCGTCGTCGCCGTCCCCGAGCAGATGAACCGCGGCCATGAAAGTGAGAAGGAAAAAAAATGGTTTTTGTCCATGTCTCCATGAGTTCAGAAAAGAAGAGAATGAGAATTGAGTTTGGCTGAGAGAGAGAAAGGAAAATTGAGATTTGGAGGGTAATGGAAGTGGGTTATCCTCTAGTTTTGGTTGGGAGAGAGAGAAGAGAAGAAGAGGCTTGGAGATGGAGGGTTAGGCGGTTAGTAGAGAAAGGGGAGAAGAAAAGACCACGTTTTCTTTTTGGGTGAGGAGAGAAGAAGAAGATAAGGATGAAAATGTGAGGTGGGTTCTTTTCTTTTCTTTTTTTTTATTTAACTTTTTGTATTTAATTCGGCTAACCGCGGTTATAACCGATAACCGACCAGTTGGTTAGGCGGTGATCGTGTGAAACGCGCCGGTCGGTGGTCGATAATGCTAGGGAGTCGCTTTGTTTAACCGAAAACCGACTTTTCAATTTTTGGTTAAATCAAAACCGACCGACTGACAGCCCTATTGAAAACACTATTACGTTGTTGAATAATGAATGAAAACACTATTAATGATTTTAAATACTACTCTAACAAAACACTACTAATAACCAAACACTGACCACCCAAAATATATTCCATTTTTTATCCCCTAAAATCAGCATTAAATCAGCCATTTTAATTATGTTTTATTTTTCTGGAAAAAAGAAACCGTATTACCCAAATTAAATTGTAACCGTATAGCATAATGATCCCAAAAAATCCGGCCACTTTTCAAATATAGAAAATCCGTCCCACTTTCCACGTTAATAAAAATAAAATCTACTTTTAAATTATTCAATTTCTATTCCTAATCAACCCTTAATTTATTTGTAGCCATTAGATCTAAAATAATTACGGACGGTTTAGATACTAGTTAGCACGGTGCTAACTCCCTATAGAGTTAGCACCCTATCTTCTCCCAACTTTCGAAAGTAAATCTGGTTGCATAGCCCAAACTTGAATACTCATTTACTTGTTGTGATAAATGAGGACTGGAACACAAACAATCGAGAACCAAATCGGGATACCCTAACCGTACCATCTCTCACCCAAAGAGTAGTAGCCCAATTCTGTAATTCCGCAACCTTAGGTTGAGCTCTGGCGAACTGACCTATCAAAGAGTCGTGCCCTCGTTCCTCACCTATACATTTTCTTCAGTTCTCTAGGGAGGTGAAATCCATCATTGACACGATTATGAAGCTGATAATGCATTCGGTTCTCAGGAGTTGTGTTGAACAATTGAGCTCACGTACTCCCCTTACTGATCTCCCATCGTAGGGGTGGAATCCGACGACGAGGATGCCAACGCGAAATCGAGAGCTTTCTAGTGAGGGAAATTTAGAGAGAGAGGAGAGAGATAAATGATTTTCAGTCAAAAGTAATATGATCAAATGTCAATAGCCTATGAGAGTTTTTGCTGGCAGAAATCCAGAGTATCATGGTTAACAATTGGGGATAAGTGCTCTAATTTCTTTTACCAAGCAGTGAAAATACGCAATTCCAAAAGGCAATTAGAAAGCTAGTGAAGGAGTCAGGGGAAGAGGTTTATCAAACTGACCAGATTGTTGACGAAGTGATTGGTTTCTATAAGAAGCTTTTGGGAGAGACAAATTTAGAGATCAACCCTAGTGAGGAGGAGGTACAACAGCTGGTTCAGCACCAAATCCCCCAAGCTAAGTATGCAGATTTGATTAAGATGATTACAGTTGAGGAAATACGAAATGTGGTTTTTAGCATGAGCTCTCAAAAGGCCCCAGGCCCTGATGGGTTCTCTGCAGGGTTATTTCAAGAAGATTTGGGGTATTATAGGAGATGATGTGTCCAGAGGGATTCTCTTCTTCATCGATTCAGGCAATCTTCCTAGTGGTATTAACTCCACAACGGTTTCTTTACTGCCCAAAGTCCCAAATGCTGATTCCCTTAGGAATTTTAGACCTATATCTTGTATAAATCTCCTATACAAGATCATTGCTAAGATTCTGGCTAATAGAATTAGGGGGATAATGCCTCTGATTATAAGTAATTCCCAGTCTGCATTTATTCAAGGAAGGAGTATCATGGATAATATACTTTTGGCTCAGGAGTTAGTAAGTGGGTATAACAGAAAGTGTCTCTCATCTCGTTGTGCTATCAAAATAGACATAATGAAGACATTCGACTCAGTCAACTGGAGGTATTTATTCATCATGATGAAAACTATGGGGTTCCCTGAGAAATTTTTACTGTGGATCGGGAGCTGCTTGCAAACTTCTCATTATAGCATCAATATAAATGGCAGTCTCTGTGGATTTTTTCGCGCTAGGAAGGGTGTTCGTCAGGGTGATCCTTTATCACCATATCTCTTTACAATAGCTATGGAAGGTTTGTCTACAATATTGAAGGAAGCTAGTCTGTCAGGGGGGTTACCATTCCATCCTCAATGTAAGAAGGTTGCCCTGAATCACTTGTGCTTCAATGACAATCTTCTTATCTTTACTAAAGGCCTGCACAGGCAATACTGCAGGTCAAAACTGTTCTGCAACAATTTTATAGGATCTCGGGTCTTAATTGCTATCCAGCCAAATGTGAAGTTTACTTTGGTAGTGAATCAGTGCTGTACAAAAGTAATGCCCTTGCTCTTACTGGTTTTCAAGAGGGAAAATTACCGCTTAGGTATATGGGATTGCCTCTCCTGGCTGGCAAACTCTCGTCCACAGAAATTGATATACTGGTTGAGAGGATCACCAAACGCATCAAGTCCTGGCGAGCTAGGAAACTCAGCTATGCAGGGAGGCTCCAACTGCTGAACTCTGTACTTCTAGGCATAGTTCAATATTGGATGCAGTTGTTCATTCTGCCTAAGCAAGCTCTAAAAAGGATTCAAAAGATATGTTCTCAATTCTTATGGCATGGTATTGATGAAGGCAAGGCAAAAGTGGTCTGGGAGTATGTAGCACTTCCTAAACAGGAAGGGGGGTTGGGAGTGAAAGACTTGGGTGCTTGGAATCAGGCATGCTCCATCCGTTTGCTATGGCATTTTCTAATGAACTCTGGGACTCTATGGGTTGCATGGATGAATGAGTATAAGTGCAGAAAGCAGGATCTGTGGTCGTTCCGAGTGCAATATAGCAGCTCCTGGGCCTGGAGGAAGCTACTTAAATTGAGAAATGTGATCTCCCCTTGGATGAAGAAGCAAAATGGCACTGTTTTCTGGGAATCAAATGAGATGGCGGTTTACTCAGTTCGTAGGGTATGGGAAACCTTGAGAATCAGGGCTCCTAAAGTCTCTTGGTATAATCTTGTCTTAAAATTTTGCAATATACCATATCACATTCGTTTCGTTATCACTGTCATGTTATGAATTTATCATTATTCTAATATCATTACATGATAGTGGTATGATGGTGTTGCAAGTCTTACTGTGGTGGAAATATAATAGTATAATAGTGGTGAGATAAGATTATATGATATTACCATAGTTGTGTGATGTTGGTATGATAGTGGTAAGATAGTATGAAGTATTATCTTTGAGGGGAAAAAAATTGATGTCACAATATCACTGTGATCATATCAAGACATTATAATAAAGTGATAATATCATGATATAATGATACTGTGAGTAGGACCGTAGTGGTAAGATTATGATATGATAGTGATAAGATTATAGCAAACATGTATTTGAAAGGATAATTTATCTCGTTTGTCAAAATATAGTAATATAGATGTCATTATGTAACTCATAATTAATATGATGTTCTTTTTATGCAAAAGTTTTAAATCTTAGTTAAAACAGGAATGAGAATTGTTATTCGTCGCCCTAAAATTTGTTATTTGCCATCCTAAATATATTAAATTTATTTTAATGTCCTTAAGTCATTTATTTGTCTTTCAAACACTTAAATCCAAGTCCGGCCTCGCAAACAGCCTTGAATTCGGAAAAAGTGCACAAATTTCTTAGGAGGTAACAAAAGGAGAGTTGTACACAACTTAATATTGGTACAATTGGTCATCTGCATCTTAATGAGCTTGAAATCTTCAAGCGTTATGCCATTGTCTTTGTAGCAAGGAAAGAGCATAAAGCAAACCACAGAATCTGATCAATGAAAAAACACAACAAGAACAGAACCAAGGAACAAGCCATAGGAAGTTGCGGATTCGGGTGGGGGATTGGGTGGGGGACCGGGGTGGGGTGGGATGGATGGAGGGGCGATTGGAAGCGACGGTGGCAGAGGTGGGTGTATCATCCGGTAAAGTTTAGGGCGATAAAATTTAAATTTTAGAAAGACGAATAGTGATTCAGAATGAGATACTTTATAATATCACTGTCATATAACGATATTATCGCTTTGATAATATCATAATATGCAAGTAATAGTATTATCGAAATTACATGTTTTAAATGACTATTATTTTGTGTTCAAAATACAGCAAAAAGAATATCAATTTATATATCTATGAACAGAAAAATGAGATACGGACCCATAGAAAAAATGAAGAGTTAGAAAAATAGGTTTTAAGTTTTAACTAGTATAAAAAGGCTCCTCTCTCTAGAATCCGTGCAATCATAGGGAGGGAGAAAATTCAAAGGGATACAGAAATTCTTCCTCTAATTAATGAATTTATTATCAATGTATGACAGATTGACAGTTGGATGGAGGACTTCACATATGGATTTTATAGAAAAATATTTTGTACTATATGCTCATAAATAAATAGTAAAAATTACCAGAATTGCAATATATAATGGAAATATTTCTAAAAAGTAAATTGCGATTTTCTTCTCCTATAATTGCACATATATACCTAAATAGAAAACGAATAAACGAGGCAATAGGGATGGACTGATTGGTATCGACAAAACTGTGGTTGAGATCCGATAAGATTTGAAGATATCATTGTGTGAGTTTTGACTTTTGAGTTTTGACAGCTTACTAAACAAAACAGTTATATATGTTACTATTAATTTTTTTTTTTTTTTGGATAATGGTGACATAAATTGAGAATTACAAAGTCAAAAGCCTAATGCAAAACAGAGGAAGACCAATGAAAACAAACACACGGGTAACAGAGAGACCCGGGACAAGAGCTGTTTCAAACAAGAACAGCGCCTCCGCAAATACTCAGGCAGCCAAAAGCGAAGAAAACAAAAAGACAGGGCCAAAGGAGACCCGAGCAGGACAGATAGCAACTCTCGTTAACCTATCGGGTTGGCATGTTCACGAACAGCAGCATCCAACATTCTTCTTCCTGGGACAAGATGGAGCTTCAGTCTTCTGAGCCACGATTCAGCAATCTCCCGATCAACTTTCCTAGCGACAACCAACCAGCCAGTAATCTGACTTGCGATATTACAGCAAACGACGCGAGGGGTTGAGGATCTGTGATAGACCATTAATTGCACATGTTTATACTTCCATTTTTGAGCCATTTGAGAGACGATTCTCGTGTTTTAAACCAATTTCACGTTAGGTTATGAGTTAATGTCATATTTCAGGACTTGGTGTGGACATGGAGGCGTGGAAACTCAAAAAGGAGGAAGTTGGACTGAAGGGCAAGGGAAGAAGAAAATACCCGATCAGGAGTTAAAATACCCGACCAGGTAAAATACAAGACGAGGCCGGGGATAACATATTATGGAGGCCAGGAAACAGAAGGGGTCCCGACAGATCGCTTAAATACCCGATCGAGTATTTTGGACCTCGATCAGGTATTCTCCCATGGTCGCAGCGCAGCATTTCAAAATACCCAGCCGGTCACCTCGAATACCCGACCGGTTGAATTCACAGCATTTGCAAATTCCCACATAATCATTATTATTATCATTATTTGTTGCCGTATATCACCAGCATCATGACATAACATAACATAACACGAAGGTACCGAGGAGGACATAACAAACCCAAGAAATGATGAAACTAAAAGAACAACCGTAGCGACGCCTTGCTAGTAAACAAAGGCAGATCGATGCAGCAGTACTGCTGTCTGCATGCACTTTTACGTTACAGATATTAAGGGTACGAATCACATATGCTGCTTATGGGGTAATCACGTCGAACCAGATAACTGATGTGATCACTTTTTCGTGTGGTGATCATCGATATCTTTGCTCAGATGAACAACAAATTTCAAAAGGGAGAAGGGCTCGGGGATATCATCGTTCAGCTTCTCATACTCCATAGTCCAGTGGATGAGACTAGTGTTCTCTGATTTGGGAGTTGCCTTGACCACAATCTTGAACTCTTTGTACTCCTTCAAAAGATCGCCTTCGATCACCTTGAAAGTGGTCGAAAAATTCACATCATCGATGTCTTCGACTAGTTCCTTGGCCACCTTGTGAACCTCATCTGACCACATATAAGTTTTGAGTTATTACAAATCGCGTACATCAGCTATTAAATGAAGATGATTTTTTGGTGAATGATAATATATGTACGCACCATGAACATAGTCCCAGATAACTATGGAACCCTTTTTGCCAAAGTCGCCTTCATGGAGAGCACAGTTCTTGATCTTGGTCGGAGCCATGCCGGAGACGTGATGAGGCCTCCCGCTGAAGATGTCGTGGTGCTGACTTGCCGGGAGCCTGATCACAAAACATGCCTCCAGCTTCCCGCATAGCAGATTGCTCATCTTCCTAACTTGGTTGCTTTTGTTAACTGTTGTTGCGTTAGTGGTAGTGTGGGAGGAAGTGAAGTAATCAACATTGAATTTATAGTACACGAGGCTGGTGGACTAATAGGACTATACAAACGTGTTATGGCTTTTCCATACACAACTGTGCGATGGGGATGGGACGAGGGTCGTCGGAACTCCATGCAATTATTGACAATTAAAAATGGGTTAGGTGGGGGAAAAAATTATTATGACAATTATTGACAATTAAAAATGGGTTAGGTGAGGAAAATTATTATGACAAACCTTTTTATAATTTAAAAATAGCAATCGTTAAATATTCTGGCAATTCATGATTGCTCTATAGGGAGAATTCACAATGGATCATGTGACATGAAGATTTCATGTATTTTACTGGGTAATTAAATTCGCAGCACCTTTGGCGCCATGGTTGGATACCAGGAATCCACTTCCGAAAGTAAACTGGTTCCCTTGGAAATGTCATGACCCAAACTTGAATACTCATTTACTTGTGATAAATGGGGACTGGAACACAAACAATTGAGAACCAAATCGGGATATCCTAACCGTACCATCTCTCACCCAAAGAGTAGTAGCCCAATTCTGCAATTCAGCAACCTTAGGTTGAGCTCTGGCGAACTGGCCTATCAAAGAGTCGCGCCCTCGTTCCTCACCTATATATTTTCTTTAGTTCTCTAGGGAGGTGAAATCCTTCATTGACACGATTATGAAGCTGATAATGCATTCGGTTCTCAGGAGCTGTGTTGAACAATTGAGCCCACGTACTCCCCCTACTGATCTTCCCGTCGTAGGGGCTGAATCCGACCACGAGGATGCCAACGTGAGATTGAGAGCTTTCTAGTAAGGGGAATTTAGAGAGAGAGAGAAATGATTTTCAGTCAAAAGCAATATGATTAAAATAAACTATGAAATTGTTTAATATAAAAAACCCATAAAATCCTTTCTATTCAGATTTTAATTTTAAATTTGTTACATTTTAAATCATTTTAGTGTTTTTACATCACTTCATGTATTAAGAATTACTTTTTCAGTCAAGCACGAAAGAAAATTAATATTTTCTAGAAGTTTTTTTTTTATAGAGAAACTTTTCTGATACTCTTATTACTCAGAAACACGTATTACATTATCCTTCACAAGCTGGTCAATGACAAAAATCGGAGGTCTGTCAAGCCAAACCACTCGTTCAAATAGTGACGTATATTATCGCGAACAGTGCGTCCATGATCCTTGCCCCATTCCCTCCAAATAGTGACGTATATTCCGGCAAACCACACCTACCTCATATTGAACCGACTGTGCTGCATCCAGCATATTCACCAAGACCAAACTATCCATTTCAAGGATTGGGTTTGCGAGCTTCAGTTGGTGTGCAATCTGTAACCCAAGTTCCGCTGCCAAAGCTTCTGCCATTTCCACCTCCGCACATTCCTGACCTTCTTCGCCGCTGCAAAAATACACTTTCCATCTGCATCCCTCGCTATCGCACCCAGCCCCGCTCCGCCTCCTTCCAATAACCCAGCATCAGTATTGATTTTAACTCGGTCTGGAACTAGTCTTTGCCATCCCTTCTCAATTTGTCTGTCTCCATCCACCTCCCCACGAGCTTTCTGCCTCTTGTACTCCTCCAGGTACACTGCTGCCCTCCCTACTATCTCGTGCTCCGGAATCTTACTCCCATTAAACAATTGTGAATTTCTTTCCTTCCATAAAAACCACAGAAGAACGAACCATGCCTCCAGGCTACCTTCATCAACCGTCTTCATCACTTTCTCAAACCAATCGAAGCAATCTCTATCCCCACGTAAGTCAGAGCATTTGACCATTGGGGAAACCCGCCACAGCTGTGAAGCCCACTCGCATTCACCAAAAAAATGGATTTGCGTCTCTTTGTTATCACAGAAGGGGCATTTGTCTCCCCACTTCGTGCTTTTTGTGCTGATGTGGTCTCCTGTTGGGATAATGTCTCTCACAAATCGCCATAAAAATGCTTGACCTTTGGGGGGATTTTCATGCCCCAAACCTTCTTCCATACCTCTGCTGCACCTGCACTAGGCAGAACCCCTTCTTGCATAAGCTTTCTTACCCATTGATGGTACCCATCGCGTACTGTATACTCACCCTTTTTGTTGCTTGCCCAAATCAGTCTATCCTTCTCTCCCAAGTCTCGAAGAGGAATCTGGCGGATTAAAGCAAATTATCATCCCATCTTTCTTCATCTTGGCTAATGTGCTCCCGAACCTGAGAGTCCACTAGTAGCCCCATTGGTCGCGATGTAACGTGTCCACCATCCTCTCTTGGGAGCCATTTGTCCCCCCATATCTTGACACTCGACCCGTTCCCTATGCTCCATCATAGGCCATCATTTAGGAATTCCTGCGAGCTAAGGAGGCTTCTCCATATGAAGCTAGGGTTGTGCCCCACCCTTGCGTCGAGTATGTTGGAATTCCTGTGATATTTTGCTCGGAAGATGCGTGCAATGAGGGAATCGTCCCTCTGATAAAGATGCCAAATCTGCTTCGCAAGCAAGGCTGTATTGAAACCTTCCAAATCCCTGAACCCCAGTCCACCAACCTCCTTTTCTACCACCAAACCTTCTCTTCGCACCCAATGTATTCGCTGTTCTGATCCTTTCTGGCCCCAGTAGAAGTTTGTGATCATGTTGTGAACCTCGTTTATGATGCTAATTGGGACTCGAAAAACTGACATAGCATAGGTGAATTGGGCTTGAGCTACTTCCTTGATTAGAGTTTCTCGTCCAGCCACCGAGAGAACCTTCTCCTTCCATCCTTTTAGTTTCTTTCGGACTTTTTCTTTAAGATCCTGGAAGATATCCTTCTTTGATCGCCCCACTACTGTCGGCAAGCCCAAGTATTTGTTATGCTTGTCAACTGCCACCATCTCCAACGTTCCACTAACTATAAGCTTCTTGTGAGGTTTAACATTTCCACTAAATGACACTTCTGATTTCGGAAAATTCACAAGCTGACCCGACTCTCGTTCGTACGCCTTGAGTATTGACTTGAGAGTCATGCTCTCCTGCGCATTCGCTCGGCCGAAGAACACTGCATCATCTACGAAAAAAAGGTGAGACACAATCAGAGCACCCCTGGCCGGTTGGACTCCATGGAAATTCTTCTCCTGAACAGCCTTCTTTGTGTAAGCCGATAAGCCATCCGCACAGAGCAGAAAAACATACGGGGACAGCGGGTCACCTTGGCGAAGGCCTCTACTCGGCGCAAAGCTCGGAGACTAGTTTCCGTTTACCAAAACTGAGTACGTTATTGATTTAACGCACATCATCACCATGTCGCACCATCTCTGCCCGAAACCCATTTTTGTCATCACACCCTCTAGGAAATGCCATTCCACTCTATCGTATGCTTTTGCCATGTCAATCTTGGCTGCCAAAAAACCCGTACCAACCTTCTTCTTCATGGAGTGAAAGCAATCGAAAGTGGCCATGATATTGTTCGTTATAAACCGCCCAGGAATAAAAGCACTTTGCTCCATTGATATCACCCGATCCAAAAGCGGTTTTAGTCTGTTTGCTAGAATCTTAGCCACCAGTTTATACAGCACATTACATAGACTTATTGGTCTGAATTCCTTAGGTGAAGTAGGGTTTTTAACCTTCGTAATCAGAGCAATAAGAGTATGATTCAGATTCTCCGGCATAACTCCTGTTTCCAAGATCCCAAGTACAGTGGCTACAACATCATCTCCCACTATGTGCCAGTAACATCGAAAGAAGAAAACCGACATACCATCAGCACCCGGCGCTTTCCTCTTCCCCATCTGTTTTAATGTTGCAACAAATTCCTCTCTGCCGAAAGGGCAAAGAAGTATTGCGTTCTGGTCATCCGTTATTGTCTGTGGGATCGACTCCAAAACCTGAGTTTCATTCGGCACTTCCCCTACGGTAAACAAAACACGAAAGTAGGAGGTTAAGCAATTGAACAATTGCTCGTGCCCTCGCACCCATTCTCATTTTTCAATTGTTTGATTTTGTTTTGCCTTCGTCTCGCTGAAGCTTTCCTGTGGAAAAAGTTAGTGTTACAATTTCCTCCTTTTAGCCAATCAGCCCTTGAGCGTTGCTTCCAGTACAACTCTTCATAGTGATCAAGCTCCTCCTCTTCCTTGTCCAATAGTTTGAGTTGTGTCTCTACCACAGGGGAGCGCCGGGAATGTTCGAGCGTCTTCCGAGCTCTCTTGGTGCGCTCTCTATGGATTCGAAAGTTTGGGAAGGCTGTTCGGCTCCATTTCTCAAGTTTTTACCTGCAAAATAGCAATTTTGTTAGTGTATCCGCCTCTGGTTCTTGCTTCCATGTCTCCTCAATCACTTTTGGGCATTCTCCATGTCGTGCCCAGTGAGGGTCAAACTTAAAAGACCATCCCCACTTCAGCTCCTCATCCTCCTCCCCGTTCGTATCACATAGAATAGGCCTATGGTCAGATCTCTCCTTATCAAGGTGACGCATCCGAGCTTTTGGGAAAATAGCCTTCCACCCATCATTTGAGACAAATCTATCAATCCTTTCCTCAATGTATTTGTCACTAGCTCGACGATTCTCCCAGGTGAACTGATAGTCGTGAAACCCCAGATCAAATAACTCAGCTCCCATAATGCACGTATGAAAAGCCATCATTTCTCTCTCAGATCCTGGCCGACCACCAGAATTCTCCAAAGACGTTAATACTTTGTTAAAATCCCCGCCACAAACCCAAGAGCCGGACCATTGGTTTGCAAGCCGGTCTATTAAATCCCATGTTCGCCATTGATCTTGGTCTTCCGGCCAGCCGTATATTCCTGAAAACCCCACCGTTCTCCTGTTTCCGACACTATCTTGGCATCAATGTGATTTTGGGAGAGAGACATCACGGTCACATCCAGTCCTTCCCTCCACCACAGAGTAACGCCCCCAGCTCGACCCCTGCGGGATCTATCCGTTGAGAAACTCTCGCCCTCCTCGTACCCTAGCTCGATCCTGTTTTTTCCATTTTCTGCTTCCGTTTGCTTGGTTTCCATCAAGAAAACCAACTGAGGAGACAATCGCCAAAGAAGCAATTGTAGGGCTCCAACTGCACGCGACTTCCACAACCCGCAGCAGTTGTAACTTATGATTCTCATTTATTGCCTGAAGGGGATCGGTTCCCCGCACCCTCAGCTCCAGGTTTCCTTTTCAACTTTTGTTTTCCCTGCTTGTTAACTTGTGTGCCACCCTTCAACTCCCCACCTTTTTGTTTCTCATGCTCAGCTTGAGAGCTTTGCACTCCCGCCTGCCGTTTGTGCATCGATGCACTCACGTAAGCGCCAGGGTCATGGGTTTTGGGAGGATTTTCCTTTCCCTCCACCTTCTTATTTGTCCCACCCACCTCTTGTTGTTCCCTTTCCATTGATCCCATGTTGCCCTTCCCTCTCATATTCTCTACTATCTCTCCCGACACCTCCTTTACCCTCCCGTTTTTTTAGCTTTATTTTCACGTGCATGGCTTTGTATGGGCTTTTCCACTTCCTCACCTTGCTCCATGCTTGCTTCCTCTTTTGACTCTTCCTCCGATAAAACTTCAAAGTGGTTGTTTGGTGCCTTCTCTCATCCCAATGGCTTCCCCACATTGTCATATCTATTCTGTCGCCAGCCTTTTTTCCTGACCATCATCCATTCGCCATATATTTGCCCATTTGTTGGATCTTTCTTTGGCCGACTCCCTGCAGCATGTTGACATTGCCCTTCAGTTGACTCTGCTTCCATCTCCTAAACCGAGTTTGTGCAGCTACAAAGACGAGTTGATCTCCCGTAAGAGCCGCAATTTGTGCAAATATTATCAAGGCCCTCATATTGGATCAAGTAAGTGACTCCCTCAATTTTGTATTGCGGGAGCAATGGCTGGGTCAGATCCACCTCCACACATACTCTTGCAAACTTTCCCCTCGCACCCAACTCGGTTGCAAGGTCAACACGGATGTGGTTCCCTATCTCTTCCGCAATCCGTAGCACTGCCTGCTTGTTAATAAATTCTATTGGAAGTTCAGGTAGTTGCACCCATATCATTGTTGAAGATACTTCTGCTTTCCACGGGTTGAAACCCTTATACCATCTATGGACTGTGAGATATGTCTCACCAAGAAGCCAAGGGCCGCCCATGATCACGGCATCATAATCCTTCTTGCTTCTAAATCGTACCAAGAAGCACCCCTTTTCCATATCTGAAATCTGCAGCTCGCCATTCCGAGCCCAGAGGTAATTCAACCTCCGAGAGAGGGGAATGAATGAGACCTTACGACCTAGTCTTCCTCATCCACGTCATCTTCTTCTTTCTCAGCCAAGGCGACGTCCTCAGAATCCGAATCAGCTATATACCAGTTATCTTGTTTCACCATATCACTGAATAGCTTCCCTTTACCTTCTCCCCCCAAACGAGGGTTCGGAGTTGTCTGTTTGTCAGTTTCCATCTCTACAGCAGCATTTTTTCCAGGTTCAGTGGCCGGACCTTTTTCTTTGCCTGCACCGATTCCGCCTCACTCTTCCCGTCCGGGGAGGATGAGACCTCTGCTGGAATTGATGTCACAATATCACTGTGTGTGATCATATCAAGACATTATAATAAAGTGATAATATCATGATATAATGATACTGTGAGTAGGACCGTAGTGGTAAGATTATGATACGATAGTGATAAGATTATAGTAAACATGTATTTGAAAGGATAATTTATTTCGTTTATCAATATATAGTAATATAGATGTCATTATGTAACTCATAATTAATATGATGTTCTTTTATGTAAAAGTTTTAAATCTTAGTTAAAACAAGAATGAGAATTGTTATTCGTTGCCCTAAATATATTAAATTTATTCTAATATCCTTAATTCATTTATTTGTCTTCCGAACACTTAAACCCAAGTCCGGCCTAACAAACAGCCTTGAATTCAGAAAAAGCGCACAAATTTCTTAGGAGGTAGCAAAAGGAGAGTTTTTTTTTGTTTTTTGAGAAAGTTGTACACAGCTTAATAATCGTACAATTGGCCATATGCATCTTAATGAGCTTGAAATCTTCAAGCGTTATGCCACTGTCTTTGTAGCAAGGAAAGAGCATAAAGCAAACGACTTGCTTCGAGCATTTAAAATTCTTTCAGAAGCCCACTTACAACAATGGGTAAGGATTGGGGATGGTTGATAGTTGTTTCTTTGTTTTGATTTGTTTCTTGGTTTTGCCTCAATGTGTAGGTGGTTTTTGGGGCCTTGAGGTTCAAGGGAATTCACTTTGTTTTTGTTTCTCTTTCTGTTAGTGTTAGTTATCTGTCTCCAGTCTTGAAGTTTCCATTCTGATTCTTGTTTTTTTCTCTTTGAGTTTTGGTATTGTTTTGCCAAAAAAAAGTTCTTTTTCTTCTCAAAATTTTCTTCTTTTTGTAAAGGTGTTCTTTTTTTTAGTTGTATTTTCTTGTTTCCTCTTTGTAATAAAGTTCATCATTCAAATAAAAAAAACACAACAAGAACAGAACCAAGGAACAAGCTGTAGGAAATCAATCCACATGGAAGCTGTGAATTCGGGTGGGGGATTGGGTGGGGGTACCGGGTTGTGATGGATGGAGGGGCGATTGGAAGAGGCGGCCGCAGAGGTGAGTGTATCATCCGGTAAAGTTTAGGGTGATAAAATTTAAATTTTAGGGCGACGAATAGTCATTCAGAATGAGATATTTTATAATATCACTGTGATATAACGATATTATCACTTTGATAATATCGAAATTACATGTTTTAAATGACTATTATTTTGTGTTCAAATTATAGCAAAAAGAATATTAATTTATATATTTATGAAAAAAATGAGATATGGGATTTGAAGGAGAGTGCAGCAGGGAATTGGATATGGAAGAGGCTATTAAAGTGTAGACAACTGGTGAGGCCTCATATCTCTGTGGTAAATTCTGAGCTGCAGTGGGATGGCTTGGCTATGTGCCCCTACTCTGTTTCGAGGGTGTGGGAGTCATTAAGGCAGAAAGAGAATGAGGTTAATTGGTTCCATTTGGTTTGGGATAAGTATGTTATACCTCGACATGGATTCATTGCGTGGTTGGTGATAAATGATAAACTAAAGCTTCAGGACAAACTTATCGCATGGGGAAAACCATTATCTGGGTGCTGTCTGATGTGTCCTGGAGGTGTGGAGACTCGGGACCATCTGTTTGTTCACTGCTCTTATATACAATACTTATATATGCGTGTGCTGGGGGTAGCCTTGCCTCCTGTGCTTGATAGTTGGGGTTCCATGTTGAATTGGTGTGTGCAACAGTGGAGTGCTAATACCACTGTGAACTTCCTTAACAGAATGTGTTGGAGTGTTTTGATTAGCCTTGTGTGGAGGGAGAGGTGTGCAAGGATGTATGGTTCTGCTGCGGCGAGGAGTCCTTTGCAGCTGCAGAGTGTTGCTCGAAGATTCATTCGAGGGAGATGCCTTTTGAACCAAAATTTGATTGACTGTTTTGTAGAAAGGGGGCTTGGGGTAGATAGGTAGCTATCTTTTGATTTTGTGATTACCATTTGGGTTTGATGTACAGGGACTGTCAGTTTGTGAGGGCTCCATAGCGATTTGCTATTGGTGCCGGGGTTTAATGCAATTTTGATTTAACCATCAAAAAAAAAAATGAGATACGAACACTGATTTTAACTAGTATAAAAAGGCTCCTCTCTCTAGAATCCATGGGGTAGGGATGACAATGGGTTGAGTTTTTCCAAACCCAAATCCATGGGTTTATCCGTGAAAAAAACCTAGGGTAAAACCCACTGGGTTAGAAAAACTCAAACCCAACCCAACCCGCTGGGTACCCATTCGGGTTTTTGTCATAAAAAAATTTACAATAACAAGTTCCTTTCAAAATTAAAGTCAAATATCAATATCTCAATATAAATTATCATTATATAAAACACCATTCTAGAAAATTCAAGCAAATCACAAATTAACTATACAAATTGTTCAACACCAATCTAGAAAACTCAAGAAAATTGAAGCAAATCACAAATTATCCATAAATAACATGATTAATTAAAATCTTCTTCCTTTCAATTAAGTTTCTTCACTCTCCACTCGATAACATCAACTTCATTCTACACAATTAAAAAAAAATAGACATATCTCCACAAACATAAATAAGACTAGTTGTTTAGGATATTATATATACAGAGAAAATTAATTATATGGGTGTGGGCGGGTACCCATGGGTCGGGTTTACCTAAACTCAAACTCAACCCAGTGAATAGTGTACGGGTTTAAACCCAAATCCGGCCCAAACCCCGTTAACATGGATTTTACCCGTGGTTCGGGTTTTGTTGTCATACCTGGTGGGATTCAAAGGGATACAGAAATTCTTCCTATAATTAATGAATTTCTTATCAATGTATGACAGATTGACAGTTGGATGGAGGACTTCACATATGGATTTTATAAAAAATATATTTTGTACTATATGCTCATAAATAAATAGTAAAAAATACCAGAATTGCAATATATAATGGAAATCTTTCTAAAAAGTAAATTGCGAATTTCTTCTGCTATAATTGCACATATATACCTAAATAGAAAACGAATAAACGAGGCAATAGGGAATTAGGGATGGTGATTGGTAATTGGTATCGACAAAATTGTGGTTGAGATCCGATAAGATTTGAAGATATCATTGTGTGAGTTTTGACTTTTGGCAGCTTACTAAAAATAACAGTTATATATGTTACTATTAATATTAATTCCAGCCAATATGAATATATTTTTGTGACTTTTTCATTCCAAGTAGTGTATCATAATTAGTGTGAATTTGTAAAGTAGGAAACGGTTTGTCGTTATTAAAAATTAAAGGGCACACGTGTATGGTGTTGTTCATTAATTCCGCGTCCAACTTCTCACTACAAGTACCATGAAACATATAAGAAAACACACACTAGAAACAAAAAAAAACAAAAAAACACAACACAAAATTTATAAAAGCATATTAGAACCTCACCTCACCACAAAGTTTGCAAAGCAGACTAGAAAACTCAAACACATCACGAGTTTCCTAAAACATGTCACACAAGTTTGTTAAAACTATAACAGAAACCTCATAAAGCAGACTACAAGTTCTATGAAACAGCCCATAAACCTCATAAAGCATAATACAAGTTTCCCGAAACAGACAAGATCCCTATAAAACAGACCATAAATCTAATAAAGTATACATAAGTTTGTTAAAGCATACCGAAAACCTCATAAAGCACAACACAGTTTTTGAAAGCATAGCAAAAAACTCATAAATTTGGACCTATTTGTAAATTTTAGAAATTTTAGATTCAATGAAAAAATTATATAAATTTTTACCAACTAAACTGTAATTTCCCATCATTATGCTTACGAATTAAATAAAAAGAATTTTAATTGTAGGCTCTAGATCTTAATATCTATTAAGTTTAGGTATGAAACTGTAATATGCAAACCCTAGCTCCGCTTTCTTCGGAGCGGTGAATCCTGAAACCTTTCCTGTCTGCGGCCGAACGCCGTCAACCATGACTAACCTTGCGCCGGGGGCTCATCACTCGAGCGTCGGGCAGCAAGACTCCAGCTCCGGCATTCGGAGACCTCCACCGGTGACCTCCTCACCAAACTCTAAAGGAGAGAAGGAAACCCAACCTCCCAAAAAGAGAGCGAAGCCCAGGTTCAACAACCCCCTCTTCGGAATAGCATCCATGGAGGAAGATACACTTCGAAGGACAAAGAGCCGACGAACTCTCCAAAACAACACCCCCGCGAACCAGCATGGACTAGTGGCATAGCGTCGAAGTTATTTAGTAACCCGACACCTGATACCGAATGGTATGTCGCAGAATCAGATTCTGAGGACGTAGCCGAAGCTATGCGTGAATATGATCAAGATGATGAAGTGCCGGAAGATGATGACCTGAAGTGCCCAACGATTGCCTATACGGAAAATGGAATAGCAACGCTGGAGGAGGGAATGGCGTTCAGTCCTAATTGTCAAAGTTGTGGGACGCTCGTAACCCTTCCCGGTTACGTCACGGCGGCTCGAAACTCTCTTGGTTTCTATGATGTATGCTTCACTAGTCAAGTGGACTAAGAGTTGGCTGTTGTCGGTGTCCCCTGGATGACTGGAGATTACTATATTACTGTTCGTCCATGGCGTCAAAATTTCAATCCGAAAATGGCAGAAGTGGCAACGACGATGGTCTGGGCGCAGCTGCCAGGGTTACCGAGAGAGTTTATCAATAAGGAGGCTGTGGAACGCATAGCTGAAATAATTAACAGACCTGTCTGTGTGGATAGGGCGGCTGAATCAAGTGATCGGGGGCTGTCTCGTTATGACACAACTCCTAACAAAGGCCAAGTGTAACCAATGAAAGGGACTGCAGTATAGTGGCTCAAGTAATAAATATCAAATCCATGGGTCTCTAGAGTTACTATTACTCAGTTTCAGTTCATTATCTAGCAAACCAGATTAAGATAGAACAGCTAAAACTACTCTAGCAATCTACAGTTAAAGTTAATCTAATTACAGGTTGGGAACTCACTTAGGTATGATAGCCTCTAGCCACTAGCCAGATTAATGATTGATGATCTCTAATTTGTTTCACTTTCATTAAAAATGCAGATAATCCTTAACTAGACCTTGAGTCTCGGCTAAAGGAATAAGGCCCTCTTGAGTCAGTTGCCTAGAGGGATGTATCCTTCTCTAGAACAACCGATCAAGGCGTTCTGAACTAGATTCCCTCTATTGAATGAGTTTCTCAATCGATACAAAGCATTGAATCAACCATCGACTAAAGCAATCGATCCAAAACTATCAATCTATGGTGCTCTATTAACCTAATCAAGTATTCGCTCTCATAGGGTCAAAGCAGAATCAATAATCTCGACTAAAACATAATTGAATGATGAAAACATGCATAGATTGAATATGAACTCAAGATTATCAAGTAAGAGTACTCATACAATTATCCAATCAAACAAAGATGGCTAGGGTTCCTCAAAACCTAAGTGAAGGAAAATTACTCCATAGAGAAGAGAGAAAATGTCGTAAGAATCTTCAGAGGATCAGTCTTCAAGTCCGGGCTTGTTCCTTGAGCTTCCAAGGCAAAGAAATCCTGCAATACCACTCCAAAACCCAGCTCTCCCCCCTCAAAAATCGCATAAAGTAGACTTATACCTGAGCAGGGGCAGAAACACGGTCGGGAACACGGTCGTATTTTAAATCCCTTCAGCAGTCTTCACAAGTGAGGCTCGGCATAAAAACAACTGGCAGCTGCTAGATGAAACTCGGCCATGTTTTTAGGGTAGTTTGCCTGTGTTTCTTCCGCCAAACATATTCCCCTATATTCAATGCTTCGTTTCTCCTTCGTCCGGATTCCGAATCAGTCGTCGTTTGATCCAAGACGCTCGTAGTCTCATCCTCTTTCTTTTAATGACAAGCTTGCATGATTATTTGTACATAAATGAGATAGAGATCCATTCTTATTCAGGTCATGCCCGAGTTTTTTCTCCCGAATCGCCAATTGATCTCCGATTGACTTGAAACTTGAGCCTACGCTTCACTGTATGTGCTAGGACTTGAAATGTGACAAAGGAACACAACCTAGCATAAAATAGGCCAAAGAAGCGATAATGAAAGCTCAAACGATCAAGAAACAAAGGGAAAAACATGTGCAAATATCGAGTCATCAAATCCCTCCACACTTAACCGTTTGCTTGTCCCCAAGCAAACCTGACTCAAAGAAATGCAAATCTCCATACCTTTATAGTAACACGCAACCTCAATCGTCGGTAGATGATTTCCTAGATCAATTAGCAACTTACGAGTTCAACTTGTCTTCTAAGACGTCCCTCTTAATGCGAGTGCTAGACCCAAGCCAGAATCATGAGAAGCAGTTGAACTAAGACAGCCAATTCATGTATAAGGATACTCATAAAATTCCACGACCAAGGACTCATCGTATCGGGTGCTCTTCCATTCATTAAAATCGTTGGAACCCCTTTTTGCACTTCATTTTATGTTTCTTTTGTTTTCCTCATTCATACTTTGTGGGGGTTCCAACTGCAGTTTTTGTGCACGATTGACCCTAATTGGTTGAGCAAGAGCAATTTATGTACATCTGCCACTCGCCAGAGTACTTCTTTTAACTCCTTTTCCTCAACTCGTGCGGAGAGTCAATGAAACTAAGGTGGGTCGGAAGCTCTATCTGTGCCCTTAAAAAACACATCCTCGAGTAGGCAAACCGTTCAAAGGGTGAAAAATTTTATTTGTACTGGAGACAACTTAGCTTCACCTTGTAGGAGCACCCCACTAAGGATCACTAAAATCTCTTCCAAAACCCGATTTTGTGCAATGAACTGTGTCACACACGTTGGGCTTACCCCATGTTTAAGATGTCAGATTATTGCCATGGAGGACCGACTGCATTTCATTAAGTACACTGCGCACCTTCTCATGATACAAAAGTCCAAACACAATGGAAGTCATCTATATCACATTAATCAAAGGTTCTAAAGCCACTAGTTCACACAATCAACCGACACGGCAAGGAGACAGATAGGAAAAATCTTATACTTCAGCATCCTCCATAGTGCTACAACTACCTCCCTAGGTTGCATAGTACTATAAAGGCTGTCAATTCAAAGCATACTGAGCAGGAAATTGCAAGGAACGCGTACTTGTAGCCCTCAAATTTAAAGATTTGGACAGTGGACTAGGCTCCAAGCACACACATACAACCAAACATTGACACGCATATATAATCGAACATCCCCCCCCCCCCCCCCCCCACACACACACACACACACTTAAGAACGACATTGTCCTTAATGGAGAAAAGATAAGGAGGGTAGAACGAAGTTACCAGATCAAGTGTGAATGATGGTGGACGGGGCAGGTGGTGCATTCCAGGAGGAGAGAGTAGTCGGAACACAAACACCACACAAAATCTCACAAAGGTTGAGTTATTAACTCTAAAATCAAAGAACAAAACTGAATCAACTGAGGATAAATAGGGAAAGAAATGCAAACTGACTAGTTGGGTTGCATCCCAATAAGCGCTTCTTTCACGTCGTGAGCCGGACGATGACTCCTAAGTTTTGGTCCACCCCAAAAACTCTTTGAAGTTGAGGTTCTCGTCGATGAGGTGGAGTCTCAAGTCACGAGCATGTGGTATGACATGTGATGAAGGATCGTGCACTTGATGCAGCTAAAGTCTCCACCCTCGAGACCTCTTCTTCGTTTCTTCTCTTGTCTCATTGCCCCAAACCAGATATAACCGTATCAACTGACCACCATTGCATCCACTAAGGGGGACCGGTGTCGATGTGGCCTTGGTGTGGCAAAGAGACACTACAAACGGGTCATTGCCAAGCAGTTCCTCGAAGTTTGGTGGGGATATTACTTGTAACATAGAGTCGGTGCAAGCCTCTTCCACGTCAACTTCATCCCCCGCATGGACGCCAATTGCTCTTTCAACCCCCCTTCCTTCTTCAAAATGTGGTATTGCCCCTGGGAAAACATCAAGAACTTCCTCTAATTCACTTCCATCATCCTCCACAACTTCTTTCCCCATCCTTTCTTGCTCTTCTTCTTCTAGTACGGATTGGAGAGCAAGTCACCAAGCAATTTCTTTCATGAGATCATATTGAATCTCCTTGCTCATGCCCACCTCTTCAAAGCTCGGTGTGGGATGTGGGAAGGTGTGGTCGGCTACGACAAGACATTTTTTATCATGATCATCACGGGAGCTCTCCGTGACAACTTCTTTCTGCTCCACAATGTCTTTGTAGCCTTCGTCTTCCTCCTCCTCTTCTAGTATAGTAGCAGAAGGGTGATCTTGAGCAGGTTGTGCATAAGATTTCTCAAGATCCTCGAGGCTCTTCTTAATGCTCATGAGGATCTCCTCCGTTTCATGATAGGCCTGGGTACAAAGATCCATCTTGGAGTATGATCTCTCAGTGTCTCGAGCAAACTGCTCCACGAGAAGCCTTAATTCATAGTTTGGATCTGGCCATGGAGTGTGGCATGGCTCTGCAGAATGGCCCGTGAAGGTTTCCATGGCTAAATCCAGCTCCGATGGCCCTTCTGTTTGTAGGAGAAATTCCTCTTGATAAGGAGATTGTTCTTGAAATGACCAGGGGTCTGATTGTTCTTGATAGTAGGAGGATTGATACTGAAACCTGATAACATCGTATTTTCACATGTTTGCACCCTCGTTTCTTGATCATTTTGGCTTTAGTTTTTACCTTCTTGGAATATTTTACGCTAGGTTGTGTTCCTTTGTCACATTTCAGGTCCTAGCATGTAAATTGGAGCAAAGGCGCAAGTTTCAAGTCGATCGGAATTCATTTGGCAATTCGGGAGAAGAAACACGAGCATGACCTGAGGAATAATGGATTTCTACCTCATTTTATGGACAAATAATCATGGAAGTTTGTTATGAAAAGAAAGAGGACGAGACTACGAGCGTTTGGGTTCAAACGACGACTAATATGGAGTCCGGACGAGGGAGAAACGAAGCATTAAACAGGGGCGGAGGAAGAATTACGGGCAGACCCTGACCAATTACGGTCGTAATTGCTCCTGTCTTGCCCGTAAATGCAATGCCGAGCCTAATTCTTCGGAATTCCTGTCGCAGAGACAATTACGGGCAAGAGTCAAAGTAACTACGGTCGTAATTCCATAATTACTAGGAGTAATTGGGTAATTACGACCATAATTCCCTTCCTCAGAGTTAAGTAAAACGCGCGTTTTGGGCGATTTACGGGTAGACCATGATTACGACCGTAATTCAGCCCGTAATTCGCCCAGAATCGGGTTTTTGAGGCAGATTCGAGCCAAAGGAGAGGGAGTCGACTTTTTGGGTGATTGTTATATTGTTTGGTCTTAATCGAATGATGCATGATTCATTGAATCAATTGAAGTATGATCATCTTTTCTTGATTTCTGCTGCAACCTGAGATAGATAGAATCTGATTAGGTTGTTAGAGCTTCAACATTCGGTAGTGGTAGATTGGTTATACGAGAGTTAATCAATCTACTGCTTCATACTGGAACCCAATTCTAGTAGTGGAGTTCTGTGCTTTTTGCCTCAGTTTTCTATCCTAGTGAAGACTACTCGTCTGCCGGGTAGTTGGACTGAGAGGGCTTGGTCAGCTTAAGAGATTCCAAGCTACGTCGGATCTTCCGCAGTTTAATCAACAGTAAATCAACCCAGGGTAATTACAACCGAGACCTAACTAAGGAGCTAGGGGGACTCATTCCCGAGTGACTCTTCCTTTGCTTTAGAAAAACCAATCTTTTCCTACTTTCTTACTACTTTTAGTTAAAACCACAATCAATCGACTTAGTTGGATAGATAATAGATATTCACGGAGTAGGCAGTAGATCTAGACCCCGGGTTGATAATTAGAACTTGCCACTTTACTGCATTTCCGGACTGCGATTACACTTGGTCGCAGTTTGGTGTTGTGTCGTAGCATGTCAAGTTTTTGGCGCCATTGTCGGGGACTCTAGGTTATTGTAGAAACGTGAAAGTCTGTTACTTTAGCATTTACTTTTATGCATCCTCTCTTTTCCACCCTTGCTTTTCACTTGGGTATTTTGTTTTTGTTGGTGCAGATCTGATACATGGATTCTCAAGGCTTCTCCAACCATTGGGGTATCCACCACCACTCGAGTGGTATTACCCCGAGACTTCCTGGAGCACCCAAGGAGGAGAAGACTATGGAGTCGGGTTTCAGTACCAACCCCCCTACTGCAAATAACAATCAGACTCTTGGGTATTTCAAGAACAATCTCATTATCAAGAAGAATTCCTCCCACAACTAGAAGGGCCATCAGATCTTGATTTAGCCACAGCCTTCACGGGCCATCCGGCAGAGCCATGCTACACTCCAAAGCCAGATCCAAACTATCACTTGAGACTTCTCGTGGAGCAGATTGCTCGAGTATCTGAGAGATCCTTTCCCGAGATGGATCCTCATATCCAGGCCATGGCCCAAACTGACTTCTCCTTTCCCTGTGAAACAGAGGATACCCTTCAAAGCATAAAGAAGCACATAGAGGTCATTGAGAAAGCTTGTGCACAGTTTTCTCAAGACAACCTTTATGTTGCCATACAAGTAGAGGAGGAGGAGGAGGAAGAAGGCAATCCTGAGGATGTTGAGGAGCATACAGAAGTTCTCACGGAAAGCTCCCATGATAATCATGATCAAGTGTATCCTCTGGTGGTAGATCACAATTGTCCCCATTTCCGCTCTGATATGCTGGGCCCGAGCGAGGAGATGCAAGATGATCTCATTGAAGAAATTACATGGCGACTTGCTCTCCAATCTGCGCTAGAAGAAGAAGAGTGAGAAAGGGTGAGGAAAGAAGCTGTGGAGGATGAGGAAGAAAGCAAAGAAGAGGAAGTTCTTGATCTTTTCCAAAGGGAGAGACCTCATTTTGAAGAAGGAAGGGGGGTTGAGGAAGCAATTAACGTCCAGGCTGAGGATGAAGTTGTGATGGAAGAGGCTTGCACCGACCCTATGTTACATGTGATATCTCCACCAAACTTCGAGGAGCTGCTTGGCAAGGAACCATTTGCAATGTCTCTTTGCCAGACCAAGACAACATCAACATCAATCCCTCTTGGTGGATGCAATAGTGGTCAATCGATGATATCTTATCTGGTTTGGGGAAATGAGACAAGAGCAAACGCGAAGGAGAGGCCTCGAGAGTGGAGACTTCATCTTCCTCAAGGCCACGAGGCATCTTCATCACCTATCACATCACCTGCTTGTGACTTGAGACTCCACATCATCGACGAGAACCTCAACTTCAAGGAGGTTCTAGGGTGGACCGAAACTTAGGAGCCACTGTCCAGCTAAAGACGTAAAAGAAGCGCTTGTGGGGAGGCAACCCCACCAAGGTTTGTTTTCCTTTCGTTTGTTTTTGGTTTGTCCACTTGGAACTATGGTTTCTAATACCCAGTGTGTTTTGATGACTCTAGTCCTGCTGACTGGTCCGATTTCCAGTCCTCCGACAGTCCATATTCCCTGTAACATTGTTTCCCCTTGTCTTTCCCTCTGCTCCATTGAGGGCAATGTCGTGCTTAAGTGTGGGGGGGGGTGTTTATCTATTGTTGACTGCTAGATGAGTCTTTGTGCTTGGAGCCTAGTTCGCTGTCCAAATCTCGAGATTTGAGGGTTCCAAGTACAGATGTTTGCCTGATCATATTGGCACTGTGGGTTTAATTGGTGAATCGAATGGCTTTCGAATTAATGCATGACAACTGGATTGTGACTAGGAAGACCTATAATGATGACTGAGACGTGCAGTAGAATTGTGTAGGAGTTCAGTTTTTTAACTGTTTGCTTACCAACTGTGACTTGGATTTGTCACTTGTTCTTGACAGTCATTTATGCATCTAGTTCAGGGAATCATAATGAGAGATAGAGCATATAGGTAGCCATGTGAGATTTGATCCTGCTCGTTTCTTTCTTGTGTGATAGATCCCTCTTCCATGATGTGCAGCATTCATGTTGTCATTAGCTAAGATGATGGAGGCATAGGAATAGCCCACGACCAAATTGACTATCCTGGTGTGTCATACCCCCTAGTCAGCCCCTTTGAGCCGTGCCACTTTCTTTCTTTCGGTTTTTAATGGAAAATCACCCTTTTGCATCTCTTAGAAGGTTCCACGGAGTGGTTTTTGCTTGTTCTCTGCTGTTTCTGCCAAAAATAATGTGAGGGTTGGAGGTAGTTCTTAAAAAAGTTGGGCATGTGTTTGAAAAAAGTGCTGAGGGGGTGGTTCTCTCAAGAAATGAAAAAAAAGAAGAAAAAATGGATGAAAGCTAAAGAGAGCCACTACCAAAAATATGAATCATGCTCAGTAAGTAGTGTTTCTTAGCAGTCTGGCTTAGAAATACTAACATTATTGTGACCTCCTTTGCTCTTGTGCTCTAAATAATTTGGGTAATGCAGAATGGCAGAAAGAAAGTAAGTGGTTTGATTGGCGGTGAATGTGATGGGTTTGGAACTGTGGAACCTTGTGCTATGAATACTTCCACCACCTAAAAGGCATTTTCCCCATGTCCAAGACCCTAGCCAGTCATTCGAACATGTGTCTAAGACCTCCGGATTAGTTAGTGATGACACCCATTTATGTGAACTCTAACATTTAGAGGTTGCCGCCATGGTGAAGAGATGTTAGGGATTGAGAGAATAAGTATGCGCATTTTCCGCATCAAATTGTCCTGACCCCACTGGTCGAGAGTGAGCGATTCATTTCCTTGTTCTTTACACTCTTTACCCCGGTGAAGACCTAGATGGCTCGGTCTTGATTCTGATGTCTTGAGTTTTATGCATGAGCTGACTGTCTTGAATAAGTGGTTGAGTCAAGTCTAGGTTGGTTGGTGAACAGAAGGGAGACTCTTCCTTTACCCGATTTTGCTGCACTTGAATGTCCTCTGTGGTGGTCATCCAGGCTGCTGTTGAAGTTGTTCATGTGTTGATGTCTAAAAACCCGTATGATTCCCGTGTTTCGTGCCTATATGATATGTACCCTAGGGTTTCATGATTAAGATGTTTTGAGCTTACCTTGTATCTGACTTGGTTGGCTTGGGGACAAGCAAACGGTTAAGTGTGGGGCAATTTGATAACATCGTATTTGCACATGTTTGCACCCTCGTTTCTTGATCATTTTGGCTTGAGTTTATACCTTCTTGGACTATTTTACGCTAGGTTGTGTTCCTTTGTCACATTTCAGGTCCTAGCATGTAAATTGGAGCAAAGGCGCAAGTTTCAAGTCAATCGGAATTCATTTGGCAATTCGGGAGAAGAAACACGAAGCATTAAACAGGGGCAGAGGAAGAATTACGGGCAGACCCTGACCAATTACGGTCGTAATTGCTCCTGTCTTGCCCGTAAATGCAATGCCAAGCCTAATTCTTCAGAATTCCCGTCGCAGAGACAATTACTGGCAAGAGTCAAAGTAACTACGGTCGTAATTCCATAATTACTGGCAGTAATTGGGTAATTACGACCGTAATTCCCTTCTTTAGAGTTAAGTAAAACGCGCATTTTGGGCGATTTACGGGCAAAACATGATTACGACCGTAATTCAGCCCGTAATTCGCCCAGAATCGGGTTTTTGAGGCAGATTCGAGCCAAAGGAGAGGGAGTCAACTTTTTGGAGCCAAAACAGAGTTTTAGAGAGAGAAAATGCGAAGAACAAACCCTATGAGCTATTTGGAGTGGATTTCTCACCATTGAAGCCCAGATTGCATCCTCAGGAGTGAAGATTGACATCCCAAAGCACATTTTCCTCATCTTTATGAGTATGACTACTCTGATTTCTGTTTTCCTCTCTCTCTATGGAGTAGAACCTTCTCTCACTTGGGTATGAAGAACCCTAGTTCCAGGTGTTAGGGATCTTGATTGTAATGACTTGGGATTGTTATACTGTTTGTTTTTAATCGAATGATGCATGATTCATTGAATCAGTTGAAGTCTGATCATCTTTTCTTAATTTCTGCTGCAACCTGAGATAGATAAAATCTGATTAGGTTGTTAGAGCTTCATCATTCGGTAGTGGTAGATTGGTTATACGAGAGTTAATCAATCTACCGCTTTGTAATGAAACCCAATTCCAGTAGTGGAGTTCTGTGCTTTTTGCCTCAGTTTTCTATCCCGATGAAGACTAGTCGTCTGCCGGGTAGTTGGACTGAGAGGGCTTGGTCAGCTTAAGAGATTCCAAGTTACTGTCGGATCTTCCGCAGTTTAATCAACAGTAAATCAACCCAGGGTAATTACAACCGAGACCTAACTAAGGAGCTAGGGGGACTCATTCCCGAGTAACTTTTCCTTTGCTTTAGAAAACCAAATCTTTTCCTGCTTTCTAACTGCTTTTGGTTAAAACCACAATCAATCGACTTAGTTTGCTAGATAATAGATATTCACGGAGTAGGCAGTAGATCTAGACCTCGGGTTGACAATTAGAACTTGCCACTTTACTGCATTTTCGGACTGCTATTACACTTGGTCGCAGTTTGGTGTTGTGTCGTAGCGTGTCAAAACCCGAATCCATAGTCTTCCCCTCCTTGATTGCTCCATGAAGTCTCAGGGTAATACCACTCGCGTGGTGATGGATACCCCCACTAGTTGGAGAAGCCATTAGGATCCATGATTAAGATCTGCACCAACAAAAACAAAAACACCCAAGTTAAAAGCAAGGGTGGAAAATTAAAACAACAGAAAGAAAAACTAAATTAACAAACTTCTGTCTTTCCTAATAATCTAGAAACTCCCCAACAACGGCGCCAAAAACATGACTCGCTATGACACAACTCCTAACAAAGGCCAAATGTAACCAATGAAAGGCACTGCAGTATAGTGGCTCAAGTAATAAATATCGAATCAACGGGTCTCTAGAGTTACTATTACTCAGCTTCGGTTCATTATCTAGCAGACTAGATTAAGATAGAACAACTCAAACTACTCTAGCAAACTACAGTTGAAGTTAATCTAATTACAGGTTGGGAACTCACTTAGGTATGATTCCCCTTAGACACTAGCCAGATTAATGATTGATGATCTCTAACCTGTTTCACTTTCATTCACAATGCGGAGAATCCTTAACTAGATCTTGAGCCTCGACTAAAGGAATAAGGCCCTCTTGAGTCAATTGCCTAGAGGGATGTATCCTTCTCTAGAACAATTGATCAAGGCGTTCTAAACTAGATTCCCTCTATGGAACCAGAAGAGGTCAACCATAATCAATATGGGGAATAGATGGTGGCTAAGCCACGTGGGAAATTATCAAAGAAACACATAATTACTCCAAATGAGAGTGGTAATGCAATACCCAAATCCACTCCCCCTCCTGTGGACTCGCAAATGCCCTCTGGGTCGAGGTTTACGGTGCTAGTAGACGAAGAGCAAAGGCTGAGTGCGGATTCTCGAGATGAGAATAATGAGATGATTGTGAATGCGACTATTACACATTCTGTGGAATCTCAAGAGGGAGGTAAGACCAGCAGCGGATGATATGGCCCCACCTATAAGTGCGTATGTGATGTCAAGTGAACCAGCAGCGGATGATATGGCTAACTGCAAGGGTGGAGCTAGCCTCCCTCATAGCCATGTAGCAACTGACATCACCATGCAGCAGAACACTTTGCTTGCCCCCAGCTAACGGGGTGCGGAACAGTTCTATTAACAAAGCTAAAGGGACGAAAAAACATGCCTCAGGTAAGTCGGGCACCCAAGAAGCCTCCCAAGGAGTAACTGGGAAAGTGAAGCAGGTCCGGATGAAAGAGACGACCATGGCGGCCTCCACTGTTCAGGACAGTAGATCGCTGGATAAAGATAAGACTGATCTCACCCCGAAGGTGACTACAATGAAGCATGGTGCGGGGAACCTATCGCCTTCAATGAATAGATGAGAATCTCATGCTACAACTGTCGCGGATTGGGGAATAAGCGGTCAGTTAATTCGTTGCGAGCTTTATTGCAGCGCACGTCCCCCCATGTGGTTTTCCTCAAGGAAACAAAACAAACGCTAAGTGAAAATGAGATTTTACGGGATTCGTGTGGTTTTACCCAGGGCGAGAGCTGTTCGGCCGTTATCTCTCTCAGGAACATAGCTGGAGGTCTGAGTATATGGTGGAATGAGGATGTCTCCATAACCTGTATGGATATTACCCTTAACTATGTGGATATTGTGGTGGAAGAAGCAGAAGGGAAATGGCGGTTTTCTGTCATTTATGGGTGGCCGACCAGTACTGATAAATGGCGCATGTGGGAATTACTTACCTCCCTTTGACAACAATGGAATGGCCCTTGGATTTGTGGAGGAGACTTTAACCAAGTCTGTTCTATTGAGGAGAAAAGGGGAGGAGATTTGGCTTATGATGTGGATATGAGGAATTTCGGAGACTACTTGTATGAAGCAGAACTCCTGGATCTGGGTTTCATTGGGTATCCGTACACATGGGAAAACCAGAGAGTTAAGGGTGGCCATATCGAGGAAAGGTTGGACAGATTTGTGGCGAATGATGCTTGGCGTTTGATGTTTTCGCAATTCCAGGCTCACAACTGGGATCGGGCGAACTCAGACCACCGCCCTATCCTCTGTGACACTCGAGGTGCGGAGGACGTTGAAGTGAAATGGGTTCGATCGTTTCGGTTTGAACCCTATTGGACCAAACAGGAGGAATGCTCCAAATTGGTCGCGGACACCTGGCGGTCCCTGGGCGGGGCCAGACATTCTTGCTAAATTCTACCAGTGCAGGCAAAGGCTGGAAGACTGCAGTCATAGCATATTTTCGAACTTCGCGCGCCAGAAGGACAAGATCACCTGTGCCCTGTGTGCGCTAGAGCGGCGTCCGCAAACCCCTGAGTTCTTGGAGCAGTGTAGACAGCTTGAAGATGAGATGGCTGAGTTGTTGGATAATGAAGAACAACACTAGAAGCAACAATCGAGAGTTGATTAGTTGAAAGGAGGAGATAAAAATATGAACTTCTTTCATCGTACAACTTTAGCCCGTAGGAAAAGAAATACGATTAAAAGACTTTGGGATGACTCAGGGCGTTGGCATGTGGGCCAACAAGCAGTCTCGAACTATTTTGTGCAAAATTATCAGCATTTGTTTACTGTTGGTGACAGCCCGCAGTCTTGGCCGGTGCTGGAGTCTTTTCCCCGACGGCTCGAGGAGTATGATAATGAAGCCTTGCTCCGACCATTTTCTAGAGAAGAAATCTTTGACGCTCTTAAGCAAATGGGGAAGAGGAAGGCACCAGGCGCCGACGGTCTCTCAGTGTTCTTTTTCCGTAGGTATTGGCATGTGATTGGGGATGAAGTGGTTGCTAACATTGTACAGATCCTCACGACGGGGATGAAGTGGTTTCTATCCTTTATAAAATTATTTCGAAGGTCCTGGCTAACAGGATGAAGGTCATCCTAGTCCAGGTTGTCTCCCCTCAGCAGAGCGCTTTTGTTCCCAGTCGGTTAATTACTGACAATGTCATGGCTGCCTTTGAATGCTTCCATTCGATAAAGAAGAATAAAAAGAAGAAACATAGATATTTTGTGGCCAAGATCGATATGGCCAAAGCCTATGATCGAGTGGAACTTTCTGGAGGGGGTTATGCGGAAGCTAGGTTTTGCAGAACAGTGGATCCGAATAGTCATGATGGGAGGTGTTTGATACCAAGTCTCGTGTCAAAAAGCATATTGATACCAGGTGTTTGGCAGATCAAGACAATTGCCGACACGAAGTTCATAATCCTTGTCTTCACGGGAGGACTGTTATGGTACAATCTAAGTACCACTTCAAACATAAAATGGAAGGGACCCTTGTATATTAGTGTTTGCTTAGCTCAATTAGTATGAGACCTTGATAACACTCAAATTAGTGTTATTAAAAACCCATAAAGGCTTCTTTTGAGTCATTTTGTGTTCTTCATGGTCACCATCGCCAATTATACCCCGCATTCGTTTCTTTGAGAAAATGTTAGTATATTAGGGTGTATTGGATGGTATAAATGTTTTTATGAACAAAAATGTGCACAAGTGTAGAGAGAGGGTAGAAATCTAGATATTACGGCAAGCGGATGAAAGATCTCGGTCAGAAACATAGGGCGCGAAGCTGAGGACCGAGATCACAGCCTACAGGCCAAAGAGCACGACCGCGAAGATGGAGGTCGTAGTCGCGAATTTTTGAAGCAACCAATAAGGAAGGAGCAGAAAGTCTTGATAGTCGACTCACAAGCTTCTTCAAATGAGCCCGCAAGAAAGATCGCGGCCATGAGTTCACATATTGAGGCCGTGAACTAGGACGCGCACTTCCCAACTTCAAATCTCAAAACGGCATGCTCAAGATCATGACCTTTGCTCCCAAGATCGCACCAGCAAACTCCTCCCCCTGAACTGTGAACTTGCTCAAATCCTGCAACTCTATAAATAGAGGGTTCCTGCCCCTACTTGGAGAGAAAATATTGGTTGAAGATTTCTGGTTTGAAGAGAGAGAACATTGAGAGAGAATATGAAGGAATGAGAAGAAGAGAAGGAGGAGGAGAAGAAAGAAGGGAGCTCCCCCACATCAAGGCTTCTTCTGTTTTCTTCCATGTATCTTCTTCCCCCTTTATGGGGTAGTTCTCTAAGGTACTAGGGGTTAAACACCCCACCCCCCCATACCCTAGATTTTTGTATTGAATGTAGATGTAATTATGTTAGGTTTTGTGAATGGATATGTTTGTTTTTGTAAATGTATGCTTCATTTGTGCTTAATTATGCTTGGGTAGGTCGCCCAACTCTTCCCTACTAGCCTACAACTGAGTTAACACTAGGTGGGAGTTTAGGGTTAGACTAGATAGTGCCAACTAGCAGATTAAGGATAGATAGATCTTAGGATTCCTTAGTGGATGTGGCGACTAAACGTTGTTATAGGAATGTCTTCCTAAAACAATGCTTACCTTAGTGCACGTCCGTTGAGTTTTGTTATTTAGACCATGAATTAACCAAAGTTTGAGGCATGAGACAATAACTAACCTCTATTGGGTGAACCCCAGTCATCAATTCTCTAACCCGAATCATAAGATTCATTTAATCTTAAAATGAAAATCAACGGTTCCGATTCATTGAAATTATCTATATACGCTTATCTTACCGTACGCCCATCGCGTTTTTCTAATGAGTGAATCAGTCCCAAATTTGATAACTCAAACCATGAGATTCGTTTAATCTTGAAATGAAAACCAACGGTTCTGACTCGTTGTTATTGTCAAAGTACAAATAATAGGTATGAACGCAAGCGTACGCTAGGCTATCCCATATATTTATTTATTTATTTATTTGAAATACTTGTGCTCCATGACCTTGTACTTCTTTCCGACTTTATGTGCTTCATCATTTTATACAAACCAAGAAGACAAAGACCTACACATGTGCACCAACATCAACCCAATCAAACACCCTATGGTATTAATTCACGAACCTACCTTCCAATCCCGCATCGAGGAGAATGTGTCTCTCAAGTGTGCGTGTGTGTGTGTGTGTGTGTGTGTGTGTGTGTGTGTGTGTGTGTGTGTGTGTGTGTGTGTGTGTGTGTGTGTGTGTGTGTGTGTGTGTGTGTGTGTGTGTGTGTGTGTGTGTTGGGGGTTGGGGGGGGGGGGGGGGGAGGGGGATTGTTTGCGTGATTGACTGATTCGTGAATGATTCTATCCATGGTTGGTATAGAAGCCTCCCTTTGTCATGAATGTAAGACGTTGATGATCGTTTGTGGGAATGGTTGTTATAGATTTATTGTGTGTGAATGGCTTATATTTGGTGTTTGGAACCTAGATGATTTACCCAAAAATTTCAAATTAAGGGTTCCAAACACCTTGTCCCTAACATCTATCCTCTCAATGTGCTTTGAATTGCTAGATAGTCGTTATGGCGTGCTTTATAAGGAGTAGTTTGTATTTCTCAGGATTGTCGGTGTATGAGGGATTTTACTCTTATCTTCCTCTTTTGTGAGCCGATAGTGTATGCTACTTAGGTAAAGACATATGTGAGAGACTTTCCACCCTTTTGGACTAAAAAAACGTTTGCAAATGTGCTCACCTTTGAAAAATCAAAATTTTCTTAAAAAAATTGAGATTCTCACGTGAGAGGCAACCGAGCATAGTGTTTGAGTTGAACCGTGAAGGGCTCTTCTCTCTGGTTGGAGTACCGATTGAGGATGTGTCGGGGTTCTGATAGCTTTACCGCATCCCAATCATCTCTTACCAATTTCCACCCCTAGATAACTCTCCTCCTCACGGGTTCGTATGGCAAGGTTCAAATGCACTTTTTAGCGAACCATGAGACCTCGACTCTTGGTTGAACCCGACATGTGTGGCGCATCCGTCTGTCGTGGAGACGAGGTATGCATGCTGGGAATTGGTGTTCGGTCAATGAACTCGACCATCATGTTCCCCACATGATGCCAAGTTCGGGAAGTAAATGTTTCTTCCGCGCTTGGTTACGAGGTGGAGATGCCAATTTGCAAGGAACATTGCAAATGTTTGATGCCAATGCGGAAAAGTTTGAAAACGGGGAGAATCAAGGTACAATTGACTCCTATCTGAAAAGAAAGAATAAAGAGCATCCATGGAGTCCAATGTTTTCGTTCTTTTTAAAAGTCCCCTGGTGCATACTTTGTATGTCTAGACCTACTTAGTTAACATGGTTCTCACAAGGAGTTTGTGTTTACAGAGTAGGATGTGAGTAACGTTCACTCGACCCCGACTATTTTAAATAGTGCAACGAAGAATTATAGCTCACTCCATATTGATTGTTTATCAAGTTGTACTAGTTTGAGTAGGATTGCTTGGGGACAAGCAAACACCTAAGTGTGTGGGAGTTGATAAAACTCAAATTGGTGTTATTTAGAACCAAAATTTACTCTTGTTTCGAGTAATTTTGTGTACTTTATGATCAACATATCTCCAAATATACCTCATATTCCTTTCTTTGAGAAAATGTTAGTATATTAGGGTGTATTAGATGGTATGAATATGTTTAGATACAAAAATGTGCACAAGTGTAGAGAAAAGGTACAAATCCAGAGATAACGACTAGAGCATGAAAAGTCACGGTCGGGAACATAGGGCGCGGAGCTGAGGAGCTAATGTGAACATAAGAAACATATGCGCAATCAAAAAAAACTTTACGACGTTCGGATTGAGGAGCTAAAAGTTATGACCTTCCAAAGTTTGGAAAATTCGAAAAATTGCTCGTTCGGGGTAACAAACAACAGTTTTTTGAGATTAAGTCTTATTTCAGGTTGAAATATATTGAAAAGTTATATGGAATCAAATAAAATTTCGCTACAATCGGATAACCGAGCGCAAAGTTACGTTTGTTTGAAGTTTCAGTGTTACGTTAGGCATTCACCGCGGCCATCAACCGTGGTGATGCATTCACCGCTTTGTCTGCCGCTGTGAATGCATTCACTGCGGTTGACAACAACGGTGATGCCCAAACATGTGTATTTTGGGAATATTTTTTATAACGTGTGTATTTAGGAAATTTTTTTTAAAAACATGTGTATTTTAGGATTTTTTCCTAGAATTATTCGATCAATTGTAATGAAGCAAGTGGAAAAAAATGTGTTCCAGCTTTATAAATTCTCTAGTCGATGTGCACCCAGAATCGGTCCCGTGCACTACTCGAGGAAGATATGAAAAAGATTGGGTGCCATTGTTTTCTTGGAATGTTCGTGGCTCGTGGCTGGTCCGGTGGCTCAACAAGAGTCATCATTAGAGGAATAAACAAGTTGCATACTTGTATACATGCTTCCAAAATCGGTCAGAATCGAATTTTTATTCCAGAAAAGGGCTCCGCAACATGACAAATGCTTTACCTTTTTTTTTTTTTTTGCCATAATTAATTTACGATGTATGTACTGTTAATTTACAATGTATGTACTGTATGTAGGGCTGTCAATTTGGTTTGGTTTGGTTAACCAAACCATTAAGTATGAAAAACCAAAAATCAAATCCCAAAAATCAAAATCATTAAGGCTCTTATTGGTTTTTGGTAATGGTTTTGGTTTGGATAACCAAAAAACCAACATGTACTCATACACTCATATTTATTCTTATTTCCCTCCTTTTTATTGAATAAACGTCATAATAATGGTAAATGGCCATAACAAATTATTGGTTGCGTGTCAAAAGAAATAAATAAAAAATATTTGTTGATAAATAATTTTATTCTTATTGGTTTCTTAATGGTTTTTCGGTTTTAACCAAACCAAAACCATTAAGTTGCTTATTGATTTAAAACCAAAAAACTGAAACCATTAGCTTTCCAATTGGTTGGATTTCAGTTAAAACCAAAAAACCAAAACCAAATGTACAGCCCTAAGTGTATGTACTGTTAGTTCTTGCGAATTCAATGCTCTAAGCCCATACTCTAATGAAATCTGCACTTATCAACATGCTAGCAAGTAGCAAACTTAGATGAACTTAACAGCTAGATTTGGAAATATGGTTTGCAGTAAATCAACTTTCATAATATTGTATCAAGCTAAGGCACATTTCAATGCTGAAAATGTGTAGTTTGACAATAACCAAACTAGCAATAACCACCACAGTCGCTGATCTTATAAGTTGTTCCTTACGTTTTAACAGAAACTTCTATACTCATTAACTGGTGACTAAAAACTCAAATCTACAATGAAATCAAGTAAAACAGTCTCCAGGAACAAAACCTTCGAAATCCCAAGAGCAACAAATTCAAGACGCATACCATCGTCATACCTAGACTATATTATTTTTCCTTTCCTCCCCACTAAATTCTACGAATGACCAAATGGGTACCTAACATGGCAGGCTCTCGTTCATTCCTTATTCTTCTTCCACTATTCTTTCCTGGACTTCTACCTGGCACCAAACAACAACTTGTTCTTACAGCTTAGGAGCTGAAGAGCTGCTGGTTGAGGAGTCACCTGCGGTAGGGTTCAATGGGGAGACAGAGCTGCTGCTGCTGCTGCTGCGAAGAGACCCATTCCCGCTTTCGTTATCGGATACAACAGGAATTTTCACAGCAGCCATTTCCATCTCATTCTCGAGTTCATCCTCCCGCCTCAAAGCAGTGAACTGGCCATCCAACGACCTGGCTGCCGCTAACCACGCAAGTACGATACCCAGAAGGGTCACTCCAAGGTAGGGAGTCGAATTAGCCAGTGAACCGAAGGTCAAGATCATGAACTGTTGAATCAGAGCTCCCCCTGATTTCCCAAGGGGGTTGCAGACAACATCAATGGCTGCCTTTCCTTTAACCTGTGTGCATAATAATCAAACACAGATGGTCAACATAGATCGACTATAAGTAGGGGTGGGTCCCTATCTAACGATTACCAATCAAGTTACAGATAGATTATGAGGGAGAGGGGAACCATGCATACCTTGGTTTCCTCATCGAGAGGGATGTAAGCCATTTCTTTGCAGGGATCAAACAAGCTATACTTGGCACTCTTGCTGAAGATATTTTGCATGGCACCAACATAGACGGCTGCAAGCAGAGGTGTCATCCCGAATTTGGCAAGTGTTGGTACGAGAGGACCACCAAACAAGATCAGCGAAAAGAACCCGACACCCGTGATAAGGAGCACTGTGGGTGTGATTTTGGCTGCAGCTCCCCATCCGTATTTGTTGAAGATGTATTGACTGACGAGCATCATCGTGAAGGTGGCTATTCCAGTAGCCGTGGAGAAGTCGCCCATGAATGCAGAGTACTCATTCGGGCTTGGGAACTGACAATTATAAGATAGCAAGTAAGAAACTAATCATCCAGTAAAGGTACAGAGAGAGATTGGATGGCTAAGTAAGACTAATTACCTGAGCCTTGAGCTTAGATTTCCATGTGACCTCAACAAGGTTGATGCTAATGCCGTATGCAACAACTAAAGTTGCAAGGTCTCTGATGTATCTTGAAGAGACGAGGAATTTCAAGCTCTCCATTGTACCCATCTTTGGCTTTGCCTGAAAGAAAGAGGACACTAATTCAGCTTGAGCTCTAAATGTATGAGTCTGTGAAATAATAACTCAATGCATAGCCAAGACCAAGCAGATACACCAGAAGCAAACAAATGAAACAGAGAACCTGCAAAGGAAAGGGTGTATAATTCAAACAAGTCTACTTACCTTCTTCTTCTTGCTGACCGTTGGAAGAGTGGCAGTTCTATTTACCCACCAGTAAAGGAAGCAGATAGCACCACCCATTAGTACAACAATGCTCATCATTCCTTTGAGGGAGACAGCCCAACCATCAACTCCAGGACCCAAATTCTTCCGGAGATTAGAGAAATACTTAACTGTTCGTCCCGAGAAAATTAAGGCAATATTTGCACCAAGCCCAAACAGTGGGTAAAATTTCTTTGCTTCATCAATAGTAGTGATCTGACATGAACAAACAAGAACATGGTTAGTTCAAACTTCCATAACCAACAATCAGCTGTCAATAAGACTCCGTATATAAGGGCAATGTTTATTCTGTCAAGTTCATATCCCATCTGGCTCTAGTAAGAATATTCAAATAGAAACACGTTACATGTAACTGACAGCAGATGAAATCGGAGTCCTAAATGAGCATATATTTCAACAAGGGAGCCAGAGACATAAAATTTCAATGGACACAAAAATCATTCATCATGTGTAAATGAATTTACTAGATGAGATAGAATTCCCCAAGCCAAATTCTGCAAAAGGAATCAGTTAAGTATGCTGTTGAGCAAAGCATTGAGCACACTAAGATGGTAAAAGGCCTACATGCATTGAGCAAAGCATCCCAATAATTCACACACGGATCCTGGGGAAGACTACACAGTAAGAATTGACTTCCCTCATTTTTCAAGCAATCATACAACAACTTCAACTAGAATTGCAAAAAATACCATCACAATCAATCAATGATTGATTAAGGGAATCATAACACCGCAATCAGCAAGCGAATCATTAATACAAGTTTACCTGATTAGCAAATCCCCAGAAGAGAACTGAAACCACCACGCTCCCCCACAATTCAGCCATGACATAGAACAAACAAAAGCTCCAAATCCTCATAATAGCAAGTGGACCAAGAAATCTCGGGCCAAGCACGTTGAGAAGCTTATCAGCAAACGCGTGAGGATGAATATAATGACTCAAGGGATACAAGAAGAACCCGAAAGCTCCAAAGAAGGCGATAAATGGCATGATTACAGTATAGAACAGAGCCTGCTTAGACAGCACATTAGCCAATTTGGAGTACAGAAGCATAAACCCAATCGCCATAGGCAAATTCACCCATGTTTTCAGAAAGGGGATAATCTCTGCACTGCTCCCTTCAGCAGTCACAACCAACACATCCTTCGTATCCCTCAGAATCGTATAATTGAATAAGATACAGAAGAACATCAAACCTAGGGGAACAATCTTCTTCAGGGTCTCAACCTCGACACCTAGAACCTTCTTGCTCTCACCTTCCTTACGAAACAAAGGCTGCCCGTCGGAAGCAGCGGCGGCTTCCGCCTTGCACATATGCAAAGTTCTGTTCTTTGAGAACAGACCATTGGGGGTTGACACAAAGGTCGGAAATTTTCGAACCCCATTTGAAGATAAGGAAAACCCAGTTGAGGTTTTGGGTTTTGAAGCCGAAATCCTCTGCCTTAAACCCTGGGATGCATATAAAGCTCTGGTTTTTGGGTTAGGCGGCAGTGAGAAAAGCCCTCTGGTTTGAAGCACAGCTTCCATCCCTCTCTTCTTCTGCTTCCCCTACCTATCCCCCAACAGAAACCTTATCAATGAGGGGAAGATAGGTCTTTTCCAGAAGGAGAGAGAGGCAGCTTGAGGTAGATAGAGCGATAAGGTGGCGCTAAGTAGAGATTGCTTTCCTGAGAGAAAGAGAAAAAGGGAAGGGATGGTGGTGGATACAAATAAATATCTTTTCCTAAACCATCAAAACCCTCGAACGTCTAAATGCAAACAAACCCAGATGGAGACAAAAAAAGCAAAATCGGAAGAGAACCCATCTCTTGATTCTCTGCTCTCCAGACCCCAAGAAAGCTAGAAATTTAATATTGTTTTTTTTTTTTACAGCGTAATATTCTTCTTCATTTTTTCCCCTTTTCCTCTTCCTGCTTCGGAAACACTATTGAGCTAGAAGGAGAAAAAGTGAAAGATCCTATTCCTATTAGGAATGGCTGAAGCCTGAAAGAGGGGATGCTTTGTTACTCTAATTCAGAAAAGGGGTTTGGTTGAGTAGCAATCAGTTTGGAGAAGCTTTACCGAGGAAAATGGAGGTACGAAAAGGGCAAAGGGGAGGCAGAAGGAGTAGGGAGCGGAGGAAATTTAGGTTGGTTGAGTGGTAGATATGGTCAAGGCAGCCATTGAAGAAGGGAGCAAAGCATCGAGACTAATTAGTTCATTCTTTTCTAGATGTGGACTGTGGTAGAAATTAAAAACTTACCGTGATTAATTTACATCATATTGGAATTATCTCTTATTGGAAATTTTCTATTCATGCGCATATATTTTGTCCTTCTAACTCAACTATTGACAGCTAATTTTTGGGAGCAGATCCGGTGAGTAACCTTGTGGTGAGTAACCATGAGTAACCCGTCCACGTCAGCATGACATCAGCATTCTCTCTCTCCTGAAAAGCCTTTAATTTTCTCCTCTTTAATCTTTGACGGACGATTTCCCAGTCATTTTAAGTCGAATTTTTTTTTTTTGCACAGTTAGATCAGATTAATTGTGCTCCTCAAAATGATATACACTTTAATATATTTTTCGGACAAAAAAAATTGAGCCATTTTTTACCAGTCTATACCATATGGTATTGACTGGTATTGAAATAAAAGCATACCTATGGTTTGAAAAAATTATCATGGTGGTATGAACAAACCAAGACTGTAGGATGGTTGAATATATGATAGTAGAAATATATTAATTGTCATTTACGACTTTTAACATTGTATACCACAAGATACCACCCCGTACCAGGGTGGTATTGTATGGTATTGTGTGGTATTTTTTGGTCCTGTAATTTGGTCATCCATAAATTTGTAGATCCAATAGATCATGATGAACTACCAGGGTGGTATTGTATGGTATTGTGTGGTATTTTTTGGTCCTGTAATTTGTTCACCCAGAAATTTGTAGATCCAATAGATCATGATGAACTCGTCCCTTCTGTGCAAACGTTTTCAAAAACGAATTAAAAATGAAGAAAATACCATATGGTATGCAGTTGGTACTGAGAGGCCAGAATATTTTGTTCTAAAAAAATATTGAAAACTGATCTCATTTTGTAGAGCACGATGAACTCGTTCCACCTGTGCAAAAAAATTAAAATCTGAGTTAAAACGAAAAAGATATGAGCCGATTAAGAAAGGTTAAGAAAATAAAAATGATTTTTAATTCTCCATCCTTAGATCTGGATTTTCTAAATGAAGAGTTCAGATTTAGTGATTGATGAATGCATAACCCATGGTTATGCACCCTATCTTAAGCCCTAATTTTTGGTATGATAATACTTTTAGATTTATTGTTAATTCCACTAACAAGTAAAAGGTAGTGGAGTGCTGCATCCACTAATAAGTAACAATATGATAATATTATTAATTTTATTTTTGGTTCCTCGTACTCAAATTATTATCGAAGGTTTACTAATGTTTCTTTCAAATTTTAAGGGTGTTCCGGTTGGATTCGCCCATGCCTTCTGTAGATATTTATTATCTCTATCAAGTCGGCTGGGAATTGGGGATTCATGTGAAAGGTATGTAGGAGCCATAGGATATCAATAATGGAATACATGATAATGCATGTGATAGTCACAGTTTGTGACACGAAACTTTACAGGTGTTTTATGCGTGAAAGCAAGAAATGAAGAAAGAAGCTCCACGAGCTCAGAGTTTTGGAAATCGAATCCAACCAGACGGTTTAACTGGTATAATAATTGTTTTAAGGGATGCTCACAAGGTCCTACTCATGAACGAACAAATAATTACTCCTAGGGGGTGTGCAATGGTCATATACGAATCGGACTAAACTTTGGAGAAAAAACGGTTTTATAGTAAACTATATCTAAGGATCAAAGATGGGATTAATCGTGTATTCGGTCCGGCTCAAATGTCAATCGATCTAATTTTTCTGTAGTGTTCATAAAATTCATGAGATCAAATACCAAACTATATTATATTATGTCTGGTGTGGTTCGGTCCAAATGTCGGTTTTGTCCGATACTATTGAGTATGAATCTACCCGTTGCAGGCTCGGGTTTCGTTGATTTGGTATTAGCAACACTAAAATCAAATATGCATTTTGCCACAGTAGCAATATGCTCCGAAGAGTGGCGCGCTAGGTGGGTAGATGGGTATTAGTTGGGAATAGCAGGAGGCGGCAGCACACACATTGCCCACGTTTTATTTCTTCGATGGGAGTGGAGTCAAATCTTGCATTCCCAATTCAATGGAATGCAGCCACCTACCGCAATGTTCTGCAGCCAGGCAGCTTCCCGGCCGCCCCCATTCGGCCCTACCGATGCATTATAATATGGAATGGTTGTACTACATCGTTTTCTTTTCAAACTCTCTGTCTGATGGCTGAAAGCTTCGTTTCAATCTTTTCATTTGGTCAAACCTTGTATACTTGATAACATCATTCCTTGCTTTTCACCCCAAATTCGGGTTATCCGAGTTAGCCTCAATCTGACCGGTTGAACCTTGACACCGCTTGTTTGGTTTGAATCAATGTTGTTGGAATGAATATGACAAATTGACAATCTTTGCTTATGGTAGTCAAAACCCATTGCTCAATTTCAAATTTCCTGCATTAGAGCGAAAGTAGGAAGAACATTTTTGCTTTCACAACTACTTATTTCTTTCTTATTTATTCATAAAAAATATATACATATTCGGAGTTGAACCATTACCACTTTTAATATGGGGAAGGGCTACAACCAATCACGCTACATATATTTGTTGCATCTTTTAAAAGAAAAACATACACAAATCTAAAATCTAAAAAATCAGAAGACATTTTCAGCGGTTAACTAGCAACTAAATCTCTCATAAGTACTTATTTGGTGATTAGATACTTCGACTTTCATATTTTTTTTTATTTTAATTGTATTTTAATACTTAATTTATATTTCAATGTATATTATAAACAGAGGATAACTTTAAAATTGCAACCCATATATCACTTGGTTGAATATTGCATATAAAATTAGAGTATTAAATAGGTCGAAGCAATGTCAAAATTTTAAATTAGTATTAATTTTTAGAATTAACTATGAAGAAATCATATCCTTATGCAGACTATATGGGACTGGGTTTTTTTCTTCGTTTTAGCCGGGTTAACTCCTAAGGTTTCAACATGTTCCTAATCTGGCATGATTAGATCCAATGATCATTGTACGAGATTGAGCTTAATTATTGGTTCATTTCAACAATTTTTGACATGTTAATGAATTTCTAGGGCAATGATATATGTCTACGTCAAAACACAATACAATATATAAGACTGGAATGAGAAAAGTATTTTCCCATTTTAAATTCCCACAACGAGAGCGAAAGTATGAATGGTATATTTGCCTTCACAAATCACAATTATTAAACTTATTTATTTGTAGAAAATAAACAAGTATTGGAATTTGAACCAATGTATCTTCCGAAAAATACAAGAATCAAAGCTTGATTGTCAACCCAAGTTTGACATGGTTGGGCGAATCAGTTTTGCCCAAACCCGAGTATGTTTGGATGTTGGAGGCCCAGTTGGTTATCAACCCAAATTTGGTCAAACTAAGAAAACTAGTTGAATTAGGAAATCGAGTTGATTCAACTAACTCATCTAAGCACCGAGTCACTTCAAACCGACATCATTTTCAACAAATCTAATCACTAGCTCTATTGACATGTCATCATTTTCCTTATCAAAGACCCATGCAACAACATACATCAACCACCCATGTTCGGTTATCCCATAATATCTTTTACTCCTTTAGTATCGGCAGTCAACAATACAAGTCCCAATCATCTCAAAAGCCAACACAGTTCCTCAGTAGTTAATTCCATTTTCCTTCCAGCAGCAAGGTCACATCGCTAATCAACCACATCCCAAACAAAGAATAAGCCACAAGATTAGACGGACATATGTTTGGATTGAGACTTGGTGTGATTAACAAAGACCAATGTCTTCATTTGTATATATACATGAAATCGAATTGGAGAAGAAGAGTAAGAACATTGATAATGGAATATGATATGCAATGAAAAGAAGAAAAGAAAACTAGAAAATGAAATGAAAAAGGATAAAAAGAAAGAGGGGAGAGATTTAGAATTAAAGCGCCATTTTAAAACATCAGTTCCAAGTGAGAGAAAATTATAAATTGCCAAAAGATGGAGGGAATGGGCCCATGAAATCGATGCCCCAAACATCAAAATTTTCACAAATGACAGAAATATGTTGGGGCATCTCATCCCGGGAAGAAATGCTACTTGACCTTTGGCGGCAGTCGCACTGTCGTGCGAAGGTGTCTGCATCCTTGAAGAGAGAGGGCCAATAGAAGCCCGACTGTAGCACCTTCCGCGTCGTGCGGTTTCCTCCATGGTGACCTCCAGTAGGTCCCTCGTGGCATTGAGACAGGATGTCTCCCATCTCGTGCTCCATGACACTGCGCCGGATCACGCCATCTGCTCCGATCCTGAAGAGGAAAGGATCCTCCCAAAAGTAATGCTTCAGGTCGGAGA